TACACATGCTTTCCACGTGTATGCAGCTACTGTATCCAGCTGCTACCGTCTCGTCCCGCAGCGTCGCACCCGAGGCTGTATATCCCAGCCATATATGCCCATCTTACCGTGCGTCCCGGTTCGCATGCACAGCGTGGGCACGTCCCCAGGCTGTGTGTGAGACTTGCAGAAGCCCCCAAGTTTGGCCATTTTTCTTCCTTCTTTCGCATCCGTTTCCTCTTTGCTGCTTGCCGTCTTGGGGCTCTTTTTTCGACCCAGGACGCCGCACTTTCCCCTCCTTTGCCTTGTTGGGACGCTGGGCGGCGGCACAGACGGGCCCGAGGTTGAAAATATATGATGGTGATGAAAGACGGGGAACAGGAAAAAGAAAGAAAAAGGGGTCACCGCCATCCCACCGGCAGATCCGAGCGCAGTGCGAAACTGTGTATTCGTGCCTAGTAGAGAGAGAGGGAAAAGAGACGGAGAGAGCAAGGGAAAGAAAGGACACAGAGTCCTTCTGCTGGCCACTCTGTAGAACAGGGGCGCCCATGTGGGCACAGAGAGGTGGAAGAATAAACTTCTCGGCCGGTGACGTGCTCCACGAGGCCTGTCTACCTGTCCCTTGTCCCAGGGCCAGAAAAATCAATGGTTTGCGCGCTGGAGACCGGCGTTCCCCATACCCGGGCATGGCGCAGGCCCGGTTGCAGCTCTGCTGATTGGCAGACACGCAGGTTCTCTCTCGCTGCTGGTCCACCCGAGACAAACTCAAAAGCGACCTGGGATATCGAATACCGGGCTTACGCAGGGCACGCACCCAAGTTATTCCACCTGCTCCCCTATCGTGCGGCTGTGTATGCTCCTACATGTATAGAAAGGAAGATATCACTTATAGGTGGCCGCTTCGACGGCCCACGTTCCCTGCCGTATTGCGGATGCACCATAATGCATCGGCTAAGAGAAATAAACAAGGCCGACGGCAAAAGCTTAGGGCGGACTCGAAGCTCACGCACGTACATAATGTGTCAATTTCAAAACGTGTCATCGTGCATTCGTCTCACCGCAGCCTCCCCGGCCCTTTTACCAAAGCAAGAGCGCGAGGGTATGCCCTTTGGGACTAGGATGCCTCGGGCCCCCGTTGTCCCATGGAGCCGGCGCCCCAGAGGGAGAGAGCAGGTGGGAATTCGGGGGCAGGGGGGGTCGGTCCGGAGAGGACCTTGTGCCGCTGCGCTTTCCACACGCCCGTGTAGTTCGTCTGACACGTCACTGTGGTGCGGTCCTTTTTTCCTTCCTCCCCCCCTCCCGTCACTCTTTGGCTCTCTCAGTTATCAGTCAGCTATCCCGACTCTTTTAGACGAGCCTCCTGTCCCGTGTCCCGGACAAGGTGCGTGCGGCCGGGACAAGCGCTAGCCCGCCGTCGTTTAAAGGTGCCGGCCCGGGGCTGGTACGGAGCATCATCAAAAGGCAGAGAGAGCAGAGCAAGTATAGTATGTACTCTGTCTCGTCGGCGAGAAATGGCTGTCTCACCCGCCAAGTCACATGTTTGGGAGGCAAATTGGCCATGACGCCTCATTCCAGGGCAGCAGACATTCCCGTCACGACGGCCATGGATGCCCATCTACATGCTGTAACTGCCGCTCGCAGGGGAGGCCACCACCCTGCTTCCTCCCAGATCCCGGGCCCAGGCGCATCCTGTTTTGACTAATCGAGGAGGGAACGCTCAGATTAGCTATAGCAGACGGCTCAGCCTATACTCGTGCGCCCAATCATGGGCGTCATGCTTCCTTCCTTCGCCTGTAATGGACGACGACTGCAAGGCAACTATATACACTGGCTGTATACGCAGCTCTTGTGAACGAGGTTAGTAACGCGAGTTTAGCCGCTGCAGTAGCTCGGGCGACAAATCTCCAGAATCCTTCAAGTATGCCTCGCCGGGCAATAGATAGTACAGCAGTTGCAAGTGTTGTCGGATATCTAATTGCAAGGCGCCGCCGCTTGCCTGTTGTAGGGCGCGCCGCCTATACAGACGTAGCGAGCACTGCCGGCTTGTTTCGTCTCAGAGAAACAGCAGCATGAGCAGCTGCCCAAGGACAGATATCGAACAACGCTGGCTATTTTTAGCGCCCGGCCACTCCGGCCGGTTCAAACTTCTTATCCTAGGCCCCAGGCATAGCAAGAGTAGATATAGGCACTCAGCGCTCGCCCTACGTCTCAAGGGCCGGCATCATCAAAGTCAAGATATGAGGCAGGCAGCCGGTGGCGACGAAAAATAAAAAAACGTGGGACGTCGACAAAGACTGCATGCATGCACTGTAGGTGCATACAGTTCGCATCTACGTCCGTTCCTACATGGCCAGCCTCTACTATAGACAGCATCAGGGAGACGAGATGGGCAGGGGCAGGGGCTCCAGGCCGCGTGTCTGGAACTGCAAGGCGGACTTATTGAACTGAATTGCCGTATGCACCGTACGTTGGCTGCGAGACCCAGACGGCGCTCCATCCGAGAAACGGCCGGGGCTTGTGTTGCCGAAAAGTGAGAGGGGGGGGAGGTGCTGAGTGCTTGCATGCATGAATGGGGGTTAAGCTCTTGTTCGTGATTGATGGATGGGCCGGCCGGCCGGTCGGTTCCTGTTCCTGTGCCTGGAAAGCGAGGGAGAGCGGGCGAGGGAGGGGGGGAGGGAAGCCCTTGAGTGATGATCCTTGTCGGCGTGGTCCCTTGGGTTTCGGTTGCAAATGACATTGTGTGTACGAACGACACTTGCCCATGCTTCTCTTGCCTCTTGTCTGATGTGCCCGTGGTTAGTCGGAACAATGGGACACGCATCCAGCTGGGCTTCTCTACTGGCGCCAGTGCGAAGACATTCAGCCTGGAGGCACACATCGTACGAACTATCGTGGAAGCATACGTGATAATAGACCAGGGGGGGCGGCCATGGCTAGGGTCCCCCACCCGATCTGTCGCCATTACGGGACTGACTGCATGGGGCCATCTCGGGTCGCTGCGGCTGCCGGCAGTCCCATGTATGTACGGGCCTGCATGGCGGTCCGGCGGATGAGGACCGTACCTGGCAAACCTCTCTCTCTCTCTCTCTCTCTCTCTCTCTCTCTCTTCGCGAGGGGCGTGGGCCCAGCAGCCCTCGACCCTTGGCCCGGTGGACCAGCTAGCTGTTCTTGGTGGATATCCAGCACGCACTTTGGCTTTGGAACCCAGCCATCTATCCACCCCAGAATCCCATGCGACGACATGACCGCGAAACGTCGCGATCGTCGCCTGTCCCCAATAGCGTGGGCCTACATGTTTAAGAGAGGGGGGCGAGGGGAAAAAGAAAGAAGCCCGTCTCTCGTGTAAGTGTTTTGTGATTATTATTACAACCCCCTCCTTTTTCCCCACACACTCACCCTCTCTCTCTCTCCCCTTGACTACTCTCACACTCCTCTCTGTCTCTCCCTCTCTGTCTGTCTGTCTGTCTATCTGTCTGTCTGTTTCTCTCTCTCTCTCTCTAGCTCTCCTAGATATCAGACACACGCCCCCCTCTGTCGCCTTGTTCTCCCCACTCCCCGATACTGCGTCGGCGTTGCTTGGGACGGCGTCGGTCGGCCTCACTCATACGTGTATATACGTGCGATGCGGCACAATGTCTTCCTCGGCCTGTTGGTTCTCGGCGACACGGTCCTCGGGCCTTTCTGCCACCGGCAGTTATGAGTTACGTATCGGATCATGAGAGCGCGGTTCGGAGCACGGTTGGTAGTGCCTGCCTTTTCTTGGCTACTGTATCGTACCGTACCTACCGGTAGTAGGTAGTCAGGTAGTCTGCGCCTGCCTCGTCGTCCGCCGTTCCGCCCCCCACGCTCACGCCCACGCCCCTTCCTCCTTCCTCCTTCCTTCCAGGTGCCCACCGCCTCTGGATGGGCAGAGCATGGCAAGAGGAAGGCGCGGTTGCTCCGTACCTACATGGCACTAGTCTCTGAGGGTCTTCCGCCCACCCCGCTCATTACCCGTGCCTTCCACGCGCACCCCCCCCCCCCCCCCCCGCTACGTACGTACCTACCTAGGTAGGTACCGTATGTATGCACACAGGGCAGGGAGGTAGGCGTAGTAGGTAGGCGTAGTAGGTAGGCGTAGTAGGTAGGCGTAGTACTAGGCAGGCATGGTAGGTACCTAGACAGGTGTACAGCACCTATACCTACCTGCCAGCCGTGGGCGGGGGCCTCTAACTCTCCCCACGCGTGCATGAGCCTCTCTGCACTATGGCGAGCAGCGGCAGCTCTCGGTCGTCTTTGTTGTTACTTTTTTATTTGATTTTTTGCCTCGCCCTCGGTTTTATCATTATTTATTTTTACCCTCTTCCTCGCTGTTACCTCTCCTGTGCAGTTGGCTCTAGCCTCCCCTGTCCCGCGCCCCGTCGATGGATCCTTCGCGCCGAGGGTGTGGGTGTTGTCCTCGACACTTCTATAACTAGCTCTCCTTGCTGCTCCCTTGGCTTGGCCACACCTCGTCCCATGAGCTGACCGTCTCCCCAAGGGCGCTCAGAAACAGGCACCAGATATCCAAAACATCAATCTATACCTTCGATAGTCTCGGTGGAGTCCCAATGCCCACCCGCCCTCCTTGATCGACCTGACCATCGAGATCTATTGCCTCGCCCGACTAATACCTCTTTGTTCATTCCAACCCTCTCTCACCACCTCGACGTCTCAAGATCGCCTGGGGTCGATCTGCACCTTGCATGTCTCAGGCCCGTCGGCATCCTCCTCCACACCTCATTCCTCTTCTCTGCTATATCTTCAGGGGCGTCCCTCGCGAGTAGAGAGCATTCCCGACCAGGACCACTCCTGCCTCTCTCTTACCCCCAAGCTCCTGTTGCTTGGTCATTAGAGTTGGACAGATTTCTATCCCTTGTTCTCGTCCCAATTCCTCTCCTTCAAATCTTTGCCTCCATTTATCTATCTGCCATCTCTCCCTCCCGCTCTCTGCTCTCCATTTCATTTCCTTCCATTCCATCCCAGTCCACAAACCGCCCATCATGCAGTTCGAGTCGGACTTCCGGTTCGACATGGACGACAGCTTCAGCATGTGCAGCCAGGCCATGTCGTGCCCCTCGACCGGCACCAGCTTCTCGTCGGCCTCGTCGGCCTACGATCCCTTTACACCCACCTCGAGACGCTCGACTCCCAACGAACTCACTCTCGACTTTGACAACACGGCCTGCAACTCGTTTGCCACGGCTCACCCGGGCGAGATGACGCCCGCCTCCAATAACGGCAGCAACAACCCCAACATGTCCAAGTACATGTTTGGCTCCGTCAAGGCCGAGCCCGAGCAGATGCCCTTTCCCAACAGCCTGCCCAGCACGCCCTTGAGGAAGATGGACGGCATGGCCACGCCCGACTACGACCACATGCTGGACATGAACCTGGCCTCTCAGCACATGGGCTCCGTCACCCCTTCGGGCCCGTATCCCATGTACGCCATCTCGCCACACACCGCCATGCCTCCCGGCCCCTTCATGATGACGCCCACCCACAGCCTCTCGGGCTCCGACATGGCCGACTCGTCCTCAACCTGGTCCTGTGCCAACGACAGCCCCATCTCCTTCTTCCCTCAGCAGCAAAAGGCCATGGCACCTCACGAGCTCGAGGCCCTCGACATGGAGCGTCACTCGCAGTCGCCCCTCGACCGCTTCCACCTCAACGGACCTCCCACGCCCGGCCGCCTCCGCGCTCACCGCAAGATGATGGTTCACGAGATCCAGCGCAAGACCACGGAGCTGCAACGAGCCCAGATCCGGGCGTCAAGAAAAGTGGCTGGCCAGGGCGACGGCACCGCTGTCGACGTGGTGCGCAGAGCCATGTGCAAGTGTGACTATCCCGGCTGCCACAAGGCCTTTCGACGCAACGAGCACCTCAAGCGTCACAAGCAAACGTGAGTAGTTATTTCCTCTGCCACCCCACCCATGTACCCAAACTAACCATGCCGCCCTTGACAGATTCCATGGCGAAGGCCCCAATCGCTTCTCGTGCGAGTTCTGCGGCAAGGACCAGTTCAACCGCCAGGACAACCTCAACAACCACCGCAAGCTGCACGCCCGTCCCAACAGCCGGAACCGCGGCGTCGAGTTCATCCCTGCCGCCGTGCCCGTCATTGAGCAGGAGGAGCGAAGTCGCAAGCGCCGGGCTCCACCCAAGTCCAAGATGGCGGAGAAGCGAGGCGACGATTACTGATTCCCTGCCCCGACGGCTTGCTTTTGCGAGCTCTGATGAGAGATGACGAGATGCATGCCCTCGGATCGGGTGTCGACGGTGGCACCTGACCCGAGACTCACAGCCCCCTCTCTCGTGGGAGGTGATAATTCACATCAACGAACAAAAAAAAAGGCCGGCCACACCCGCATCCACACCTGTGCTTTCACGCACATGCGCAGATCTCCCATCTGAGAGCCAGGCACAGGAGCAAGGCCTCCGCCCAACTCAGGGTCCGGGTCCTCTGTGTGCTGCATTAGTGGACTCGTCTACGGCGCACCGACGGCGTGGCACCGCGGTTGGACGTGGCATGGCCACGGTGGTGTTGACACCACCGGCCTACTCCCGGAACGGAAACCACCTCTTTTTCCTTTCTTCTTCCTTCTACTAGTAGATCTTTGTTACTAGGGCTTATTTGTCTCATCACGTCCTGGCGTACATGGTCTTGAGTTATCCGGAGAGGCTCTTTTTATTTGCTGCCATGAGGAGGAAGACGACCCAACCTCGGGCTAGGTGGGCCAATTTTTGATATCCCCAGGAGAAGACGAGCGGCGGTCTATGGCAACACTCATGTTTCCCTTACACAACGATGGGCCTCGGAAAGACCGAGCTTACATGATTGACAACATGCTTAACGGTGGAACGATGGTATATGCAAAGAAGATAATGGGTTATCGGAAGCTGTCCAAGTGTATTTGAGAGAGTACCAACGTACTGTACTGTAGTATACTACTCTGTAATCTAGCTGTGGGAAACAAGACACTTGGCTTCCTACTGTTGTGGCAAAGGCCGGACGTGACAATCCCGAGACTCTTTCGCGGCCAGGGAGGGGGGGTTGATTCTGGCTGGGGAATGCCGTGGCGCGAGCAGTCACAAGGCGATTCGGCCAGGTCTTCTCGGCGCCATTGCGTGTTCACCCCAATTCAGCGAGTACGAAGTACACTATTACAACTGCTCGGTTCCTAGTCACTTTTACGTGTCTCATGCAGTACCCAGAGCTCAGGCCATGGGGCTGGGGCGCTGTCTTAGATCCGGCCTGTCTGTCCGTCAGTGCTCAACCCCGGGAGGGTCTTGGCTACATCATACATATACATGTACAAAGGCGCGAAAGAAAGGCGGCCGAGGTGGAGGACGAGTGTGTGTGTGTGTGTGATTTGATGAGCGAGTGAGGGCCAGGGCTATGATTCAGACCTCACACACCCTCTTCCAGCCGTGGCACTTTGCTCGGGCTTGGGTGTCGAGGCCTGGCTGCTTCGGCTTTCGGCCAAGAGCGTGGGGTTTTGAGATGCAAATGACGAGCAGAGAGGCTGGCTGGACGGACGCCACGGCGGGGGATCTACAGACTGTGCGTGCGTGCATGTGGTCTCCATGGTGGTTTTCCTTCTTTTTCACCTCGTCGTCTCTTATCCTTTTCTTTTTCCTCTCTCTTTTGCAGCAATCACCACATCTATTCCGCCTTTTTGGACTGTTTTCCTTTTCCAGCCGTCCGCACATGTGCTCCTGCTGTCTGCTTTGACCGTTGGGATGGTGCTTACTTGCATGTACAGCTTGAGCATGGACGAAGGGTAAGATGGGGGGATATCTGACAGGAGAGGACACGTGTGAGTAGAGTAGATGGATAGATGAGTGAGAGGAAGGACAGAACGAAGCGTTGGCTATCAGGATTATCAGGTAAGCGAAGATATGGACTCCGTGTCGACGGCCGCCGAGGCCGGTTAAGGTTGATGTTTTGGAAGGGAATAACAGAGTCTACAGCCCCCAAACACGAAGCCGCGAATTCTGATTACTGATGAGAACAGATGCAAGGCCCCGAGGCCTAGAAGCACAGTCCTGCATCACCACAGACAGTGGGCTGTGTGGTGCCTGGAAAGGATCGTCAAAGGCGCCTGCGGAGATGAATCATGATGGGAGGGACGAAGACTACTGTACAAAGGGAATTGCAATGCATGTAGGTCCGGACGCAATGTGATGTGTATGGACCGACGGATGGTCTCGCGGCGTGGCTTCGAGGACACGGCCGCTGCAAAGGCCGTATTCGGACGAGGTGCATGCACGCTTGGATCTCGTCGTGTTGGGGAGGCGGCCTGGGGAAGCGAGAACAAAAAACAAATAAAGGGGACGAGAAGAAGCGATGCAAAGCCCGGCCCTCCCGACTAACATTGCATCACCACCCCGGACCCCCTCGGACGACTCTTTCCACGGTTTCCTTTTTCCGGATGTCACTCGTTATTTCATGTCTGGCCTTGGCCTGTTGCATCGTTGTATCTTTATTTTTTCCTCTGAGACGGGGCGTTGAGATCGGAGCTTGGGACCGAGGGAGATGCTGCGCCGCTCGGAGCCGGGGTGGTGGTTGCGGCTGTGGATTTTGCCATTACTACGACTCTTCTCGTGACCTTTTTTTGCAGCACGTTGGGGGCCTGCGGCAAGATGAGAGAAGAGGAAACGGGCCAGGGGTTCGGCAACGAGGTTTAGTATGTCGTGATGATGGTGTGGCTCCTCGATGTTGGTGCTTGTACCTACTTTACATGTATGTACGCACGCACGATGTTGCATGGACGGTTGGGTAGGCGAGGTACAGGATATAGATAGATTTGCTTGTTCGTTGCCGAGGCACAGTTGGCAGAGGATGTGAGCAGTCGGAGAGAGCCTCAGGGATCTGGGCGGCCGAATCGGGAGATCGGAATCGGATCGGGGCAGCTGTGAAGGAACCATGTCTTAATATCGTCTTCTTGTCCGGGGGAGGTGTGAGCCGGAACCGGAAGAGTTGGTTCTGGGGGCTGCCATGCACGACAAAGAGAATGACGATGTGAAGCTACGGGACACAAGGGAAAAGAAAAACACGCCACAGGCGGCAGAGGCGGCGGCAGAGGCGGCGGAAGGAGACGGGGCTGAGGACGGTCGACTCCGTAGCGGCGGCCCGTGGTGGGGGGTTTCGGGGCAGACAGCGGGGGTCGCTAGTGCCTGCGGCGGTGGAGGAGCGCTGGGCTTGGGCGATGCAGGCCCCCGGGACAGTGGGTGAGCCGGGGGGACGACGACTGGACACGCGGTAATACGGAGTAGGTAGGTACGGAGTAACTTGGGTACACCACCTAACTAACTCACCAATCCCTGGAAAGGCCGAGGCCGCCGTCGCAAGGAAGCCGCTACCAAGGCCTGCAGTAGGCCATCTCGGGGGCCTGCTTTAGGCCATCTCGGGGGCTGCCTGCTTACTAAGCGCGGCGTCCCAAGCATGGCTGTGATAATTAATCAATGGCCTTTGGAGTTTGGACAATGAATTCCAACCAACCACCCACTCGCCCGCCCGCCTGCCCGCCTCTGGTTGATGATCGACACTTTGCCGCTCGCCGACGCCAGCCTCGCCTCACGACCCGTCGCGCTCCTCGGCCGTCCGTAGGGGTGATAGACGAAGGTGAAGATTTTGAAGATTTTGAATGAAGGATGAATCAAATGAATTGAATTTTTTGGATCTTGATTCAAAATCTTCAAGCTCCAATTTTCGCGATTCAAGTTGGGTTTGGGCCAATTCAGGCCATTCATGAATGGTTTGAAGGATCCCTAAACGAAGTGAATTTGGTGTGTACCTGAGCGATTGCAAAGATGCCTCAAAACGCCAATAAGTAGTATATAGTTTTAAGTTATAGCCTTCTAAGAAGTCGATAATCCCGAATACTACAAAAATTAACTTACATAAATACTGATCCGCCTGTCCTAGGCAAATCGACTGAAAATAAGCACTTTCAAAGCTCTGCCGAATCCTCAAAATACGTCGGTACAACGCGTTCGAATCCGCCACTGTACACGGCTACACTCTTAGAGCCCCAATCCTCCGAAGCCTCCATTGTATCTAGACAGGGGGTTGATATCGCAGACTTATCGGCTTGGGATGCAGGGAGCATATACCTACATATATAATGAGGGTATATCCATACATACCATCTTCCAGCTTGCCCGGAATGTGGTCTGGTCTCCAAATAATACTATTGGCAAAGGGCAGGATGTCATACTCCATGGCCGCCTTGATCAACGCCTGATCGATCTTATCTTCCTGAGTATAAGCACTCCGTAAAAGTGTTAGTACTCGCACCGTATCTGCCTTCAAGGCGTGACGGCGGATACCGAATTCGTCTCTACAACCGCTGAAGAGGCGTTCCACGTCAACTTCAGAGCCAGAGACAGAGAGAAGATCACGCGCCGCCGCAGCCAAAAGTGGCCACTCGACCTTGTGTTCTTTCCACCACTTCAGTAGGAAGTCTGGAGACTTTGCAATAGACTCGTCGAACTCTATTCGAGGAGCTGCAAGCCACCGTTCAAGCTCCGAAATAGGGATCGCCGCGCCCGTCTCCGCCTCCTCGCCTTCTTCATTTGGATGGCTCTCCATTGCGCAATGGAGACTCCTTGAGACGCTCAGCTGGTCTGGATTGGCTCATAGTTGAGTTTGTGGCATTCAATGCTGCTAGCTCCGGCCACTCCGTTTTGAAATACTTCTTGACTTTAGCCATAATCTCAGAGTATTGATCCGGTATCATCATTTCCAATTGGTGAGTTTTATAACGCGGATCCAGGATGTGAGCTGCGAATAGCATCATTTGATCGTCAAGCTTCTTCATATAAGTAACGTGTTTTGCTTTGCCCTTCGAGAAGGCGTCTCGAATGGACATATCAAGGTCTGTAAAGTCGCCAACTCCTTCGACTACATCATCAAGGAGAGCTTCCAAATCCCAATAGATATCGAGACTTTGTGAGATCGGCGGCATAACTTCGGAGACTTTCAGAGTGTGGTCTTTAAACGGCTTCAGAACCTTCCGCAGTTGATAGAGAGCGACAATCTCTTCTGATAAGGGCAGGAGGCACTTGACTTGCGGGTGAGTATCAACGAACTCAGTATACTCTGCCTCAAGCTCGAGGAATTGGTCAATCATGTCGTAGGCCGAATTCCAGCGAGTGTCGACATCGTAGGTTGGCTTCCGGTAGTGCGTGCGCGGCATGCTTTTGAAGTCTTGCTCCCTAGACCCGGATCTCAACATCCAGAGATTGAGGAGGCGGATTTTGGCAATCCCACTTCGACTAGAGTCTCCCGGAATGGTGTAGTTGTTGCTTTATTCTCTTCGTCCCACTTGTCAAGCATCTTCTTGGCTTCCTTCGCTGTGCCTGCTTTGAGATCTTGCAAGACGCCCTCACAAATGAGCGAGGTAATATGAGCTAGACAGCGGATCCAACTCTTCCTGCCGTGAAAGCGCATGCGGGGCCTCCCTATTGGGCTCACCTTGTCGTCGAATTTGGTCTTGAGAGAATCGTACAAAGACTGACAGAGCGTGCCGTTATTGCCGGCGTTGTCTCCCGTAATGGCGAGAAGCTTAGGCTTGAGCCTGAGCTCCTCAAGCGTCCTCTCAACTATCTCAGCTAATTGTTTGCCAGTGTGAGATCTTTTGAGCTCAATAAACTCAATAACTTCTCTCTCTCCTCAAACTCCGGTGTAATCCAGTGCGCAATAATGGCGAAAATGGGCACCGATTCGGTGCTGTCCAGATATCAAGGGTGAACGAGATGGTGGCACAATTGTACTCAAGCTCAATCTTCAGCTTCTCCTGCGTTCGACAAAGTCTGTATATATATGATTGCGTAACGTTATACGACTCCTGTACACACATGTTGTGTTGTGAGCCAAGAACATCTCTTGAAAAGCAGGAGTCTCGACAACAGAGAAGGGTTGTCGGTGTTTTACAAACCACCGGCGGATAGACTCCTTTGCCGTGAGTCTTGCTCTCTGCCTAGGTCGACCGCTCCATGCGTCTGCCTCTGTATAATCTCCTCCACCAATGGCGCGGCCGTATCCATTAATTCGAGCGTGGTGAGATTCCTTCGTAATACCGTGGATTTTTAAATGGTCTCCCATGCCAGAGGTAACCCCTCGGCGGTTCGATTCGAGGACCTGGAATCTCTTCCGAAGAGTATTGGGATTTTGAAGGCACTCTATACAAGTCCACCGGAACTCTTGGAAGATCTTCGGCCCATCCTTATCCTCTGAGTAAAAGCTTCTGTCTATAGCTTCCTCTGCATATACCAATAGACGTGGCTGTTCTTGTCTCTCTTCTTGCGAACATGCTTTTGTTTGTTGTCGGCCCACTTCTTGATAAGTCCGGCTTTCTCTGCGAGCGTCATATGACTACTGTTCAATGGCGGCTCTGGTGTATCCGCGTCGGGCATGTCATCATCTGACTCACAGTCAGGATGACCCGGGGGCGCGCAGACAATTGTATCTTCGCCAGTTGGAAGAGGAGAGGAAGGAGCCGGAGTTGCGCTAGAATCAGCGCGCGCGCGCGGATTCGAGGTTGAATTGAGGACGTTCGATGCGGGCATAATTCTGCGTTGGCAATTTACGCCGGGTCCTTGGAGCAAAGAAATTCGCTGCGGCAGATGTTTTTGTTTCAGCAGGGGCCATACTACGTATCATGTTATAATTAGCTATCCACTCGTAAGGTAATTAAATAAGGAGGTAGATTGGAGAGTAATGAAGTTTTACCTGATCTTGGCTGAAAGGCTCGAGAATGGACGCGACACAGGTAGTCGGAACGACACCAAATAAACCACAATAAAGTGTCAAGGAGTCGGGGTTGAACGGGTAGGATAGGTCGTCGGTCAGGGCGTTGATTCGGGGGCTGATCCGAAGCCGCTGTCGGAATATCGAAGCAGGAATTAGGCGAGGTCGTGGTAAAATAATGTCGTGGCAGTTGTCGCGAAGACCGTTGCGCCACGCAGGCAAAGGTGGATGGGCTGACGACCCTGTCTTTCCGACAGCAGTAGAATTAACAGGTGGTCAACTGAGCGGAAATAACGCGTCTGAACGCGGCTAGTTGGCACAATATATCCTTATCATGCAGATTTTCGGGTACTTCCTGATCGGCTAATTTGTATGGACAAACAAGTAGCAGTCATATTGGGCTCGAGGAGTAGATAAGTCCCTAACAGCCTCCAAATCGCGAGCTGACTCGATTCGTGTCACTTCAATTGTTCGCGCAGTATTGAGATGTTGAGGATCTGAACGCGTTTTCGAATCAGCTTGCTGGGGCTGTACAGCGGTATAATTATTATATTATATATCCAGAATATGGGTTGCCGAGCTTAATATGTGCTTGAAATGTAGTATTCCAACCAAAAAATGGGCTATCCATTGATTGCCTTCAAGATGATGTGGCATTTCTTGAGCAAATGTTAACGACATGTAACTATCGAGGGTTATATCATCCGAACGAGAAAATCCAGAACATTCGAGCGGCACTACATTTAAATCATGTGCATTATAAAATGGCACTGTTCATGAGCTTCATGGTGTTTTTTAATACTCCGTATAGGGTGGCAAGATTGCTGAAACGGTGGCGTATCAGGCACTGTTAGGTCGTTATACCACAATATATGGACGCCCTAACTGCCGTCCTTCGCCTCGATTTCCCAGCGACGCCCCGCCAGACGCGGGCGGCGCGGGACTAGGATTTTGCCAGTGGAGTGTGGACGGTGGAATCCAACTGAAACACGCACAACAGACTTTTAAATACGCAGAGCGTCATCACAAGCGCGGCCGAACTCGAAGTTACCGTGTCCGCGCGGGCAAACCTTAATGATGGGGTCAAAGCAGCTTGTTTATTGATGTGTATGTGAGCCTGCCGAGGAAGAACAGGAAGAGGCCCTTGGTGGGTGGCTTCGGGTATTGACCCTTTCCTCCTGTATGTCCCTTGGCCGCGAAGCGGGGTGATAATTTTTTTTCGCCTTACGTTTCGACCATATCGCCATTCATTCACAATTTTTATGAATGAATTGAATGAAGACTCCTGATTTTTGATTCGTCGAATTTGAAGACCTTACCCGATTCGGCTTCATTCAATTCAAGGGTCCCGAGGCCGATTCGACTTCAAAATCTTCAAATATCAGCCCTAGCCGTCCGCTACCGCCCACCAGCCCCGAGCCAAACCCCGTCACCGCCCCGTTGTCGTCTCCGGAAGGGGGTGAGCCAGGCTTGACCCTCGGTCTCGTCTGGCCTCGTCTCGTCTCGACTCGACTCGTCTCGACTCGACTCGTCTCGCATCTCCCTTCCCTCCGCATCGACTTCCCCCGGCGTTAAATCCGTCGTCGGCATCCACTCCACGGCCGAAGCCTCATCGTCACCATCATCAGCCGCACACACACCGCCCTCCTGTCTCCTCTTTCGCCTTGTGTTCGCCGTCGTCTCACCTTGCTTGGCCTTGGCGCTAGAAAAGAAGCAACGAAAGGAAAAGGGCGACGCTTCACCAGACCAACTTCTCTCTCCGCCTCCGTGGGCTGCTGTGCCTCGCCTCTCCAAGTCGCAGCATCATGGCCTCGCTGCCGTCGTATCGAGAGGCCACCACTCGTCCCGACTGGCTGGCCGTCGCCGCGCCCTACGTGCACTTTGTCGACTATCCTTCTCTTTGCCGAGTCTGCCATCGCTCCTGGTCCCTCTTCGCCCCACGCCTCTGGACAGATATCCTCAACACTGTCCGTCGCTCAGGTCTGGATCCCGGAGACGGTGAGTGCCTAAACTGCCCTGGCCGTCAACCGCTGACGCTGTTGAGAGACCTATCCTGGTGGTTTGACTTTGTCTTCCGCAAACTCACCCGCGTCGCCCCTGCTACCCGTGCCCTTGTCCGCGTCCTCGACGCCCGAGCCTTTGCCAAGGATGCCTACCATTTCGCCTCAGACCGAGATGGCAGTCTTCTCGCCCAAAGCTTCAAGCGAGCCTTGCACCTGTTCCCCCACGCCCACTCCATCCTCATCGATGGCCATGCTGATCTGGACCTCTTTGCTTGCTTGTCCTCGCTTCCGCAAGCCCGCCTGCGCCTTCTCAGCATCGCAGGCTGCCCCAATCACTTGCCAGCCACCTTTTTTGCCTTACCCTCCCTCCAGGCTCTCGTCTACCTGGATGCCTCTGGCGTCCCGGGCTCCATCTTGCGACTTCTTCACCCCACATTGTTGCCCAGCCTTCGTATCTTGAAAGTCCGCGCGCGAGAGATTGATGACGCCCTACTGCAGACCTTGGCCACGGCTTTCACGCACCGCCTATGGAGCCTAGACGTGAGCCACAACAATGTTACCGACGTTTCCCTTGACACGCTGAGAGACTGGTGCATGCCAGCCTCGTCGCTTCGCTCCAGTGCTCGTTTCGCCGTCGAGGGCGGCCTCGTTCCCTTGCCCCACGGCACCACAGAGCATGGACAGTTCTTCTCCATCGAGGAATCACAGTGGAGTGGCACCTTTTCCCACCCGGAGAGACACTTTGCTGATGCCCCGGGTTATGTGGCCGACGCCGAAGCTCTCGATCTCCACGAGATGCTCCGCTCCGACGGTGCTTCTCCGATCCAGAGCGACTTGCCCGGCATCTCGGCCCGTCTTCTTTCTCGAGAAGAGTTTGAGTTAGAAGTAGTAGACTTCTGTCGCTCCCGCAGCCTTACTCACTTGCGTCTGTCTTGCAATCAAGTCTCCTCTCTCGGTGTGCAAAAGCTGCTGCGCACCTCACCTGGTCATCTGGAGGACCTGGATTGCGGCTCAGTGCCGTTGCTCCCGAGATCCAGCCCGGGCGTCAAGCATTGGCCAGCTTCTGCCACCCTACATGGAATCCTTGGCGCAGCTCACCTGTTCCGGCCCGTATTCTCTTCCAACCTCCGCGTCCTGAGGATCCACCATTCTCTCGTGACCCATGTGCCCACGCTGGAAGCTGCCGGCCTCTCTACCCTGGCGCGTATATACTTGGCCGAGACCTCGGTTCTCGAGCGAGTCGAGGAGGCGTACCGCCAAGCCTTCGTACCGAACATGAACCCGCGACTCGCTTGCTTGACCCTGACTTGCATCCCCCGCCGCTCATCCGGCCCGCTGGTTGCCAAGCTCATCAACTTCATCAAGCTGCTGTCAGTGCAGGAGCGCGCGATGCAGGATGAGGCTGCAGCCGCGGCGTCATGCTCGCCGTCGTGGCGCACCCCCAGCCTGCTGCAGGGTCTGAGACGCCTATTTTTGGAGTTTGATCCGGACCCAATGGAAGATGGCTTCACCGCGCCCGAGGATTCCGCCGCGGAGGAATTGATAGACGATGGCGAACAAGGGTTCGGCTTCTTTGCTGGCGAGCGGGTCGAAGACCGGCAGTTCATCAAGACGGCTTCGCAGCCTTGCTCCGAAGCCAGTCTCCATTCCAACACCATGGCGTCCCGATGCTACCCCTCTGAGGCCGACCGAGACAAACAAGAAACTGTGACATATGACGGCGAGTGGAATGGAAAACCCTACTCGGCGCCAGTCTGGGTCGGACTCCAGGTGCCGGGATCTAACGAGGTGCTGCAGGAATATCGGCGGTTGGTCGTCGACGGCCGCCTCCGAGATGGTGTCGGGCCCGCCACGCCGAGCCAGGTCCTGGCTGGCGCACCTGACAAGTCGTACGTCTTCCATGTTGCATGGTGCGCGGCGGTGATGCCTCGCGAGTTGAAGCCTCCCGCACGGGCCGAGTTGGCTGGAATGAAGGATGTGCTTGCCGAACTCAAGGCATATCGACGAGCTGGGCGGGCCAAGTACTTGCAGCTGCCGAGGCAGACAGGAGTTGGACCGACGCCTGTTCAGCTAGGCGAGCCGCATTTCTTCTGGACAGGCACTTTGAGGGTCTCTACGAATGCACATTCATTGTCCTCTTGGAAGTGACGAGGCGACCGTGCGGAATGTGCACAGGCGTTCCTGGTCGCCCGTCATGGAGACCCTATCAAGTTGACGGGGGCTTCCTACCAGGGCCCTCGTCTCGCACCCTGCCCGTCGTCACACAGCAGAAGCCACGCTCGTTGGTGGCTACCGGCAGGGAACCCACACTTGCATGCAGGCCGGGATCAGGACCTTGGCTCTTTCACCAAGCTCCGGGACTGCTCCCCCGGCCGCGCCGTGTTACGCGTGGCGGCTCCCCAGACCAGGCGGACGCAGCCACATCTACTGATGGAATGAGGGTCCGGTTCACGTGTCGTACGTACCGGCTTCTCATACCGGCGACACGGCGATGCAGGCTGCCGCGGGGGGGCCTGCACCGCACTTTTCAGATTTGCCTTTTTGTTTCGGACACAGACCTTGCGGTACATGGCAGCGGAACAAGGAGTCGTCGTATTCTTTCAGCGTTGGGGGCGGGTCTTCTTAGATAGGCATCGAGAAGACGGGGTGGCTGTGCTGCGGTCAGCCCGGCGTCTGCGGGCTGAGATGATTCTTTGGATTTCGTGGCAAGGTGAGACACGAGTGGTGAGGCCAAGTCGCGCAGATGAGCTGCTGGACCTCCACGACCTGGTGAGCTTTGACAGCTTTTGACGCGGGAGTCACGGCGTCATTGAACAGCGGCGACATGTGAGGATTGGGGTGGTGAAATTGGGCGGCGGCTGTCAGCTCCAAGAAGGAATGGGGGTGGCTCAGCTTATGAAGTGGTGATGCTTGGGGTCTTGACGGAGGTCTCAGACATCTGACCGAGCTTGGCAGAAAGGAGGCCTTCACCTACGCCTTGCTCTGTGTCTTATTATTATTATTGTATTTTCCGTCCAGCGACCTTTAGGTCGCTCAGGTCCCCGAGACGGGGCACAGGACGTGCTGAGCTGCTGGAAGTCTACTATCGCGGAGTAGGCCCACAATACGCGAAACGAAACGAGTACCAATCCGCGTCTTCTGCCCCTTCCACAGAACGTAAACAATCCACCATTCAGCATTTCATCGGCTCAAAGGCGCTTCTTTGCTCAGCCTGCTGCCCGTCAGCGGGACGTTCAGGCGCGACAGCCATGTCTTTCGTTTTGGCCTCACAGGGCCGGTTCCGGAGAGCACCCTCCGCCCGGCCGAGTCGGGTAAGAGAAAATGGGTGTGTGTGCAAACAAAGGGGAAGGGAAGGAGGGAAAGCGGTTGCTGCCGCCTAGTGGCGAGGGCAGATCGTTCCAAAGAACGAGCTTGCCTTCGCCACCTTGACGAACTGGTCGAAGTCTCTGCCTATTGCTCGGTTGACCGCCGCGCTCGGTGAGGGTGCCAACCTCATCCGATGTCGCGGCGCGATCTTCCGGCAATAGAAGAGATGCTTTGGTTCTTTCGTCGACCACATGAGCACGTCAGTCGCGCATCGTCGTGGTTCAACCTTTCGTGGTAATCAGCGAAGTCCCCGTGGTGGGTTCTTGCTGCGAGCAGATGGTGGAGCAGAGGTCGTGGAATGGTAAGTTCTGGCGGGCAGCCAGTCGTGGCATCGAGGTCGAGGACCCTGTACTGTTGGGGTGCAGAAACTTCCCACCAGGCTTTGAATGCGTCTTTTGGTCGCTGCCTAGCGACCTTGCGCAGATATGCCAGCGTCGGGAGAGCGTCTGCAGGCTCGGGTTGAGAGGTTCCTGCCTTTGCTAAGGCGTCTGCCTGCTCGTTACCTGGGATGTTGGTGTGGCCGGGGATCCAGCGGATCTCAGTGGCACCATGTTCTGCGGCCAAGGCCTGGAATTCCAGGAACTCCTTCTGGGAGGAATCTGACGGCATGCCTTGAAGACACGTCGCGACCGCGAGGTTATCGAGGCATACGACAATCTGGTCTGCAGCCGGGAGGCTCAACGCAGCACGCAGACCCTCTAGGAGCCTCTCGCCTCGGCATCAAAGACCTCAGCAAGCCCAAGACGGCCGTTACCGCTGAGGACGGTGAGTCCATCCTGATGTACCGCATAGCCGTACCCCGCGGCTCCTCCGGGAGAGGGATCCGTCCGAGTAGACGATTGCTGTCCGTGGAGCAACTGATTGGAGCCACTCGCCGAAGTTTGCCGCCGATTCTTCTTTCGGCGCAGTTTGCAAGGGTCCACGCTGGTCGCTGGCGAACCTACGTGCGAGAAGGTCTGGCCTGGCGCACCTTGGGAGCAGCTCGTCAGTGCGACGCAGTCTGGTCCGGAAAGGTTGTCGTGGACGCTGGTATTTTAACTTAATGGCCCTGTTGATGACAGGGGCCCGGATCGCTTCGTTCGCACCGCAAGCGGGTGCGCTTCGTCGAGGACTTGAGACGGGCTGCGAAGCGCGTTCGACACGCCTGGAGCAGGTGCGAAACTGGCGGTATGCCCGCCTCCCGGTGCCTGGCGCTGAGCGGCGTCGTCTTCCAGACCGGGAGGATGGCTCGCATGGCCGTGTTGAGCGACTTGTCCATCCGCCGGATGAGGTGCCGTATTCTTGATGGCCCTTCCTTTGCCGGCTTATTCCATCGCGGGCAGGTCATGCCCGCCTTGCTCTGTGTCATGGTCGTGAGGCATATGCTGTAGGGTAGGTAGGTTGGTGCTGAGGAGGTCGCCCAACACGCACACAGTGTTTGCGAGTGACGGAATCATGAGCAAGCCTATTGACTTTGCAGTGCGAAAAGCCCGCGGTAGTCGGACGGTGAGTTTGATTTGGGCAATTCTGTTCCGTTTTGTCCCAATGTCCAGACTTGGTCGCGAAGATTCTTTTTGTCAAGCAGGCAGACATCATCAATCTGTATAAGCCACACGATCTGGCCAAAGGGCCCAGCATCCGCCAAAGACAGGGGCATCGAGGTGAGGAAATGATATAGAGCATCTGTCTTGAAGAGAATATATGCTAAATAAAAGTTTTGAACCTAATGAAATTGTCCAACGATCGAACTTGGCGAAGCTCACGAGCCACCTAGGCCTCAATTTGTTCTGCTCTGGCTGGCTGACAGCCATCAGCCGTCGCCTCCCAATGACGAGTTTCCGGGCGAGATCTGAGTATTGGCAACAAGCATCGACCCGTAAGCGAATCTGGGAAACGCTCACGTCCCGTGTGTTTCGACGTGGTCCTTGCCGTCAATCCATGCGGCCGCCACGACTCGGACCCTCGACATCAATCGCGCCTGATGTGTCGCCCCGTCCGCTCCTGCCTGCCCTTGATGACGGTGCTCAGGTCGCCGACACGCAGCTGGATGGGGAAGTCGACCGAGGCGAGAAGACTGGCGAAGAGGATGTACCAGCCGGACCAACAGGCTACGAAGGTCATGGCGCCGGCGGCCTATATTGCGACGGACGTTAGCAACGCCAACGCAATGCACTCGCTCAGTGCAAAGGGATGGGGGGAAGCAGAAGGGAGGGGGAGCGTACCACGCGCATTTGATGGACGTGGTGGGCGTTGGCGGCGAAGTCGGCGGCGGAAAGGAGGGATCCTCCTGTCTGCAGTCCAAAGGAGATGACGAGGCTGAAGAAGATGACGCAGAAGCAAACGTTTGTCCGCAGGGAGCAGATGAAGAAGATGAGGCTGATGAAGCCCATGAAGAGGAACCAGAAGCCTATATGGTGAAATACACCCAACGGAGACAGAAAGTCAGCCCCCCGGTCCGCAATCCCTTTCTCGAAACTGACCGCAGGCAGACCAGAGGGGGTGGGGGCGCATCATGACGTACCGAGACCTGCGTTGAAGCCGGGGGCCTTGAGGCCGGCCAGGGGCGTCTTTGCGTCGAGGGGCGCATAAAAGGCGTAGGCGCCGTAGGACGGGCTCAGGGTGGCGGCAAAGGCGAGCCAAAAGGTGCCGTAGACGCCGAAGACGACGGCGGGGAAGGTGTTTCCCAGGATCCACTCGAGGACGCAGCCGAGGTTCATGAGGATGCCGCCCTGGAAGAGGTAGGCGCCGCTGGGGGGCTGGTCAGTTGGCTGGATCCACGAGGAGGGCGGGGAGTCGTGGCCACCATGGAGGGGATGAATAGGATCGACGACGACGAGGGGACTTACACGTTTGCAACGCCCTTGCCGGTGGCGCCGCTCCAGCCCATGAGGTCCATGGACAGGGGAGTCAGGCACAGCAGGAAGCCAGCCATGCCACTACGCGACCAAAGTCAGCAGGCCGTCCATGGGGGAGCAGCACGAGCAGCCCGGAAAGACACGCACATGGGACTGGGGTTGCCAAAGGTGGCCCTGAGATTGCCCTTGATGTTGTTCTTGGGCGACAGGTACAGCTTCTCAAACAGCTCGGGGCTCATGGAGACGCTCGTGGCGGTGCGGAACTGCTTCAGCGCCCCGCTGCGGTCGTCGCTGTCGCCGTCGGCCTCGACGTCGGCCTCGGCGTTGGCCCACTGCCGCTCCTCCTTGGGCGCTGCCCGGCCGTCGTCTCCGTTCATGACAGGTGGCTTTGCTTGTCTTGTTTGGCTTCGGGGTTGTTGCTTGCGATCCTTGGGTCGAGGTGGGGGGGGGATGGGTCGTTGTTATATCTTCCTCCTGCTTTTGTCTTTTGCTGCTGGGCGGTCCCTTGTCGGTTGAATTAGGGGTTGTAGATGGATGGGAAGACAGTCGTGAGGTCGGCCAGGGGATGAAGGGAAAAGGAAAGAGAAAGAGGGAGAGAGATTTGGGGAAGGGGGCCTAGGGGATCGATCCAAACTCGCTCCGAGCTTAACTTGTCCCCCCCCCCCCTTCTCAATCGCCGCGGCCGGTATAAGTGGCCAGCCGCTTTATACCTTGAGACCGACGATAGGATCCCCGCATGGAGAGCGAAGCGCCTCGCGCGCTAAACCTCTTTCCGCGCCTCCCGCTGTCCGCCACGGTGGTGGCATCATGATCGCCGGTAGGGCAGAGACCTTGCTCCGGAGCCCCGGGGCGGCGAGCACCCAAGTGGAGGTTGCTGGTGACTATACGCGGGAGTTGAGAACGTCCAGGGGTTGCTTCCGTCGATTGGGCCGCTGCTTGGCTGGGAGCTTTGTCTCCCCGGGGTTGTCCCTCGGTAGTTGGTGGTTTCGGTGGCGAGGATGCTCTCTACCTGGCGCCTCTTCTTGCATCGACATGTGTGCGCGTCGGACGTGCGCGAAAACTCGAGGCTATGGGGTTCGCGACTCGTGGCCGGTGAGACGTTGTCTCGCAGCAACGCCAACCCTCAGCGCCAACAACACCTCCTCGTCCATCCTCCCACGTCCACCGCTGCCTTCCAGACGCCAGTTGCGGCGCAAAAGGGCACGAGCCCAACCCGCTCAACAAGTCCCACCACCATATAACCAAGAAAAAAGAAGAAAGCCAAATCAACCAACAAGACGGCAAAGTCCAGCTGCGGCAGGGAAACCCGGAAAGCTTACACCGGATTCGACGCTAGGTTTGCCTGGCATGGAGCCGTGGCCGTGGCCGTTTCGGGCAAGACGTCTCGGAGCGCTCGGGCGGCAGGCTTCTGGGAGAGCAGGTGTAAGTGGTAGCTCTCTCGATTTGCCGTGCTTCCTGCCCGTTGTGCTACTCGAGGGGGAGGGAAGAAGGAAAAAAGACTCTGGGATGGCGAGCGGGGGAATGGAGCTTGCATGAACGCGGAAAGACGAGCAAAAGGCCGCTTGAGAAAGGGGGGGTGTGCTCGCGGTCGACGCCGTCACATACCTGGGCCCTGGGGAGGTCTGCTTCGCGTGCACATGAAACCGTGGCATACGCTCACCTCATAAATAGCAAGCACGCCGTGACGAGGAGCTTGATGATACACCGCGATGATACACCGCTCCGCGGGAAAGATGCCGGCATGCGCCTGACAGACGCCGCCTCGCCGCGTGATTCTCGTGGCCGGCGACGCCAAATCGCTGAACCCGGCTGCGCTTGCTCACCCTGGTCTTCCTGGTCTTGGTCCTTCTTTGAGCGTAGCTGCGCGGCGGTGGCGAATGTTTGCGCAAGCTCCGTGGCCTCAAAGCAGCCGTTGATCTTGGCGAGCCCCTTTTGGAACCCGCCTCGACGGGTAGGGGATGGGAACAAAGTGGGTTTCCATAGCGTAGGTTGTTTCCGTAGCGTGGGTTTCCATACCGGGAATCGCATAGGCTCCAAGGCAGCCGTTGCGAGACTTTCCCTCTCCCTTTCCCTTTCCCTTTCCCTTTCGCCTATACTATCCTCTCTGGCTCCCTTTCCTCTCGTCGTCCTGGATGGAGGTTTCGCCGACAAGGCAGACCAAGTAGTAATCTATGGCCGTACTCCTCCAAGGCAGCTTGTGGGCGCCAACAGACGGCTGTTGAGCCCAAGTGCGCATCTCCAGAAGTAGACCTGCTCTTAAGCAGTCATCGAAGCGCCGCCTCTGCACCATCATGATGCCAAGTCCATGAACCAAGGGTGTAGTAGATGACGTCGCCGTATAAGCCCAGCGCCCCTCACTCCATGAACCAATATCCCCGACAAGCATAGGCAAACAAAGCGCAGGCATCGTCCTGCTTTTCTGCCCGCAGCGCAATCCTTGGCCGTTATTCATGATCCATCATTCATCACCCATCTCGACGCTTGCCAAATCCCCACACATCACCACCCTCAGCTCAACCCAAGCTTCTCGAACTGCCCAGTAAGCCTCACCCCCCCGCCTAGCTGTGGCACCGCAGCCCGTGCCGCCGCGCCCCCGGCTTCTGGCGCACGTCCTTCGTCGCCCGCAGCCGCCGCCGCCGCCTTCTTCGCGCGCGGGGGCCCCCTCTGCTGCGGTGCCTGACGTCCCGCCGCAACCCCCAGGTATCCCCCGCCCGCCATCGCCGCGCTCACATGCGCGCGCATCGCGCCCATCTCCTTGAGCAGGCATGCCGCCGCCACGACGCGGAAGCTGCGCAGGTCGCCGTCGCCGTGGTACGCCTCGGGTGCCGTGCTCGCGTCCGTCACGCACCCAACCACCATGCAAGCCCAGCACAGCTGAATCACCTCTTCCCGGTCCCTGGTCTCGGCGGCGGCGACGGACTCATCGCGGCTCGTCACAGAGTACAGGTCCGTGTCGTCGTAGCTGCTGCCGTTGTGTAAGCCGTCGACGGTGCTGCGCTTGCGGATCAGGTCGACCATCCACGTCAGCACCCGGTCCGTCTCTTCCTTGAGGCGGATCGATAGGTCGCGCTGCTGCCGCGTCTGCGAGCCCCTTTTGTTAAGAACGGAGCCGCAAAAGACCTCGACTTCCGTGATGCCCGTTCTCGGGTTGTCCGAAAAGTGCCACATGCTATCGTAGACGGAGTCCTCGTAACTGAATCACAAGGTTAGCCCTGAGGTCTGCGTCTTTACTTCTGTTGCGAAGCGTGACTCACAGGTTTCGCAACTTCCACGCGTCTTCCGAGTGACGCTTGTACTCGGTGTCGATCCCGTACGCGTCTAACTCGGCCTGCATCCGTCCCAGGAGCTGGTCCCACACCGAGGGCCCGTTCATGTTGACGGTTCGGTGAATGTCTTCGCTCCAAATCTTCTTCTCGTCCACCCCGCGGTAGAGCTGGCCGAGAATCTTCTCTGACTTGTGGTACTTGTGTCGCGCTCCCCCCATGCCGTCGTCGTCATCGTCATCGTCCATGCGCCTTTCCTCGATGAAGTCGATTTGGCCGAGATCATATAGCTTCACCGGTGGCGCCGGTGACAGGCTGCAGCAGGTTCCAGTCAGCATATCGGGCAACAAATTCAACCAATGTAAGACAATATGAGAGGGGGGCTCACAAATCAGGGCGCGTCCGCGGCGCTTTTGGCATCTCGTTTAACTTGACCGGGATGCCCGTCTTGGAAAAGTCGACGGCCGTCGAGTGCATCCCCGCCAGCGCGATGCATCCCGCGTCGCAGGTCCCCTCAGGACTGACGTCGGCGAGGATCTGATGACGGTTCGCAATGAGGCCCAGGATATCCGTCTTCATAAACTGGATGAAGAAATCGGCAATGTCGTCGCGCCTGACGGGCCGGCCGAGCTCGGGCGGGCGCGTACGCGGGTAGTCAGCCGGGGGAAAGACTCGCTTGGGGCGCGCCAGGGGGTCCCAGATGACATTATACAGGTCTCCGTCCAGGTCGCCTCCGCTCAGCTGGCTCGGCAGGTCGCGCCGGCCGCGCTGGCTGAAGACGATGCAGTTGTTGAGGTCCCGAAGCGTGTGTCCCGCCGGCGGCGTCCGCATCTTGACCCACTGGACGTCTCCGGGGTGCAGGGCGGGACACCGAGTGACGATGATGTGGCCGTCGACGAGGGACGCGTCCATGCGGTAGCCGCTCTTTGCGTGCGTCTTGTCGTAGGCAATGTAGACCTCGCCCTCGTCGAGGAAGCCCGTCTCGTCCATGACGCCAAACAGCGTGACGCCCTTGTTGACGGGGATGCGGGCCTTGTGCTTGAGCAGGCGTAGCTCGCGGAGCACCACGTGCTCGACGACGGAGCGCAGGAACTCATCCCGCCGGTAGTCGATGCCCATCTTGTCGAGCTGGCCGATGAAGGAGGGGAAGCCGAGGGCGCTGCCAATGTCCTGGTACTGCAGAAAGGTGCTCGTGTTGGCGGCCGTGTGGGTGACGCCGCGCAGCATCTTGAGCGCCTTGTTCTGCAGCTTCTTGAACCAGTCGTTGTCGGTGCCCATGTCCTCGAGAATCTTGATGAGCTGGCGGTTGAGGACCAGGCGCAGGGGCTTGGACGCGACGTCGCAGATGCCGAGCTCGCGCTGGTCGCGGCTGGGGAACTTCATCATCGACTCCTCGCGCACGCAGATGACCTTGCCTCGCAGCCGCGAGTCGAGTGACAGCATGCCCTTGACGCCTCCCCAGCGGATCTGGAGGCAGGTCGGGGCCGCCGAGCGCATGGGCAGGGCATTCCACACCTCCTCCATGGCCTCGCGTGAAATGGTGCCGACGCCGTCGCTGAAGACGCGCGTCCCGTCTGCCGACTTGACATCCGGGATCGAACGGCTCATAATGTTGGTCCTGACGAGGTCGACGGCGTAGGGCGTCTCCGAAAAGGCCTGGCCAATGCGCGCTGCGCACTTGGCAGCGATGCGGATCTCGCTAAAGTCGCCCAGGGTCCTGAGGATGGTGTCGTAGTCGTGGCGCTGCATGTTTTGGTCGATGAAGGGGGCGAGGAACCAGGTCGAGTGGGATCGCAGCGACGAGTGCGAGAAGCCGAGAAAGGCAAAGCACCGGCCGGCAACCTGGATCCCGGCTTGCAACACCTTGCGATAGCGCTCGAACACGACATCGTTTGAGACCCTGGGGTTGAAATGTAGGTCCTGGCCGTCCTCGTCGCAAAAGCAAACGCGCAAGAAGTGGTCGCCGTGGTCGGGGAACATGCGCAGGACCCTGTTCTTACTCTCGGCGTCCGGGCCCTGGAGGATGACGCGGGTCGGAGTAACCATGGCCTTGAAGACCCAGGTCTGATGATCAGGGAGACCGAGACCGTAGATGCCGAACCGAAAGGGATCCTGCTTGCGGAGGTCGAGCTCGATGCGCATGGCGAGTTCCATGAGGCGGTCCGGGTCGAGGTGGGTGGGATCCGTGCCAGGGCATGGGTAGGGAATCTTTGGCAGCAGCTGCTTCATCGAGTCTGTGGTAAAGGGGAGGGCGCCTCGGTCCCATTTGGGGTCTTTGGCGATGTCCTCGATGATGGTGAGGGCTCGCATGCCGGCGGCCGGGTGCAGATAGTTGTTCCAGACGAGGCCCTGGATCTGGAAGAGGATGGGAAAGGGGACGCGCCTGGCGGATCCGGCGTCGTTGATGGCTCCCTCAAAGGTCCTGATGCAGGTTGAGTAGTCGTGGATATGGGGGGCCGGGTGCTGGTCGAGGGCGAGGCCCTGGAGGGAAAACGGGACTAGTTCATTTTCTCTCAAGGCGCGGAAGACGTGGGAGTCGCCGACGCCTATCCAGAGCTGATAGACGAGGCAGTGAGCGGCGTACTTTTCATGGTGAGGCCACTTGGGAAGACTGGACCTCCGCTCCCACCTGACCATGGAATAGGTCGAGGGCGACTGACGGGCGAAGAAGCGGGGGGGCTCAGTCAGGACGAGGGTCAAGGCAGGGCTGGTGTGGTCGGCAACAAGGCTCTCAATGATGTCGTAAGGCACGTCCATGCGGGCCGAGTCGTTGAAGGTGGCCGAGAGCCAGCGCTGGCCAAACTTGGCGTGGCCGAGCACGCCGGTGCTGAGCTGCTGGGCAAATGTCAGGGTAGTCGAGGGCTGGGCAAATACGTTTTTGCCGCAGGCGATGCCCCTGAGCCTGCACCGGACGGCGTGGGAGTGGGATCCGCGGTCGGGCCTCTTCTTGCGGTCCTCGCGCTCCGTCTTGAGGTGGCTGAGGGCAAACTTGTCGACAGTGCGCTTGCTCTTTGTGACAAAGACGGGCGTCTGGAGGATGTGCAGGCGAGCAATTTCGCGACGGCGCTTGGTATGAGGCCCCTGGTCATGCTGCTGCTGTTGGATCACCTTTTCGTGCTTGGCCAGGAACTTTGCGCCGTCGGAGACGTTGAGAAAGGTGATAGAGGCAAAGTCCTTTCTCCTTGCCTTTTCGCAGGCCCAGTCGAGGATGCCGAGGGCGTTGGTCCAGGGCTTCAGCTCCTTTTTGAGGCTGTCCTCGGTCAGGTCGACGGGGACGTTTCTGAGAAAGACTTCCATGGCGGATGGTGGAGTTGGTCAGAGGCAATTCAAGAGCCCATGATGGATGGCCCAGGCCGGCAGATGCGTGCGAGACTGTCTGGCTGGCGGAGGCGCAAACAGGGCGGTCAACGGAGTCGGTGAAGATGCAGCGAAATTCTTTGCCGTCGAGCTTGGAGTGTGGTGAGGTTATTCGTACTGTCTGCCACAGTGCGAGAGTTTAAGTCCAGGTCAACCTCCAACCAATCAATGGTTACTCCGCAATAAAAAATGCTCTCTCTGCACCGCTCGAGGGACAATCGGGATGGCATGAATAATGATGGATGATAGAACGCAACGCATCACCCGAGGGAGCACCGCTTATATAGACGTCGGGCCCGACCCGGGAGTCCCGTTCCCATAAATACGACCCCCTGGTTCTCGTGCCCGCTGCGGGAGGCCCACCACGGTGCGAGCGGTGCGGGGTCTCAGGGCCCTGCCGAAACATCTTCAGCGGCGTCTTCGGTGACGGCTGCGGTGAGCTCCTCGGTGAGGCATCAACCGTCACGGGAGCCCACAAAACAGGATGACCACATTCCTATTGGCCTTGCAAACACTGCCGTTTCATACTCTCTGTTCAATATATAAATCCAAAGATGCCCTCTCATCCAAAACACACCGGCGTGCCTCCGCCAGCTTGAACCATCCCAAGCCACCATGGACTCCCACTCCACGTCTTCGTCACCCGGACTCCTCCTCGTAACCATGCGCCCTCATGCTTCACCCGCCAGCCGCGCCCGCTTCCGCGACTGGTACAACAACGAGCACGGACCGGACCGCCTGCGCCTGCCCGACATTTTCGCCAACGGCCTGCGCTATCGCTCCCTGTCGTTGTCCGACGATGAGAAAGACTCGACGGACCTCTTCATGGCCCTCTACGACGTCCCGCTCATGCATCGCCTCGCCGAGCCCGCCTACACCTCCCTCCGCGCCCGCCGCTCCCCGCGCGAGGCAGAGATCATCGCCGCCGACGTCGACGATTTGCGCCGCGACCTCTTCGACCTCGTCTGGACCAGCCAGGTGTCCTTTTTCGTGCCGCTCGAGAAGCTCGCAGACGATGAAGCACACGCCATCGTCACCGTCGCAGAGCAGGTCACCCCGTCAGAAGGCGACGACTACCGCGCCTGGTTCGTCGACGAGCACGTCCCGACGCTCGCCCAGGGCGCTGGATGGCTGCGCTCCCGCCTCTTCAAGACGTCAAGTCTCGGGCAGCAGGAAACGGTCGTCTACCTCGGCCTCCACGACTATGCCAAGCATAAGGGGGACACGCCCTCTACAGACATGGCCCGGAGAATAGACGTCCTGGCTGAGAACCGACGCACCTGGTCCCTCTTTTACGTCTTCGGCCCAGCCCCGCGCGACCTCGGAGCCGTCTCCCTCAACCCGGACCCGGCCGCCTTCACCTCCCCAGACGGACGGACATCAACGGTCCGTAGCCCCAGCCCCGTCATCAGCTCCTACATCACCACCAAAGACTCTCTCACCATCCCGTACCGTCTACAAGGAAACCCAGCTCCCGACGCCCCAGTAGTCGCATTCAGCAACTCCCTCCTAACATCCCTCCACATGTGGGATCCCCTCGTCGACCTCCTCAAGCAAAAGCGCCCCGACCTGCGCATCCTCCGCTACGACACCCGCGGCCGCCACCCCATCCCCCAGCCCCCCCACGCCGCGACTTTTGCAACCCTCACAGCAGATCTTTTACAGCTCCTCGACTCCCTGCACATTCCTCGGCTCTACGCCCTGGTCGGCGTCTCCGTCGGCGGCGCCACGGCCCTCAGCTTCGCCATCAACCACCCGACCCGCCTGCGCAAGTTCATCGCCTGCGACTTCAACAGCGCCTCCACCCCCGCAAACACCCAGGCCTGGCAAGACCGCGTGTCCTTGGCCGAGGCCAACTTCGACTCCGCCTCCGAAAGCGGCATCCGCAACCTCGCCGACCAGACCATCACCCGCTGGCTCCACCCCGCCAGCTTGGAAAAGGCCCATCTCAAGCAGTGGCTAGCCGACATGGCTGCCGCCAACGACGTCGACGGCTTCAAGCATTCCTGCACCGCCCTCTGGGACTATGATTTGAGGCCCGATATGCCGGCTTGTGCTGTGCCTGGCCTGTTTGTCGTAGGAGAGGCAGACGCAAAGGGGGCTGTCGCAAAGGCCATGCAAGGCTTCAAGGGTATGCTCGGCGACCACGGGGCCGAGCTCAAACTTGTGCCAAACACCGGCCACCTCCCAATGTGTGAGGATCCCCAAGCCTTTTGGCAATCCATCAGCCACTTTTTGTAAACAAATTCTCCCGTGTAGGTGAAGCGTCGCCTCCCCAAGCCATACACGTGGCCGTAACAAAACACATGACAAGCCTGACGCTCTCTTCACCGTGACAAGTCTCTATTACTTGATTCTGCTCTAGGGCTCACTGTCTCCCCTTGTCCGAGTCCCCGTGGCTACGACGGTGCCATGTCCAGATTCTGCCAAACAATGCGTTCTCGGACCGCTAGTGCCTAGTTGCTCCTCCTCGCTTGCTCCGACAGGCCCGCCTACAGGCCCGCCCATCGTGCCAGAGACCCGTATGTTTGCTTGAAGGTGAAATTGAAGGCGTTTCCACGGCCCGCCCCAAATTGAAAAACCGAACCATCCAAGCTAGGCTTCCCCGTCTCGCTGTTCTCCCCCGTCTGTTTCGATGCCAGCTTGAGGGGCTTGTTGCGCGATTCCGAGCTATTCAGGGGTGGCATGTTCAGGTCAATGGAGAACATGGGGGTCTGGTTTTGCGTCACGCTCGGCTCGCATCTCGTGGGTCGATGGCCAACGTACAGTTTCGTCTTGCCGGACGCAATCTCGCCGGGTGTCGGTTTGCTGGATGTCGGCTTGGCTCGGAGATGGCCAAACGGCGTAGTCGAGGGCCCCCTGCGCGTGACCGGTCGCCCAACGTTCCAGTCGCATGCAAGGACGCCAAAGTAAACCCTCTCAGGCGCCTTGTGTCGGCTCGTATGGCTTGCTTTGGCGTAGCGCACGAAGCGATCTCGGAGCCAGTCTCGGATGTTGAAGACTTCGGGCTCAACCTTCCACTTCGAGGCACTGGCTTCGCCGTCCATGATTTCACAGAACCATCGATCCTTTGCTCGAAATACCTGCAGAGGCCTCAAACCTGTTTTCATCAGTCACCGAATATATCGTTTGGACCACAGCCATCACTTACCGTTGCCGTTGCTGGCGAGGTTAACGAGGTTCCGGCCCTGCTGCTTGTCGCGTGGGACCACGAAGTAGTCTACAAAGTAAAACTCCTCAAGGTTCGGCAGGCATCTGGCCAGAAACTGGTACAGATGGATGGGGTAGGTTCGCGTACCGGCGTGATGGTTGGGGATTGTGCACGAGTGGCAATGCGTGTCCCTTTCGGACTTCCAGGTGTGGGAGAAGCGTACGGCGACGCGCCGTACGAGGTCGAGACCCGGGCAGAAGAGTCTGATGTCGAGGGTGAAGTTGAACTGATAAACATTGTTGGGGAGGTAATCCAAGAAGACCAAGTCGGGAGAGTTATCCAGGGTAAGAATGTTGCCGTTTTCCATTCGCAGGACCCCGGGCCTCGAGACGAGGTTCTTGACCAGATTCGCCGACTCTACGCACGTCATGGAGAGGACGGCGAGCTGGCGATACAGCACCTCGTAGCGCGAGGCGTCGCCCCTCCAGTGTGGGTTCTGGGCAGCCAGCTTGGCGTGAATAAAGGGGCGTGGGTTAAAGTCCTTTTGAATCACCATCAAATCGACTGCATCCAAGCCGCTGCCAGAATCATCGTCGACGGGCTCTTGGCTCCTGGCGGTGACGGTGCCCAGAGAAATAGACCGCAGGGGAACTCGCTGCGACCTCCAACCGCGATCACAAATTTGCAGCTTGACAAAGTTGATGCCCGGGTCGGAAAGGTAGGCCTCCCATATCTTGTGGCGGACTTCGATGGGGAGACGGGGAAACAGGGTGAATGACCGACACTCAGCGGGCAGGTGAAACTTGAAGGGCGTCGCCATGGTGGTTGCGCGTAAGATGCATCGACAAGTTTTCGGGCTCCAAGCGATGACGACGAGCGACGAGGGCGGAAGAAAGAGACGAGGAGGCGGAGGCGTCTAGGGACTTGTTGAGCTCGCAGTCAGGGCGAGACGGATGCTTGGCGGTTTGGCTTCCAGCTTCAGGCACCGGAAGAATGTCCACGGTGCAAAAATACCATGCGAGACTTTTGTTGATGGATGATGGATAGTCGACGACCGAGGAGGTGAACGAGCGTCTACGAATCGCGGCGGGAGTCGAGGCTCGGAAGAAGTCAAAGATTTTCTGATGATGATGATGAAAAATAAATGGGGAAGAATGAGGTAGGGGGAAAAAAGAGAGGGCGAGAATAGAAAAGGTTGGGTGAAAGGGGAAAGAAGAAATTGAGGGTGACGAGAGGAAGAAGGCGGGCACTAAGCATCAGGTGCTGTTGCCGCGGGGCCAAGTTTTAACTCGGCGAACAGTCGCCTGTACTTTCAGCGCTCGTCCTCCTATCATTTTCGTCGGCGGCGCCCAAGGAAATACCAATACAGGGCGGCCTTTAATCAGCCTGACGGCAAGCATCTGAGCAGCAGCGGCAGTAGCAAGAGAAATATGAAGAGAACAAATAAAACATGCCCATCGCTTTTCTCCAGAGCCCATGTTTCTCTCTCACTATCAAGATATGCTTCCAGTCCATCCACTCTCGCCGACCAAGCCAGCCGGCAGAAGCCCCCATCTGACAGTCTCCAAAAGACCAAACCGGCTTATTCCAACAGTCAAGCCCAGGGTGGTTTTCCATACCCAAGTATGGAAATACCCTTTCCATACTATGGCATGGACAGGGTATGGATATGGATCCATAGTATTTCAATACTCAGTCGATAATTGGCCAAATTGCGCCACTGACCGGGACCCCTACAGCGCCATCGTCCAGGGTCTGAGGGCCTTGAACACCGCTAATTCCCACACAAACACAAATCGCTTTCCCACCATTTTGCACCAACGCGTCGGACGAGTCAGTTGTCGAACTATGGATACTGCAAGTACGTTATCCTTCTTCGATGCTGAATCTATTTTGTCGGACTCTACGACATCAAGATCTCGCAATACAAGAGGCAAAGCGGCTATCGCAACGTGGAAGCATGCTCGCGTTGCAGCAGAGGGGGAGGAAGAGTTTAAGGGCCGAAATCGCCTTCTCTATTGCAGTCATTGTCCCCAGACAAACCCGTACAGAACTTCAGTTACCACTAACTTTCGAAAACATCTGGAGGAAAGCACGATATTCGAGTCGTGGAAGATTTGACTCCTCTTCAATCGTCCATCTTTGAGGGTTTGAGCAACTCTACCAGCAAGCACGGGACTTGGGCCGCACAACGGAGATTGAGTCGGAGGTCTTCAAACGCTACCTGGACCAAGACAAGATAAACAAAGCCTTAGCTTTGCTGATCGTCGCACGAAACCTTCCTTATCGAATTGTCGAATCCCGCGAATTTCACCTCTTCATTTCGACCTTGAACCCGGTCGCGAAGGACTATCTCCTTCCGCCCACTCGACTATTCCACGAATTATCGACAATCATTTCCAGTCGGCCAAGGATATCGTGCGAATGAAGCTCCAGTCAGCAAAATCAAGGTTCACCTCTCGCTTGACATTTGGACGTCCCCAATCGGCTCCTTCTTCTCGGAGTTTGCTCCCACTTTGTTGACCACGCACAAGAAGCACGACGGAAAGCTCTCCTTGCACTTCGGCCTGTGGCGAACCATTCCGGGAGGAGCAATTCGTTACACTTCTTCCCATCTTGCGGGACTTTGGTATTCTGCGACGCCTTGGAAGCATCGTTGGGGATAATTCGAGCACGAATGACACCTCTGCCGGGCAGTGAGCACGTATCTCAAGGAAGAGGGCGTCAAATGGGATCCTGAAGTTCACCGCCTCCGATGCCTAGGCCACGTTATCAACTTGGCAGTTCAAGCTTTCCTGTTCCAGAATTCTATTGACTTGAAAGAGGGCGAAATATGCGAAGACGCAGATGACCTGGCAAAAGTTCAAAGGCAGCGCACCGAATTTCGCCGCCTTGGACCACTTGGTAAGCTCCACAACCTGGTTGTCAACATCCGGAGTTCATCAGGACGCAGTGGAGAGTTTATGGAACTCGCTGAGAGGGCATTCCACTTGACAATCGTACGAGGTGGAATAGCTGGTATCAAATGCTGCATGTTGCCACTCAGCAGGAAACTGCCAGCGCTCTGGACACCTACACCAAGAATCATTTCGAAGATCTTTCTGCAGATTTTCTATTGCCGGAAGATTGGGCCCGGCTCCGAATAATTGAGAAGATCCTTCAACCGTTCGCCCGAGCGACATTAGCAACACAAGGGATCATGCGACCCTGGACAAAGTGCTCTTCACGATGGACGTCTTGATCCGATGCTTTGATGAAGCCCTGGTACCATGCCTTCCATTCCTCTGATCTCCTTGTGCAAGCGCTGAGATGGTGCAATAGGTCTCGTACAAATCAGACACCGAGCTGTCCTTTAGGATCAAACGAGGGTGGGAAGTCTTTGACAAATATTATAGCAAGACAGAAGCATCGCCTGTGAAAGGCCTCTAGTGAGTTGATACAACTAACTAGTCCCTATGCTGTTTACTATCAAGATAGAGAAGAAAGAAAGAAAGAAAGAGAATCTACTACATGAGAGCACAATAGCATTTTATAGCTTCGAGCCAATGGAAGGTTCTAGAAGCTAGGCGGCGCAGCCGCCGTTAAAGCGGCTTGCCCGTTACATCGCCCTATTATGCAGCTGCCTTGATCCTTCATCCCAGCTATCGCACAACATACATCCAGGCAAATTGGAAGAAGAAGTGGCAAAAACCTGCGTTCAAACAGGTCAAAGACCTTTGGCTCACATACCGAGACACTGTGGATGGCGCCCTCTCGCAACATTTACTAGATGACGATGATGACGAGGACCTTGACGCGTTTGATCGCATTTCAAGGAACCTGCAGAATTGCACTCGACCGTCAAGCCAGGACGAGTACGAAGATTACATTTCATGTGATCCGTACGACATTACGCCGACGACGGCCTTGTCATGGTGGCTTCAAGAGCAACAGAAAACGATGGCACAAGCTATCACAAATGGCCATAGACATCCTATCAATGCCGGCGATGAGTGATGAACCTGAGCGGGTGTTCTCAGGGCGCGTCGCACAATCTCATGGGAAAGAGCCCAATTGGACGCGAAACAAGTCGAAAAGGGAGAATGCTTAAAGCATTGGCTCAAGAACGATATCTTGCAAGGGGCCGAGGGTGGTGGCGGGTCCCCAGATTTTGGGTAAAATCCTGGCTCAACTTCTACGCCTGTTTCCTGCAAAAGGAGCAAATTTCTGCTTGGCATCCCCTTAACCGGTCGTCTGTCATTACGTTCACGTTAACTGTTCCTTGATTTTTCATTGATTCATGTCGTGTTTGGCACGTTTTGCCGAGACCATATAGGTGAGCTGTTGCGGGATGCGCACGGACCAAGAATGGAAAGGTGTATTGCAATACTTGCAATAAATGTGGGGCGATACTCCAGTATGGATTGCACACCTTTCCATATATGGAAAACCACCCTGGTCAAGCCGTTTCCCTCAGAGACGAATCAGCATCGACGACAGACGCCTTTCTTTTTCCCACTTCTTGATCTCGGTCAGTCCATTAGTTTGTTAACAGTGGCACCGCCCCCAAACCGACCGCCAATAAGCTCCTCGTCCCCCGCCCAATCGGGCAAGCAGCCAAAAGGGCGCTCCACCAGCGTCTCATGAACCTTGGCAAGTATTCCATTGGGCCTCTTGTTACAGACTCCCTGCCATGATGACCACGGCACACCCTCTAGCAATGCTTCCGACTGTCCCCAATGGTATATCCTGGCGCCCAGAGCGCGCAAACCGAGCCACTACAAGGTTGTATATGTAAATATGCGTGTCAAAAAAAGGAAAAGCACAAGCCTCGACGCGAGCAGCAGACAGTCGCCTGCTTGGGTCAACAGCCGTGTGTGGGCCACGCCGGCCGCCGGCCAGCCTCGTGTATGGCGGGTATCAATGGCACTCGGGTGCAAATGACCAAAGCGTGTGGGTGTCCGAGACACTCGGGGAGAGCCGACTCCCCCGCCTCCCTCAAGCCGCGAAAGCTGGCCCGCCCCTCGATCGGCCAATCGTCTTGTAGCTCTCGTAATTTCCGTTTGCCCCCATCACGTCGAATCTCGCCGCCCCCATCACGTCCGACGTGTAGCCGCTGAAAAAGTACCCGGTCACAACAACCATGTACGTCAGGAGCAGGATGCTGCCCTTGAAGTAGTTGCTCTTCCCCTCGCCGTACACGTAGCTCAGCAGAAACACGCACAGGATGACTGTCACCATGTCCCACTGCGGAAACAGCAGCGCAAACGTGTACGAGCCGGCGTCGGCCCCTTTCGAGGTTGCGGGGAACCACGCCGAGTACAGCACCAGGCAGGGGATCTGGAGCAGGCACACCTGCAGGGCGTAGGCCGAGCCAATCTCCATGGACAGGGCAATGTTTCCGTTCATGGCGAACGAGATGGCGTTCTGTCATGGATCCACGTCAGCAGGGGCACATAGCCTTCGTCCTCCTCGGACACCACTTACCAGAAACTCGGTCGTGTTGGGAACCAGGGCAAACAAGGTGATGCCAAGAAACTTTTGGTCGATCGAGAAGCTTTCCAAAACGACGTCCACGGTGTTAACGAGGATCTCGGCAATGATTGCGTACAATATCGTCGCCCCGAGGAGGATGACGGAGCTCTTGGTGCGGCTCCAGTTCGGCGCGTCGTGCCCGTCGTGGCCCCCGCCGTGAACCGTCGCCGTCTCCGCGCCAGCAGTGGCCGGCCCCTCCCCCATGTCAATGACGGCACCGGGTCGAGGAGGCGGATGGGTTTTGGACGTGACAGTCGATACACTGGGCACGCCAGACATCTTGCGTGAGAAGCGGTCGCGGGACGCAATCGTGGCGGCGGTGGCGGCAATCTCGGCAACTTCGCGAGCCAGGGCCGTGTTTTCGGCCTGGCTGAGGCCGGGAACATGGACAGTCGAGCGGGCAGCCTCGTGACCCTTGGGAGGGACGACGTGCACCGTGTTGGTCGTGCCGTTTGGCGCCGCATCCTGGGTCGCCGTCGATGCCTGCCGGTGCGAGTCCTCGGCGCCGAGACCCGGCTGTAGGCCAACCTGCTTCAGCGACTGTCCGAGGATGCGCTTGTACAGGTGCGAGTCGCGAATGTCGGCTCCCGAAGCTTCAGCTCCCGACGGCTGCAGGCTTTTAATCACAGACGCCTGGATATGGTCCTCGTGCTTCTTCTCCTCCACCTCGGCGTTCCAGATGACGGCCGCGTGCGTTCGCAGAGTGAACCACAGGCCAATCAGGTACGAGAAAAACAGCATGGCCGCCGCGAGGTAGCAGTATGGCCGCACGGCCTCGAGATAGAACCGGTCATCCAGTGCGGGCGACTGCGAAAAGTAGCAGCGATGGCAGTCTCGCGTCTGCTTCGGGCCGTCGGTGCGGCCAGTGTTCCAGTCCTCGCAGTCCAGGCAGTTGAGCTCGTGGGTGCCGTAGATCTGGTAAAAGAGCGTCGGGCCAAAGGCGCCGACGACTGCAAAGAGCAGCATCGTCGACGTGACCCCGGCAGACTTTGCGTTGAAGCGCTGCGTCTTGCGCTTGATGGCGCCAAAGCACATGGAGATGCCCGGCAGAAACAGGATGCCGGCAAAGATGCTCCCGACGATGCTTCCTTCGACCAGCTGGCCCTTGCCCTGGCTGAGAGCAACGCAGTAGAGAAAGACCTCGACCACGGTTGCAAAGAGGGCGTTGATGGCGGCGCCCAGGCCCATTGACGACTGCGCCGAGATGGACGCCACGGCCTGGCCGATGAAATACGCCAGCGGGATAATCGACAGCAAGGCCGCGCAAAAGAGAAAAGCCGGGGACGTGATCTGGTTCTGCACGTGCAAGACGCGGTCCAGCACCATCCAGTCAAAGATGACAAAGATGACGACGGCCATGAGGTTGATGAGGAAGATGTTTGTGCCGTCGACCGTGTACTTCCAGTACTTGGAGCCCACGGCCCTGTAGGTGCACAGCAAGATGGACGAGTCGGGCGCGTCCTCGTCGCGCGAGTACTTGACGTGCGATTCGAAGGAGACGGCCAGCGGGTGTCGGCGGAGGTGGTCGAAGAGGAGGATGGAGACCTTGCCCATGGGGATCCAGAAGACGAGGAACCAGCAGATGGCGGAGACGAGGATGAGGCACGGAGAAATGAGGCAGTAGAAGAAGAGGAAGAAGATGACGCGGCCAATGTTCCACTGGCCGCGGCCAAAGAGCCTTCGCCGCCGCGTCTTGTTGTTGGAGCTGCCGCCGTGCTCGCCGCGTCGTCCGCGCCCCAGCAGGCTTTCCGTTTCGCTCGGCTCCGAGTCGATGCTCCTCCTCGAACGCCCAACAATGGATCGGTTGCGGTCGGGCCCGAAGAAGAGTCGGCCGTACTCGAGATCGCCGCTCTGCCACTGCTCGTACTCGGAGATGCTCCGGCCCTCGTCGGCATCCTCGTGCAGGTATGCCTCATCTTTTTCGAGCCGAACGAACTTTCCAAACGGGTAAAAGAGGTAGCCGGCCAGACCCCAAAGCACTCTCCCGTACTCGCCGCCGCTCCGTGTCGCAGCGAAGAGCAGACAGACGACGGCGCCAAAGGCCGCGAGAGTGGCCATCCACCATCCGAAACACAGGGTCCAGAGGAGGTTGAAGAGGAGGAGCCAATGGCTCACCCGGCCACCGGGAGTCGAGTGGATATCGGCCTGGGCGGTTTTCTGGATGGAGCGGTCCTTTTTGTAGAGGGCGGGCTTCCAGACTCGGATACCAAAGGGATGCGTCTGGTTGATTGCCTGCTGGCGGTCCTTGAGGGTAAAGCTCTCGGCGTCGCTAATGTCGCCATCGGAATTGCAGTCGGACTGCTCGTCGAGGGGTGATTCTTGCTCTGGCTCCGAGCCGTCGTCCTCGTCCTCTTCCTCCTCGGCCGTCGTCGGCGGGACACCACGATCTTCGGGTTCGGGGCCGTCGTCACCGGTGTGAAGCGAGGGCAATCGCGCCGAGCCCGGAGGTTGTGGTGGCGGTGGTGGTGGTGGTGGTGGTGGTGGTGGCCGGCGCTTCGAAGCGTAACCGGGGGGCAGGTCACGGTGGCGGTGGACGGCATCGGCCTCGACCTCGTGGGTGTCGTCGTCTGCGGAGAAGAGGTCTCCTCGGTGAGGCGTGTTGGACGATATGCGGCGCGACAGGGGAGGCTTGCGGGGCAGACGAGACATGGACTTGATGCGATCAGGGGCGGCAAGGCTGGGGCGGGACTGCTGGACAGAGGCCCTCTGCTGCGATCGGTCGAGCGTTGGCTCTACGGGGCTTCTGCTGCTGCTGGCCGTGGCGGTGGCCGAAGACTGCATGGATCCTGGTTGGGAGGAGCCGCGTCAGCAACAATGACGGAGGAGGGAGCACTGGGAGGAGACGAGCTCGATGCTCACCATATCCAGGGCCGTCTGGGCGGTGTCGCACCGTCTCGTTGGACTGGAAGCTTGCCGACAAGTCGTCGACGAGTTCGACTCTCACAGCGGGATTGCGGACATCTGTGGGCGAGGCGGCACCGGGCGAAGGGGGTGGCGGGCGACGCCGTGCGGGCGTGCCCTCTCGATCCATGCTTGGTGGTGGCCGTGGAATATGGAGGTGAAGGCGAGGACAAGAGATGTGGAAGCGCTGCGGGCCAGGACGGGCCGTCGGCAGCTGCGTTGGCGCGGAGTTGCTCGTCAACGGCGAGGTGGGATACACGGTCTAGACGCGACCCAAGGTGTGTGTATCAAGCGGCGCGGGAGAGACAGACGTCGGGGACACGTCGTTGACGTTGGGTGGGGGAGTGATGAAGTCTGGAGTGGATTCGCCCCTCGGTGGTAGCGAGGTAGAGCCTGGAGGCACAGGGCATGTGCGGGTCAGCAAAGGCGGCAGCGTCGGGCCACGAGTCGGCGGCCAAAACGAGTTGGTGGCGCTGTGCTTGAGCGGCAAGCGCACCGGGCACGTGTAGCAGGCAGGAGGCCCGAGTTTATAGCCAAGGAAGGGTAAAGGGTGGTCAAGAAACACAGCCAAGCAATATTCTGCTGCGGTTGGACCGTTGGGGCCGAGCCAAGCCGGAGCTGGTGGACCAGCAAGACGCGCGAGAGCGGCACCTAAATAAACGGGCCAAGATTGCCGTCTTTATGCCTTGTCGCGTGCCTCGCGAACCGCTCCCACTCGCTCCCTTTTGCATCCATGAATGACGCTCCCTCCGTCTGTACCACCCAACACTACGGATACCACCTACCTTGCTTCTCACTCAAGGGCGGCCAAGGGGAAATCATTTCTTGATTACTCGCTCAAGGTGCTGTAAATCGGGGGGCTGGCCAAGGGCGAAATCCCGAGGGGGCACCAGACTCGCCTTGTCGAATCTGGTGATGCACCGCATCGACCCCGTGCTCCATGAAAGCTGTCCAAAAGATGCTTAGCCTCCCTCCCAGACATGTAAACAAGCGGCCATGAATCGAGGAAAAAAAGAAAGCAAAAAATGCCCCCTTGTTCAACTTGAAGAGATCCACCGGCATATAAGACGCAGACGCACGTGGACTAGACGGACAATCATCCAAAGGCACTACCACAACAACAATCAACGGCGGTGCCCTCGATGGACGGCAGCACGGATCACGAGGCTTGGCATCTGGCCCCCCCTCTCCGACGAAGCCCGAGAACCTACCATACCTGCTGCCATGGTGGTGGACTTGCAGCCCAAGGCGAGGACTTTTCCCTGCACGGCTGGGCATGCGAGTGATGGATGGCCACGGCCAAGCACCATTGGAAGCCTCGCTCGATAAGCCGTCGCCGTAGCCTTGGACGAGAGGTCTTGGCACCAGGTGTTGGTGGCCATGCGCGAGTAGAGACAATGGACCAATGACGGTCGACACTCACCAGTGGCCTGTGATAACGCATGTATGCATGTAGCACTCGGCACTATGTGGATAAGTTGTGCCTCCGTTGTGCCTCCCCCACCGGCATGCGCGCGGCCTTGGCCTCCGCACCGACCGGACCAAGGCGGCTGATGGAGCTCCGACGTCCGTGTGGCTTGGTCTGTTACGGCAGAGTGTTGTTCCGCTCCGTCATGCGCCGGCTTGCCGACCCTCTGGAGCAGGTGCCACAGAGCCAGGGAGCGAAAGCCACACACTGTACCTAGTACTGCCGCGCGCGGCCCTTCTCCCACGTTCCCTGCCGTCTCGAGTACCTATCTGCAAACAAGCTTACGAGAACATCCGGCAGCCTTGCCAGCCTGAGGCCAGTCGACTTCCAACCTCCAACGCCAGCATACAATCCACGCCGCAGTCCCTCTCGCAGCAGCACCAGCCATTCCCCGTGTCCAGCAGCAGTCTCCTTATCCCCTCCCATCCAGTCTCGAGCGCATCTGACCACCGCCCACGATGGCGCTGGACGAGTACTACCACAACAAAATCGAGGCCATGAAGCTCGAGATCCTCAAGGGTCAAGCAGCTCTGCGCCGCCTCGAGGCCCAGCGCAACGACTACAACTCCCGTGTCCGGTTACTTCGAGAGGAGCTGGGTCTGCTGCAGCAGCCGGGCTCCTACGTCGGCGAGGTCGTCAAGGTTATGAGCACCAAGAAGATCCTCGTCAAGGTGCACCCCGAAGGCAAATACGGTTCGTTGGCCCTGCATGCACGCGGCGCCTCGATTCTAATGCTCACACCCCAACAGTCGTCGATGTGTCCGACAGCGTTGACGTCGCCAAGCTCACCCCCGGCAAGCGAGTCACCCTCCTCTCCGACAGCTACAAGCTCGAGAAGCTGCTACCTTCGTCCGTCGACCCCCTCGTCTCCCTCATGATGGTCGAAAAGGTCCCCGACAGCACATACGACATGATTGGTGGCCTGGATCAGCAGATCAAGGAAATCAAGGAAGTCATCGAGCTCGGTCTCAAGCATCCCGAGCTGTTCGAGTCCCTCGGCATCGCCCAGCCCAAGGGCGTGCTGCTCTACGGCCCGCCCGGCACGGGAAAGACGCTGCTGGCGCGAGCCGTCGCCCACCACACGGCCTGCAAGTTTATCAGAGTCTCGGGCTCGGAGCTGGTGCAAAAGTACATTGGCGAGGGCAGCCGGATGGTCCGGGAGCTCTTCATCATGGCGCGCGAGCACGCGCCGTCCATCATCTTTATGGACGAGATTGACAGCATTGGCTCGTCGCGCGTCGAGGGCTCATCGGGCGGCGACTCGGAAGTCCAGCGAACCATGCTGGAGCTGCTCAACCAGCTCGACGGCTTCGAGCCCACCAAGAACATCAAGGTCATCATGGCCACCAACCGCCTCGACATTCTCGACCCGGCCCTGCTGCGGCCGGGGCGCATCGACCGCAAGATCGAGTTCCCCCCGCCAAGCGTCGAGGCCCGCGCCGACATTCTGCGCATCCACAGCCGCAAGATGAATCTGACGCGCGGCATCAACCTGACAAAGATTGCCGAGAAGATGAACGGCTGCTCGGGCGCCGAGCTCAAGGGCGTCTGCACCGAGTCAGGCATGTATGCCCTGCGCGAGCGGAGAGTGCACGTCACGCAAGAGGACTTTGAGCTGGCCACGGCCAAGATTCTCAACAAGCACGACGACAAGGAGGTGTCGCTCGGCAAGCTGTGGAAGTAGTTGGGATCGGCAATGGGGCTTGGCAGGTGCCACGGAGCGGTATATACATCGGTTGCGATGGAAGCACAGGCGGAGAGCGGAGCGGAGGCTGTACGGATATTTACTGTACCAATACTCCAACGCGGGATGCCCTGCCACGCGGCCTGTGATTCTGCCTGCCTTGAGATGTGTGTCACTGACCTTGCTCACGCGCGTACGGCGCAACTTTTTCGATTTAAATCCATTTTGAGCGTCTGACTGAGAAGCCTACCTTACTTGACTCAGACAAGGGAGCAGAATCACGGCTCGCAACACATGTCGCCACATGCAGTCAATCCAACACCGGAGATGCACGGACACGGCCATCCACCATGTCCCGATCCCCGGACACGCGAATCACCCTCGAGAGGCGGGGATGCAGGCCCGTCTGCCTAGTTGCCGCGGGCTTCAACCTCGCCGATGGGAGAGACGATGCCGTGCATGCCGGCGTAGCTCGAGGACTGGGCGGGCTTCCAGCCGAGACTGGCGAGCAGCTCAGGGTCCTCGACGCGGAAGACCTGGACGTGGAGCGGGCGGCAGCACTTGACCATATCCTTTTGGCTGTCGTCGCCGAAGCCCCAGGCTGAGAGGTCGCCGCCAGGACAGGTGCCTAGACGCAGGGGTCTCTCAGTTAGCCGACGGACAGCAGCCTCGCATTCCCTCTCCTTTTCTCTCATCTTGCGCACACTCCCTTCCAGCTTGCACACGCACCCAAGGAAGAGAAGGAAGGGGGGCAAACGCACTCAACGCCATGAGCAGATCCTGCTCGGCCAGGAACTCGACACAGTCCCCCGCGCGCGCAGGACAAGGGCTCATAAAGTACCGGCCCCTCTCGTCCAGCCCCGTGACCTGGAAGACGTTGAGCACATCGTGGACGTCGGCCTCGGCCAGGCCCCAGGGCAGGACGGCGCGGGCGAGGTTGGAGTGGCAGTGGAAGTCGTAGCGGGCGCCCGGGTCGAGGACGGCGTTGACGTAGGGGTCGCAGCGGGTGCCGAGCAGGTCGTGGACGCGGCCGCCGCGGGCGTCGACGCCGTACCAGGCCAGGCTGTCGTGCAGCAGGGTGGCAAGCGGGCGCATGTAGGGCAGCGTGGACCAGAGGCGGTCGTGCGTCGTGACGTGTGACGCGTGCAGTTGGCGGGTGCGGCTGGCCCAGAAGCGCTCGCGCGGGTTGTGGCGGTTCCAGATGTTCAGGTCTCCTACATTCATTCATCAGCCTTTCATCTCAATCTTGTCCATCTCCAGCGGCAGACGGCGACTAATGGCCTGCCTGCTTACCTACTTGCGGCCCCTCGGGCGTGCTGATGCGCACAATGGACCCGGCCGGCGCCTCCCACGCCCTGCCGGAGCGAATGGGCAGCGTGAACTCTTCGGCGAGGACGCGGGGTGCGCTCTGGATGGCCTCGTAGGCCTCCTTGTCGACAGCCAGCGGGGACCCGGCCTTGGGCAGATAGGCCGGCACGGGCGGGGGGACGTTGTCGCGGGCCTTGAGCCGCTCTTCCATTGTCTCTGCGTGCTGTGGGGGCTGGGCCATGTTGGGCGTCTGATTTGAGGCTATTCCCAGGTGGTGGGTGTTGCAGGTGTGGACGGGCTGGTTATCGGGGGACAGACAGGCTGCGGTCGGTGGTCTTTAAAGATGGCCGGGTGCGAGATTTGTGGATGGCTTGGTCAAATAAGATCCGGATAACTCTATTATTATTCTGTGCGGCATTTCACTCGCCGTTTGTTTCCAGGGGCCGGAACGGGGTGGAGGACACTGACAAGAGCCATGACTCTACGGTGGACTCCGGGCCGAGATGCGGGCGTCGGGAAAGCCCTCCACGGCGGTGGACCCGGGGGCTGCGGGGGGCCGGGGAAGCGGGGGACATCGGCTCTTGGAGGCTTTCTGTTTCTCTCAAGTCAAGGATCATGCGTCTTGGCGACGCCGTTGCTTTGATTGATGGCCATTCCAATCATGCAATGCTTTGTCCTTGCTTCTATTGCTATCATGTGCAAAACTCGGTGCCACCGTCTCCGCGTTGGATCTCAATCATGCGTCTCCTGCGTGCAAAGTCGACTTTGACGGCGATTATACACGACTCGGCAGAGAAAGCGCCCATGTGCCACCATATGAATTGCAAGCCCAATGTCAGGAGGAAACAGAACCCCCGTTGCGTTCCATGACCCTGCCCGCCGGGTAATTCAAGAGCACGTACAGAGAGTACCGCACATGTAAATCCCCCGAAACTGACAACCTTGGCGCACGCAAACGCACGGGCGTGCGCCATGTAAGTTGTTGGTCGATCAACAATAGCGGCGGCAGGGCGCCAAGTCCCCGGTGCTGCTCCCCGCCAGACACGCCGGTCTAGAAGCCCTTTTTTCCCCTCCTTTTCTCTTCTTGTGTAAGATCTGCTGTGGGCTTGCTGACCGGTAACAAATATGTTGTGTGCGTGCGTGTGTGTGTGTGCGTGTGTGTGTGGGAGAGAGCCTGTGTGTGTGCCGGTGTCCTTGTCAGCCAAAGCAAAGGGCTCGTTGGACAACAAGGAGCCGTACGACGTTGCACACATGCTGGGGGGTGAAGGCTACGGGCGAATGGGAGGCAGACAAAAAGGGCTTTGCCCTCAACCTCCCGCTCCTCTCGCCATGCACCCACACAGGGCCGGATTGCCCAACTCGTGCTGTGCTTTTGCTACCCGGCCAAACCTGCACCTCGAGCCACGATAATGGAGGAGGCCTGTGGACCAAAGGGAGGCCGGGGAGCATGGTCCGGCTACCCAAGGAGGGTCTGGCTGAGTCCAAGCCTGAACCCTTGCAACCCACAGGTTGGCTGCAGGAGCCATCGTGGGGGGAATGTCGATCACCAAGCTCGTCTAGGAAGCTTGGCCAGAGCCCTCGGCACCGGTAGAGGTCAAAGGGTCCGAGACTTGGCCGCATGCAGCTGGTGGTAGGCCTGAGCTCTGCATGATCCGTCTCTTGCTGGATGTTCGTCCCGTGGTCGAGTCAAGGGAGCGTGTCTTTCATAATACATCAAGAGTCATACTCACAGCTACACGAGCAGGAAAGGGCATGTCCGTCGACTTCCACAAGACGCCGTCTGATGATGGATGGCAAGCAGTGCCCCTGGCCTCGGCAGCGTCATCAATGGATACAGTGCTGCCACTTGTCAGTGACTAGCCTTAGTGACGGTCTGACGCCACCGGTCATGCAAAGACACATCGGGAATAATAGGCAATATCGGACTTGTTTGCATCGGCAGCACGCAGCACATGCATGTGCCGCACGTGCAAGAAGATGGCGATATTCATGCGCAAGACTTTGCCAATACGAGCGGCCGCATGCACTCAGGGTCCAGCCGGCCTTGACATGCCGGTGGGATGTGAACATGAGTCTCCGACTCGCGGGGGAGGCCGAGTCGGGGTGGGACAGAAGCTCTAGAACGGGCCGTGGAGCCATGGTCAGGTACGCGTGACGGCAGAATGGGCTGATGTTCTTGGGCCGTGATTCGTGGAGCCTGTGTGTGCGAGCGCGGGTGACTCGCCACGTTGCTTGAGGCTGCGGGCTGAAGGGACGATTCCATCATGCACGGCTACCAAGCAGCAGTCGTGTTTCACCATGGCCGCTTATCCGGAAACGCTATCTGAGACCACGCCTCGGGATTTCCATGCAGGTGAAGCATCTGATGCGGATAGGAAGCAGGCAGGGAGTAGAAACTCCGCTGGACCGTGACATTTGTGTCTCTGGCATTGCAACGACGATGGACGTTGTAAGATATGTCTGCACTCCTTTTTGTGTCGGGTAGGCATGCAAGAGGGGACGCTCGTGTAGAGTGGTGTGTCAATGCCGCGAGACGGTCGATCATTGACGCGGATATAACTTTATAAATGTACAGTGCGTGTGCTCTCATCGACAGTGGTGAGCCAGAGACGGGGGGGAAAGGGTTTGAAAGGCAGCCTCAAGACTCGTGCAAGTGGCAGAAGCGTTAGAGAGGAGATGACGTGAGCGGGCGTCCGTGGGCGCTGTTGCGTCAAAAAAAGGCTTGGCAGGGCTGACGTCATGCGGCGGCGGCGGCGGCGGCGGCGGCGACTTCGGATCAAGCCAAAACCAAAGGGCAGACGACTTCTTTTGGATGGCTAAAAATAGCAGTAGCATGCGCTCGACGATAAAGAAATGCCATATTTCTCGGCAAAAGCCATGTTGCGCGTGGCCAAGGACAACAAGTCATGCGCAGGGATTTCCGGTTCCCACCTCGAAGGCGTCGCGAGAGTGACATGCGGAGTACGGAGTATTACCGGTAGATAAAGAAGGAAAACGAGAGACAATCCATCCCATAATTTTATTGCGGCCCTTGGAGGTTCTGGACCAGATACGCCAAGGTCCTGTGACGTCGGACCCGGCCCCTGATTGGCCCCAGGAGCTTGCCGAGAGCCCCCCTTTTTCTGGCCGCGCAGCTACCCAATGACGACGACCGTGCGCCATCGGCGGATACGTGCCCTCGCACGGTGCTTGCCTGTACCGAGTCGGGCCGTGGGCACAGTGCAGAGTTGTGATAGGACCCAAAACGGCTCCCGAAGGCTGTGTTTCGTCCTGTCATGCTCGGCTGTAGGGTAGCAAGGTAGGAAGGAGAGTGCCGATGCCTGCCGGGGCCCCTAGGCGACCTGAATCCTCAGTGTCCATCCCGTTTCGCCCCCTTTCCCGCCGGCAGAATGAGCAGCGCATGGGCTGCCCGAGTGCCGCAAGCGTGGTGATTGGCTTTGACGGCTTCCCTCTCGTGGCCATTCTCGCAGATGCTCCTCCCTGTCACCCACCCGCTGCGAGGCTCTTGTCGACGCGACGAGCGACGCTTTGTGCACACCGTGCCAGTCACGGCCTCCTCACTGTCTCGCGTCTGCCGTCTGCCCTGTGGCCCCGCCCTGTAGCCCCCCGTTTCCCCCCTACAGTAGACCTGACAGCGCCGACGACAGGGCCGCATATCCAACGAGAGGCGTGCGGTTCGGGCCACTGCTTATGCTGCTCTTGCGACGCGAGCCTGCCGTGCAAAAGAAGATCCCTTCCCAGCTTGTCGTCTCAGACAGTCAGACCCCTACTGTAACCCCCCCGGGCCTTGACCGCCGTGTGTTTTCCTTCTCCCTCGCCGCCTAGCGCTGGGGCTCCGTTCTTTCTGCTTCCCTCCCCTACTCCCCTACCTTGCCTTGCCTTACATAATAATCCGTCACGGCTGTTGACTTTTTGTCTTCCCCCCTCTCAGTAATTTGGCTCTCTTTTTTTCTTCTTTTCTTTCGGTGCCAATCCGTCTTCTTCACAGCTGACAGGAGTCGACAACCGAGTGTCTTTGTCGTTGCGAGCGAAAAGAGGACGAAGAGCACCGAGCCGGAACATAGCGACCCGTGGATCCGGATCCCGTTGCCACTTTGGACCTGCCCCGGGCTCAGGGTCTTCCCACCCCCCAATTCGCCTTTTCTGCGCCACCTGACGTATCCCTTCCCACAAGGCGCACACCACCGTATTCGGACTCCCCCGCCGCCGCCTCCCACACCTCCCCCAAAGAGCCTTCTGTCGAGAGACCCCTAGCGGCTGCCCGTGTTCCCGGCTAGACCTGTTTTCTATTGACCTCGACCTCGACCTCGCTCTCGCCCTCGCCCTCGACCTCGACATCCTCCTTTCATCCTCCTCTCCCCTCGATATCAACCATGGCTCTTTGAGTCTCGGCCAACAGGGCGCCGTTAGATGCTCTCTCCTCGTCCGCTCCTTCAGGCCATGCACGACTCCCGACCGCCAGACCGGACGCCTGTCCACCACTACACCATGAAGGCTCACTCGAGGCATTCCCCTGCCGCCGGCACCAGCTCCTACTGCCATACCGCCACCCACCCTCCGCGCGCCTCCAAGTCGAGCAAGACGACGACGACACCCCTCGCCTCGCCTCGCCCGCCCTACTCGGTCGGCCAAAACTCGCCTCCCGTGCGATCTCCCGGCCGCCACCACGACGTCCGGGCTCCCAGCCCAAACTACTTCGGCCTCGTCGTCGAATCAAACAGCGATCCGCGCGAGTCGTCGGGCCTCGTCAGAGACAACTGGAGCCCGGCCTCGGCTTCGGTCAGGTCCTTTGCCGCCGCCCTTCCCAAGCAAGTATCCCTCGAGCCCAATGCCGACTTTGAGGCTTTTCGCCGCCAGGTCGATATCAACAAGGGCAAGTCCTTCTCCTTGCCCACGCCCCATCATGTCCAGCCGACGTCACATCCCGCCCCCGTCCGTCCGCGCCCGCCGAGGTGGCACACCCACACCAGCGACGCCGGCTCCGAGCCCTCGTCCATGGCCCGATCCGTCTTCTCGACCAAGGAGCGCCCCACGAGCAGGATGGACATCGACCAGGACAGCCTCTACGACTCGGCCTACGTCTCTGCCGATTCCAAGCGCAACTCCGAGGCGTCCTTGGTCCCCGCGCAAATCATGGCCATGCCAACCTACGAGTCTCCCCGACCCATGGATTCTCCGCGACGGCCCTTGGTCCTGGCGCCGCCCGACGCTCGAGATCCGCGAATGTCGCTGGTGGAAAACAGAGCCGAGCCGACATCCCCCGTCGGGGCGGCCATGGGCACCCGCGCGGTTACCCTCCCGTCCCGCCTGGACGCCGCAGCCCCACCCATGATCTCGGGCGCCAACCTCAAGGAGCTGCTGGGCACGGTCGACGACGGCCGCCTGCTGCTTTTGGACATACGGTCGTCGCAGAGCTTCGCCCAGTCCCGCGTCAAGGGTGCCCTCAACCTCTGCATTCCCACCACGCTGCTCAAGCGGCCCACCTTTAACATCCAAAAGCTGCAGCAGACATTCCAGGGCGGCTCGGGCTCGGGCAAGTTTGCCGAGTGGCGAAAGATGGACTGGATCGTCGTGTACGATGCCCACGCCTCTGACAAGCGCGACGCCGTGACGGCACAGAACATGATCAAGAAGTTTACAAACGAGGGCTTCACCGGACACACGGCCATCCTGCGCGGCGGCTTTGGCATGCTCCAAAAGTCCTTCTCAGAGCTCATCGACGAGGGATCGGCCGCGTCCCCGGCTGGCCAGGGCGAGTGCAAGGGTCGCATCAATGGAGGTCTCGCCCCCGTCATCGGCGGCGTCAGTCTCCCGCAAGCCACTGGCGAACTCGATCCCTTCTTCGCCAACATTCGGCAGAACATAGACTTGGCCGACGGCGTGGGCCAGTTCGAGGTGGCACGCCCCCCCGACCTCGAGTCTCCACTACTGCCGCAGTGGTTGCGCGAAGCTGCGTCTAAGAGCGACCACGGCAAGAGAGTGTCGGACAAGTTTTTGCGCATCGAGCAGGACGAGCAGGCTCGCATGCGCAACGCGTACGCGGCCTTCAAGCTCGACAAGGACCAAATATGCAAATTTCAGCTCTCGGGCGTCGAAAAGGGCGGCAAGAATCGCTACAAGGACATCCTGCCCTTTGACCACGCCCGAGTCCGCCTACAGAACAGACCGGCCGGCGCGTGCGACTACGTCAACGCCAGCCACCTCTCGGCTTCGAGGAGCCACAAGCGATACATTGCCACGCAAGGGCCGCTGCCTGCCACGTTTGACGTAAGTCGAGCCTGCCACCGCCGTGCGCCCTGGTGGAAAGAGAAACTAACGCGAGTCACAGGACTTTTGGTCGGTCATCTGGGAGCAGGACGTCCGCGTCATCGTTATGCTGACGGCCGAGTCGGAGGGCGGGCAGCTCAAGTGCCACCCATACTGGCAGGGCAAAGAGTTTGGCGCCATCAGGCTCAGGCTGCTCTCGGAGAAGAAGGTTTCCCTCGACATTGACAAGCACAGATCCGAATCGGGCGCCGCGTACCCTACGCAGGCGGCAGCCGACTGGGGCAGGAAGCGGGCCAACACGACGACGACGCTCGAGACCTCGACGCCTACCAACCCCCAGAATGCCAAGAGCCAGGCGGAAGCCCCCTATGTCCTGATCCGCAAGTTTGCGCTGTCTCACTCGGCCTACCCGTTTGCCCCGATACGCGAGATTACGCATCTGTATTTTCCGGCATGGCCCGACTTCGGGACGCCCGCCCAGCCGTCACACCTCCTCGCGCTGGTCGAGCTCGCCAACCTGATGCAGCGGGCGGCGCTTCCCCTCGAGACGGCCTCGATCGTCGGGTCGAGGGTGTCGCCGCCCGAGGGCGGTGGGGTCACGTGGCACGACGAGCCCGAGGTCGACGTCCTGGCTCGACCGATGCTGGTGCACTGTTCCGCTGGGTGCGGCCGGACCGGAACGTTTTGCGCCGTTGACAGCGTCATAGACATGCTGAAGCGGCAGCGGCAGGTTAGGCTTGCGGCTGTACGGGCGAAAGGCTCGCAGGTTGACACGGCCATGGTGGACCGCGACGAGGAGCTCTCCCCACGCACCGTCAGGGTGGCGGATGCCCCCGGCTTCTTCGACCTTGCGCCTGCCCTGGCAGCCTCGAATGCGCCGGCGCCTCCGGGGTCCGATCCGCACTGGCCGGAGCAGGACACGGCCGATCTCGTGCAAAAGACGGTGGAGGACTTTCGGGAGCAGAGACTCAGCATGGTCCAGAGCCTACGGCAGTACGTGCTGTGCTATGAGACGATACTGGAATGGGTCAACCGGACGCACGACAGAGCGGTCAACACGATTGGGGGCAGGCGGCGAAGTGGCAGTCTGCAGCAGGCGCGGCGCGACTGTTGACGGTACCACGGAGGTGCTCGGGAGACGGGTGCGAACACGGAAGCGTGCGAACACGGAAGCAGGACGATACGATGAATGAGAAACTTACGGGCGATGGAGTAAACGGGCGAGGAACCGGTAACACGCATGACATGGAACCAGGAGTGCACACGCAGAAAGGGGACGGTTAGGCGCTAAGGGATAAGAAGAACCGGTTACCGTTGCGGCCTGCAGTTCTCTACGAAGCAGCCCTGCCAAGGCCGGCACTGTTGGTCTATTGGGTCTGCGCCAGGGAGGCGGCTGTGGACGAATGTGGCTGTAATACAGTTTCAGAGACGCAAAACAGGCAAGCCAAAAAGAGAGAACAACGAGGAGAATTGAGTACATACAGACACAGGCCATTATTGGCAGACGGCGTCTGTTCGCATGCAAACGTGGGTTGTCAAGAGTTGACGGTAAGCAAGCAAAGGTCTGTGAGAGTGAGATGACGTGCTTGGGTGAGTTGAGCGCTGTGCCTCGGAAAATTGACTGTCTCGGCGGGGTTGCAGCAGCAGCTTCAGTAGGAATACATGAATACCGTAATACAGACATGCATGGTACGATGCAAGCCCGTTTCTGCATTGTCTTTGATCTATTGAAGGCGAAAGTGACGCATGACGACATTGTTCTGCTGATTCAGGGCATTTTCTAGCGCCCGAGGCCCTATCATATGATGCTTGCTCCCCCGGAGTCAGCAGGCGGACGGCGCTAGCTACAGGGCCCCCGGTGAGAGGCTCTTGGGGCGCGTGGAGTGGCAGAAGTAGCGCCATGACTAATCAGGCCCACCGGGTACCTGAGGGCAGGCCCAGGAGCGGATGCTTGAGGCGGGAGATGGGGAACCGTTGAAGGGAAGAAGAGGCTCTGCGGTTGCGTGTACGGCCTTGTATCAGCTACCTACTTGGTAGGAGCAGGGAGAAAAGGAGAGGCTGGTGAAGAAGTCTGAGAGATACTGTACATGTACCAAGGTACATTGCGCGCGCGCGAGAGAAAGGCAAGGTACCTACCTACCTTAGGTAAGGTACCTGCGTCATGTGCGCAGTACTTTGCACGTATGTACAGTACAATGTTTGCGGCGGGTCATCCATTTCCAGCCTCCTCGCGGCCAAAACGACCCTCATTCGTCCAAAACATCGCATCATCGCACCGCAAGCAGAGCTTGGGTACGAATGCCTCCCGCGTCTTCGGGTCTCTTCTGCCGCCTCTCTTCTGCCGCCTCTCGTTTTCGCCCTCTTTTCCGTGGGAGCATCTTTCGCCCGCCTCTTCTTCTCCGTGCTTGACCAGTTTTCCGCTTCTTGGGCCTTCTCTTGTCTTCTGCTTCGCCCTCTCTTAAGCCTGCCCCCCCTCTCTCCGACACACTCCTCTTCCGGTGCCTGCTGCAACCAAGCCCTCGCCTCCGTTTTCCCAGCTGCCGCTGACGCTGACATTGACATTCCGCCTTGTCATCTGGTACGCTCGCAGCTCTCGTTGCGCCGCCTTCGCAGACGCCGCGTCATCCGCCACCGCCGACCCGACTCGCGCCTTTCGCCAGGCCCGCCGATCCGCAGCACAACCTGCCGAGCCCAGTCGTGACCCCGGTGGTCGGCCGCTCTGCTCTTCCAAGCTGCTCCAATAGCTTACAACCCGGGCCCGCCCTCGTCGTGGCCCGCGTCCACCCTTCTTGTTCTAGCGGGCACCCCCTCTCTCAAGCCGACAACGACACGATGCGCCGTCCGTCGCCCGACCTGTCCGAGCTCTCGCGCAATCTTCAAGAGTCAAACGGCCCTGACTCGGACGAGACTATGGATCTCGACCTCGACCTGGCCATGCCTCCCGCAGACGACGACGCCCGGGAACAAGAAGACCGCGTCTACACGCCGCCCCCTCACATTGCCGCCCGCTTCTATCGTCCCTCACAGGCGCGCCGTAAGGGCTCGGCTGCTTCCTCGCGCCGCAACTCCATTTCGTCCGCCCACTCTCGATGCTCGTCCATCCATCACCCGGCCTCCCGCGAGGCGGACCAGAGCAAGTATGTCGCCCAGCACCTGCGCCGCGCGTCTTTCCTCGAGGACCGTCGCGCTCGCTTGGCCGACAGGGCTGCCCATGCCGAAAAGGTCCGCCTGCGGGCTGCCCTAGCCAAGGCGGCCCCACGCGGCCAGTCGTCGTCCGAGGAACGGGCCCTCGCTGCACAGCAGGCAAGGGAGCGCAACCTGGCCGAGATTGTCGCCAACTGCGCCGAGGAGGTGAGAAAGGCCAAGCAGGTGGCTGAGCTGACCAAGGAGAAGCGCGAGCAGGAGATGGTTACCATGAGAACAAAGATGGAGGAGCGCCTGGCCGAGGCCGAGAGGCGGCGCGAGGAGATTCTGAGCAAAACCGCAACCATGCGCACCCGCGGCCCGAGCCTCGTTGCTCGCAAGCCCGTCGGCGTCGAGGTCCTGCCGCAGGTAAAGGAAAACGACAAGCCTCCGATGGATGACGACGCCGCCGTCGCTCGCATCCAGAGCTGGTGGCGCGGGCGCACAAAGAAGCAAGTCATTCACGAGTTCAATGCTCTCGGTCTGTCCGTCGACGGCATCCGCGACACCTCGTTCGATGCCGTGGTGGAGCTGCTGGCGCAGGAAAAGGTCCTTCTCATCACTGCCCGCCTCCTCCGGATATGCGGCCTCCAGGAGGGAGCGCCCGGCTCGGTCGAAGAGCTGGCTGCCGTCCGCACCTTTCTGAGTGCCTACCTCATCCTCGGTCATCCGAATCAGGTCCTCATCAACAAGAATGATGGCGGGGGTGACGCCGACGACGACGACGCTCTCGCGGCGCACCGGCTGCCGTCGACGGATCTCGCCAACCCCCAGCTGCAGGATCTGATCCGCAAGGCCAAGGACCTGCTCATTGCGTTTGAGAACATGCTGCTGCGCTTGACGTCTTGGAACCGGTACACGATGCCCCCGACCCTGAAGAAGACGCTCCCCGAGGCCTACGCCGTCTTCTACAACGCCTTTATTGCGTGGAAGTCGCGCGACTCCAATGCGCTCATCGAGGTGATGCTCATGCAGTTTGTCGAGCTCGACGCCATCTTCCAGACGGTCAAGGACACGACCGACGATGCAGCCACGGCGCTGTACCGCCAAAGCATCCAAGACAGCCAGCTCATGCTGATTGTGCGTATCAAGAAGCTGGCCGGTGCGGAGAGGGGCAAGAAGATGATCTTCAAGGCCGTCAGCGAGGCCCGCAAGACTCGCGGGGCCAAGAAGCAGACGGGGGACACGAAGCCCCGCGTCACCGAAAACGCCTCGGGAGAGGCCACGGCGACGGCCAGCAGTCTCGTCGCGGCCGAATCGCAGACGCTGACCCCCCCGGCGACGCCGGCGAGCAGGAGCGAGGCCAGGCCGACTGTCATCAAGTCGGGGCTCAACGGCCTGCTTCCCGACAACCGCGTCGTCGTGCACGAGCTGGCAATCAACAAGGAGTATCAGATCCCGTGGGAGGAGTACGTCGAGCAGCAGGCTGTCCTGGCGCGACCCCTGTACGCGCAGATGCGAGCTGCCGTGGCCGAGGAAGACGGCGAGGCCAACTTTCGCTTCTTCATGCTCATGGCCGGCAACATCAGGGACAAGCTGCAGCGGCTGCTCAAGCCGGGCAACTCCATGTACAACCTCATTGGGGAGATTCTCGACCCGGAAATGGCGGAGCGGCAGTTTGCGCTGGGGAGCTTCTCGTACGAAAGGTTCTTCGCCGCCATGGGCTCCCTCCTGCCCAAGCTGTGCGCTCCATTCCGGGACGAAGAGGTCAACGACCTGGTGCAGAACCGCCTCGGCGACGGAGACTTGATCGACCGGGTCGAGGCGCTCAACGGATTCATTGACGTGATGCTCTGCGACTACATCAACTACCTGCTCCGGATTGCGGCGCCGCAACTAATTGAGTCGGCCGCCCAGTACGAGGCCAAGAGGTTCGCGTCGGACATTGCCGACGCGGGCATGAGTCTGGCCACTGCCGAGGCGGCCTGGAGGTCTGCCAGGTCCAAGGTCATGGCCGAGGTCCAGAGGCGGGACCCGGAGGGCATCGGCCACGCCAAGTCGCAGCCGACTGCGGCGCGGTTCTACGCGCAGATGCTGGTCGACGTCTTTACGCAGCCGACGCCCATCGCAGCCGAGCAGGTGCCGGCGATGCTGCGCCTTGACCTGGGCCGCATCAACGACGTCTCGACGATGGCGCAGCGCATCATCACGGTGGGCGCCGTCCTGCTGCAGTGCAAGAACCTGCTCAAACGGGATGTCAGGACGCAGTGGAAGACGGAGGCATCGCGCATCATGGCGGTGCTCGAGGCCAACCACGCCTCGCTCGGCGCCACCGTCGACGGGACCATGGCGGCCCTCGAGGCAGGGCGATCGATGCCCGCCGCCACCAAGACGCACCTGCGCGCCCTCGTGACCAAGGTGCTGAGCGCCGGCCAGGACATGTCGCAGCAGTCGGCGGAGCCGCGCGAGCCCGTGCTGCGGCTGCTCCTGACGCGACTGCGCGGCAACATCTTGGCGCGGCTGGCGCCCGGGTCGGCCAGCGAAAAGGTCAAGGCGGCCAACACGGCGGGCGAGAAGCTGGCCAGCCTGGGCCTGTCCGAGTTTGTGGAAAAGGTCAGGCACATGTCGGACCTCCTCGACAAGGTGGGCGCGGTGGACAGGGCGGCGCACAGCCCCTGGTGGGACGCGGTCGCGACAAAAGTGCAGCAGGAGGAGCTGGAGCCTCCGGCGCAGCAGTCGTGAGCTTTTGTGTCGAAAGGGGGGGCTGTTGAGCGAGCGCGTAGTGATGAACTGGACAACAGGGTCGGTTGAGGTGGGATTTGCAAGTCATGGTATGGGCCCTCGGTCGAGAATGCGAGGCAGCTCTTTGTTTTATCGTTTCTTTCGGGCGCGCGGCGTTGGGGATTGGCAAGATAAAGGGAGCATACGCGGCTTTTCTTCAGGGGGCATAAACCGTCATGGTATGACGGGGGAAGGGTCGCGTCTCTGGAGGCGGCCGACAGGGGCCTTGCTATTGTTGAGCGCTGGATGCGCAGCACTTACGAGCAGCGCATGGAAGCTCGGTGGTGAATGAGAATGCAAGACGGTGGCTGGCTGCGCTGGACCTGCGTTGGGCGCCGTAGAATCGACTTGACCGACTGCTCGACCGACTGCTCGACCGACTGCTCAACGGGCTAGTCGACTGGATACTTGAGTTGCTGCCTCTGCCTACTCACTCGTAGGTTATATCGTAATCGCGTTCTTATTCCAAACCACAAGCCGTCGGGGTGCCGCCGACTAAAGCGGCATCCCAAGGGATAGATCGCTGCCTCCGCCTCTGCCTCTGCCTTTGCCTCTTGCGGCGTCATATCTTGCCCTTGGCGTTGCCTCTAGCCTACGCATTGCGGAGTATGACGCCATATCGTGTCTGGATTCACTCGCGCATATTTCTATTCTGGTCGATTGCCGGACAGGATTCCCGCCCCCTGTCCTCCTATTGTAGACGAAAGCTGAAGCTGCTACTCGCACACCTGCTGTGTCCTCCAGACGCAGGCTTAGTTATAGCTTTGCTCCATATCTTTATACATACTTCGTAGGCCAAGCGGTTTACTACGGTAAGACCAAGACTCCAGCGCGTCGGCAGGCTCCATTTGAGGGTGATGGTGGTTGGACTGAGTGCCGCTCACGGTGTGGCTACAGACAGGCCACAAGTGACACTCAGTCGTGGTGATGAAGCGAGGCAGGACACGCCCACGGCCCGGAGACACAGAATTGTTCAGCAACCCCGAATCACCACTCCCCTCCGTTGTCCGCGACGGCTGCTGCCGGCCAAGCCTCATCCACCCCTTCCACGGGCTTGCCAGAGGCAGTCGACAAGCCCCTGCTAAGGCTGCAGACAACCTGACGGCGAAGGTGGCACGCAGTGGGCGCACGTTGAGTGAGATCTGGGCTCGAGTGGACATGCTCTCCTTCCCACTAAGGCCCGGGCCCATGGTCGTCGGGAAAGTCATCGCTGGGAAAGTCGTCGCTGGGAAAGTCGCCGTCGGCAGGTCCATCGCCGGCAGGCTTGTCAACGACAGGGTTTTCCACGACAGGCTTATCGTGAACGACGGGAGGCCTGGGGATGAACTTTGGCATGCCCTCCCAGACCTGCTTCTTGAGGTGAACCAAGGGCTGTTTAATCTGCGGCGGACAGAGCATGTCGCCGGGATAGGCGCGGCCATACCACTTCAGCCAGCGCTGCATCTCGACCTGGCCCGAGACGAGGTCGCCGCAGTGCGGGTCGAGAATCTTGTCCTCGGCCCACTTGTACTCGCGCTCCGAGCACGGCTGCGGGTTCTCGGCGAGGTTGCAGGCGAAGATGCCGAGGGAGCCGTTGCGCGCGACCGAGATGTGGATGGTGCGGTCCGGGACCAAGTACATCTCGCAGTAGGCCTGGAAGTGCTGGCGCGCCTCGAGGTACGCCCGCGGCGCAAAGGGGAACGTGTCGTAGCGGCAAAAGTACTTGCTCTTGGGGAGGGGGATATGGTCGGGGTATGACGAGTTGCGGAGGGGCGGCAGCGGGGGCTCGGGGTCGGTGAACATGTCTATGTCTCCGGGCGGAGGGGGGAGGCTGCCTCGCTTCGTCACCACGGCTGCTGCCGAGGCCGAGCTGTCCCAGGGGAGCGTCACCGTGTAGTCGCCGTCTTCCAGGCCCGACGCGAAGACCCAGGAGCAGCTTGCCCGGGCGAGCAGGCAGGCCCAGGCGGCCGTGAACAACGGGCGCATGTGCAGGTGTTTGTTTGTGCGTGTAAATGTGCGTGTAAGTGTGCGTCTCCGTCGGCTTCTCACGTGTCCAACAAAGGCTGCCTTTGGCGATGATGGCGAACGTTGGAGCTGGGTACAGCAAGGACAGCAAGACAGAAGTCGGGGTTTATCCTGTAGTTGATTTATCGTGGCGTGCAGCCGGAGAAAGGAGACGGGGAAGCCATGGCTAAATAGAGCAAGAGGAGAAGGAGACCGGAGAAAGGAGACTCAAAGTTCTGCGCAGAGGAGGCGCAGAAATAGGTAGGCAAGGTGTAAAATAAGCCCCTGTGGCGAGCGAAGAGGCGCCGTCTAGCTTTTGCGCGCCATGGCGTGCCCGGCTATTCCTCCATGCGCCATGGGGCCGTGAAAAGGCAATGCAGGAGAGGTCTGGGCGTCGCCCTCGGAGACGAGTTGATACGCAGCTACGCCAGGCAGCTCTTGCCAGAATACTCTGTCTTTGTCGGTCCTATAGGATTGCCGTCCAGAGAAGGGGCGGAAAGAATTCTGATTCCTCAAGCCCACAGGGAGTCGTATCCGAGAGTGGCCGGCTCGCAAAACGCTGCCTGGATTCCACGCCGTCCCATGTTAGATTGCGCCGTGGTAGATGGGTATCCGGGAAGAAAACATGTGCATTTCATGTACGAATACCCCCTCGTGTGTTCACGGCAGCGCGTCTTCGAGTCGATGCTGCACTAGAAAGTCATCCTCGAACAGGTCCTCTGCGCAGGGCCTATCTTCTGGGAGCCATCGCAGAATCCTTCGAACGAGGCAGAGAAGCAACTCTTGGTCCTTACCCTTGAGACGCCTCTCGCGAGTCTCAAGTGACTGGTTGGGGATCGGAGTTGAAGCGACCCAATCACCTGGCTTTTGTCAGCTTACAGCGCAGACAGTACACAGCCAGTTGTGGAATAGGACCTTCACCATCCCAGCATTGCCTGCACCTCGGGCTCTGTTCCAAGAAACTTCTCGGCGGTGGTCCCATAAGAGAAACCATCTCGGCCAGATGCTGCCCGTCATTGAGAAGGCCCTTTTTTTCAGCACGAAAAAGACGGCCCCCTTCGAACAGATCCCAAATCTGTGCCATGTCAGGACAAAGAGATGCAGCAGGAATGCCTCGTAACGCACCATGACTCCAACGGACCAAATGTCGATTTTCGAGTTCCATTCCATGTCCATAATTACCTCGGGCGCTCTGTAAACGCCGGGCATGACATCCCCGCGGTGATTCTCTCCTATGCGGGCGGCGCCGAAATCACAGATGACGGGCGAGCCGAAGGTGATTGGCATCGCTCGCGAAGTGTGGATAACGCGATCCGGTAGTATCTTTCGAGGAGATGGGCGTTCAAACTCGGCTTGCTCAATGCTCGAGAAAACTGCGGGATCCGTGGCACCTAAGAGGATGTTGTTGGGCGATATGTCTAGAACACCATTAGGTTGCAAGCTTGCCCGGCGGCTTAACGGGACAAACCTGTATGCACCACCCTCGCCTGGTGCAGGAAATCCAGCCCCAAGAGGACCAACTGCAAAGTCTGCTGTAATATCTCTTTGCTCAGTGCTTTGTCTGGAAACATGTTGCGAAACTTGGTGTATGTCAGGCCCAATGGCCGCAGGAGCAAACACCGATGCATCCCATGGGGCCCGGATAGCTGAAAATCATCTTCAACAAGCCGTAGCATCTCCAGGCCGGGGTGCTCAGCATCGATGGATCTGAGATGCTGTGAAACTGCCCGTTCGTTGTCCACCTCGGTGGCGTCTTGCGCCGTGCAGACCTTGAGGGTCAGAAGACGACGTTGTCTGATTTCCATGTCGCAGTGAGCAAGAGGGCCCGTCATCTGATATATTTCAATGCGAAGCATGCTGCGAGGCACCTACTGGAGATGCCGGCAAAGCCAACCAGCGGATGCCGTGCCAAACCCCGGGGTTTGGTGACATTCCCGACCGGGTATGGCGCCCTCTTCCTATCCTTGAGGTTGTCTGTATGTACAGTAATTAGCCACCGAGACTGATGCAGCTATCCCCCCACCCCAACACACAATGACCTGCGCCGGCATGATTGACAGTGTGTGTACGCAAGGCATCCATCATGGTGTTGTTGCTTGCCGTCATCAAGTACTTGATTCTGGTAATTCAATAAGTCGATGAGCCTATACACATAAGCAGCCAAGAAAGTACTTTGCCTACGCAGCCCACCAGATTGCCGCCTAATTGGCCCCGACACCTTGCTTCTCCTCATTGCAGCCAACTCCAGTTTCAAATCCCAGCCGCTTCCTAGCATCCCAAGCTCCGTCAACGCGCAGGGGAGAAGAGGGAGAACGGATATGCAGACACCGTCCCGTCGAAAACATGGAAGACTTGGGAGCGCTGCGTTACCATGTACGACGACAAAGTTGTCAAGAGGAAGCTTGGTGATGAAGAGCTACTTCGTCGCCCAAATGGCGACATTCTTCGGCCGTTCTGGGCGAAGGAGCGATTGCTAAACGAAGCCGCATCGATTCAGTTCCTTCGCGAAAACACCACCATACCGGTGCCGACATGCCGGCTCTACACGATGGATGGGCTTGTCTACCTCGAGACGAAACGGATCACGACCGGGGTACTCCTCGAGGAAGTAGATGCAGTCTCTCGGCCAGCCGCGGTCGCTGCCATTGATGACTAGATGGAAAGCTTCATACTTCCGTAGCTTCGTCTGCTTCGTCGAAATTACATTGGAAGCGTCGACCTAAGTCTTCCGGTATCCCCCCCGCAGCGTGTATAATATCGCGATAGACGGTCTTGGGAACGAATAACGTCGGAAACCGACTATTTCGTACTTTGCCATAACGACCTTAGACCTCAGAATATCTTTATCTGCCCTAATACTTTTTAGATTATTGGAATTATAGACTGGGAATTCGCCGGATATTTCCCCCTATATTTCGAACTTTAACTATAGAGAGCTTTTAGCTAGGACGACGAATAAAAAGTCTACGACGACGCGAATTTACGTGAACTTAACTTTTTTAGACTTAGACCGGAGGATTTAGAAGATTCCATTCTACCATAAGAATATAAAGAGGGTACTTATATGTATGAATCATCTAGGCGAGTGGCCGCGGCGCCGTGTGTCGCAGGCATATACGGCTGTGAGGTTACTTTGGAGAGGACCGCCGCACGATGGGGGCTATGCTGACCGACATATATACGGACACGAAATTATCTCACTTAGGGTCTAAGAGGAGTTGATGGCTGCAGCGTGGATTGGTGCTTCGCATATATCGACTTACAGAGTTCCCCCCTGCGATGCCAGCAGCAGCTTTAGTTCCTTGTGACCATTCCGGGCAGCAAACCAAAACGGCGATCGGCCATGTCGATCCCCTAGATTCAGCGTCATTTTGCTCTTGGCAAGAAGCAAGCTTACGACTTGTCCGAGATCATTCTCTACGGCCCAAGATAACAGTGTTCGACCGTCCTCGTCCCGGTAATGTGCGTCGACGCCACCTTCCGAGAGGAGCCGTTTGGCCACGTCGCATTGGCCGAACCGAACGGCGCAATAGAGCCGTATGTTCTTGCGGTCATGCTTCTGCGGCTCGGCGTGGTCAAGCAGCAGCTCTGCCGTTGATTGGTGTCCTCGGTAAGCAGCGAGCTCGGTGGCAGTGTAGCCCTCTTGACAGGTCGACTCGATGTCGGCACCGCGTTCCAGCAGCAGACGAACCATCGAGTCTTGCCCATTCTTTGCGGCCGAGGTCAGTAAATTGTGGCCATTTTGTTTCCGAGACATGATGCTCGTATATGTAGTCTGAGCTGCTCCAGTACGCTCAGCTTGATCCCTGGCGGCCATGACAAGGCCCGCATAGTGCGTGAGCAAGATGTCGACAATGGCCGTCCACCCATTCTCAGCTGCCATGGCCAGCGGGGTTCGATGGGCGAGGGGATCCTGGAGCTCGAGATCGGCGCCATTCCTGACAAGTAGCCTAACCGTGGACAAGTCTCCCTTTTTCAAGGCCCAAAACAAGGGTGTCTGCCCACAACGGTCTTCCGAGTTTATGTTGGCACCGTGGTCGAGTAGCAGCTGTGCCACCGCCCCGTGTGATAATGCGAACCACAGTGGCGTCCGTTTCTCTTCATCTTGCGCCTCGAGCTGAGCACCTCTGTCGAGCAAGCACTTGGCAATGCTTACGTGGCCGTTGAGTGCCGCCTCGGAAAGAGGCGTCATGCCACGCTGATCCTCCAAGTTGACGCGCGCACCTCTTTCCACCAACAGTTCGACTGTGCGGGCGTGTCCTCCGGCTGCGGCATAGAAGAGCGGCGTCCGACCGCACGTGTCGGTCGAGTCAATTCCCTCCCCGGAATCAACAAGAGTGTCTGCGGCTTCGTTGATTCCGAAAAAAGCTGACAACTGCAAGGGGGGCAGTCCATAAACTTCGTCAAGATCCCTCAGTCGCCACAAGCCTTCATTGCCGATGATTAGTGCTTGACATGCAGCGCCCATCTTGGAGTGGTGCCGCAAGAATTGCATGACCTTCTTGGGCAGAGTCCCGGCCTCACGGGCATGGTCTCCCCATCTTTGGGCCACGTAGTCGTAGAGAGCATGTGACGTGAGTCGACTCGCAAACTCAGCGTACGACCGGCAAGGCCCGCTCTCGAACTCATCGAACAAGAGATATGTGAGGCAAGTAGCTGTAATGTTCCGCTCCGCGTTTGGGAGCCAAGTTTGACGCGTGCTGATCTTCTCAAAGTATTGTTGTGTTGTATAGTGGACCAACCGGAAAATGTTGCTTTGTTCATCGACGGTGACGAGCCCGGCGCACACCGAAACCATGATTTCAATGTCCGGAAACGCGTCTAGGTCGAGCCTCGTCTGATCAAGTTCCACGGCGAGAGCGTGCCGAAGCTCCACCGTCGTCAGCGGCCGCTTTGCACAGACGATCCATGCTAGAACCTGTTTGGCGAGAGCTCGATAGCCTGACGGCTGCGTCTCGACTCGCTTCATGGCCTCCTCGTACGCCTCGTCGTACGCCCCCGATCCCTTGGGCAGCGCTGCGAGGGCCGAGCGGACAGCCTTGACCGACGTCTTGTCGGTAAGAGAGTCGAGATGTAGATTGGCGAGAAGGAACCTAGACACGTGAGCGCCCTGGTCATCATAAGAGAGAGTCCGCTTACATTCCCTGGACAGATGACACTATTTCTCGCTTGATTCTCTCTTGGAGACTGGGGGAGTTACGAACGAAAGTCGGCAACCGTACCAGGTCGTCCTGAAGATATATGCGTACATCTTCTTCCGTAGCCCGGATCTCCTGAACAATGCTTTCGGTAAACTCGTTGCTTATTTCCGGAATAAATCTCGAGGTCGCAAAGATGTTGGTCGCAGACTTGGCTTTAAGTTGACTGAGCTCGTGGAAAAGTTTCGCACGCGTGCCGTTTGTCGCATGAGATTCGTCAAGAGCATCGACAAGTATAAAGACTCTCGAGTAAAGTGCGGTCACGGACTGGAGGGCGCTTGAAATGTCTTCAAACGATGGCCGTGACCGCCTCTCCTTGCATTTTGCGTGGAGCGATTCCACAACGTCAGGGAAAACGGCTTGGCCTTGAGTCAGCTGCTTTAGCAAGCTTGCAACAAAGTCCATGGCCGTCTGCACCTCTTGGTGCCGAAAGTTGCAATAAACGTATGCAACGCCGACGTTGTCATCTTCCTGGTATAGGGACTGCAGCTTGTCGACGACGGCTGATGTGATAATCGTTTTTCCAGCACCTGGAATGCCCGGACAGAAGAGCGTCTGGCCCCGGCTGTTGAGCCAGTTGTGGAACACTTTTGAATCGAGAAGCCATTGCCCAGTTCCAGGCTTTCTTCTCCCGAGATTGTCGCTCTGCTGGGGGGCGTAATCAGTCGGAGTGAGCCAGTCGAGAATAGCTTGATGCTCTTTATCATGCTGCCGAGAACAAATCTTTCCAACGACGTTGGAAACAGTGTCGAGTTTCTTATCAATTCCCGATAATACTGTCGCGTGTTAGTGATGTGCACAAGTGACAGTCGAGGTCGGTTTCCCTCTCGTATTTCCCACGCCAAGTGCACGATGTGATGAAGAAAGCGGCGACGGTCCAGGTTAAAAGCCACATGTCCCTTACATACGTTCAATAGCAGGCATCCGCTCGACTTCCTGCGTTGGCACCATTGAGAGAAGCTCCTTTGCAAACGCTGCGGCCACGGCTGCCGCATGCTCTTGCCAATCCTTGTTCTTATGCGAGTCGGCGTAGTCGCAAATGCCTCGGATGACAATGCAGGGGAAGTTGTCCATAAGACCCGCCGCCTCCATCTCGACGCATAAGACGTTGCCGCCGAGGCTGTTATCTAGGACGTCGCGTAGCCTGGCGTCTTTGATGACTTGGTTACCCGAGGCGATGAGTCCATAATGAACCTGCGGGCCACGGTGGACTGCAGTGCTCTCCTTGGTCGTGGGTCTCGTTCTAATGTCTGGCTGGCCGAAGATGAACCCTAGAATAAACAAGATGGCGTTCCATAACATCTTGAGCACATACGTGTTATACATGCCATGGAAATCCTCCGGATCCCGTAATGAAGCAGACCCAATGTACTTGGGCACGAGGGAGGGCCAGTTGTCCCTCAGGTCGTCGAGATACTCTGGTATTCGAGATCCCTGCAACTCATGCTTCGTCTCCAGCTTGGTCAATGCTGTCAGCAGAGCGAGTGGCGGATTATTTAGCGCGCCGGTCCTCTTGAACCTCCCACCCTCTTCGGCTTTCCCTAGGTCCCACTGAATCACCCCGGGATACTGATCGACCGGGCAGCTGACGACGACATCGCCGAGGCGAACCTTGGGCGGAACTCCGCCGCCGATGCCAACCATGAGGCCGAACCTGATGGACGGAAACGTGTCGACCATCCGGGTGGCGACCGTGGCGGCCGAGATGGTGCCGTACTTGCCCTTTGGGAGACAGGCTATAACGACATCGTGGGCGCCGATGGATCCCAGGGTGTATATGTTGGCGTCGTTCGGTGGATTGGGGAGTTCTGGGTGTACGTGGTCTAGCATGACGGTCGCAGCAGTTTGCTCCTTTGGTAGCGCGCATATCCAGCCAACGGTGTAGGAATTGTGGCTATGGAGTCTGGTGGCTGTTTGCGTAGCCATGGCGGGTAGCCGGCGGCTCTCCACGAGACTGCCTGTCTGTTATGGTCGATGCCGCATGTACTGTAGCCCTCGACGACTGCGATGATGCCGAGCCTTGAGCGTCTGCCGAAGAGGCCGATATCACCACCTCAGCGCTCACCACCGTAGCGTGACTGGCGTGAAGACTCGAGAGAGAATTAACAGTCCGGATAGAAGTTGCCGCCTCACTCAGCCTCACTCCATCCCCGCAGACATCAAGGCAGTGTTTTGGGTCTAATGAAAGCCTCGTCTTCTCACTCGCCGGCGCCCGACAGGGGGCGTGCTGACCGACATGTACTGTACACAGACACGGGATAATGTTACTAGGAGGTCTGAGGAAAGTCGATGATTGTACGTTGTACGAGAAATTACGGCAGCAAGGATATAGAAGAGCCACTGTAATTACACGGAGTACACTTTTGATGCTCGTATTAAGAAATCATGCTGCCTTGAGGGCTCATATATGGTGGGGGAAAACGTCCCCCTCCGGCGCTTCGCAAAATGCCCTCCGAAAAGGGCGGTCCATCCTTTAATAGAGGAAGCATTTCTCTCGCGAAGAGAGATACAGAGAGTGCATATGAATGCACCAAGGGGAAATTGGCAGTAAGGGGTTGGACAGGCAGGGCAAAGTTGTTTGATTCTTTAAAGGGCAATAATGACGACAGAAAGTTAATTGTTATATGCCTATGTTCTCCTTCCTTTTATTCATCCAATGCTCCCCTTTATATCCTTCTAGCATCCTAATTAATAAAGAAAATCCTCTTCTAAGCTTTTTACCCTTTTGTTTCTGGCCGTTGCCGGGAAACCCGTCGTATCTCTTGCTACCTCTATAGGAAGCTATCGCTGCCAATCGACTGATGAAAGACAATGCGTGCCCGGGACTCCTACTGCGTGTTCTGTCCGAACCTGTAGAGTGGCGTGAGACGTGTTGCGGTCTGGCGCAGAGCGCCCTCTCTAGATGTGCAAATGGCGCCCAGTCAATGTCTTACTTTAAACCCATCGCATCTACCTTGCGCGTGGTCGACGAGATTCGAGCAACAGCCTCGACGCAGCTGGCTCTGGCTCGCCTGGGCAAGTTCGACCTCATAGCATATGTTGCCGCGTCTGCCTTGCGGAGCGATCTACTCCCTAGCCTGAGAGTACCCTCAGTGGTGGGAGGACTCCCGGAAATATCAGAGCTCTGCCGGGACAAGTTCACGCCGCAGCGCCGGGGCATCGCGTTGCCAGCGCAGTGAAAACCATTCCCGCGCCCTAGCAATGACTTCGCAGAGGCAGCTGCTCCCTTCCGCGACGGGGCGGGCCTGATTACCCAGTTGGCGACCCCAGTTCACGAGGACCTCGTTGGTCTTTTAGCCTTGTGTGATTGCACCTTCTACCTGGAGTACAAGATCGACCAGGTGACTGTTGAGACGCACGGATATGATGGTCGAGATTTTGTCAGGGAGATTGGCAATGCCCTGGCAGCTTGTGCTGTCGACACCTCCTTCAGAGGGTTCGCTTCGATTGCTACTCTGACAGCAACCTACCTAAAATACAAATCAGCACTCGAGGCGCTGTCCGCTTCAATACCGCTTACTGGATAACGTTATTTCATTACCAACAGCGACACTGAGCTAACTTAGTCGTCCAGTACTTTGACTCCGGCACCGTTGGGTCTTCCGTCCCGATGTCGAAGCCATGGTGACGGGATACGCCATGTCGCGCACTATAAGTGACGTTAATGACGCAGCGTGGGACCTGGAACGCAACGGATATTTTATGCGTGTGACCAGGCTAGGACCCCTCTTCGCTTATGCTGAAGTGGTTTCCGACTGCTGGAAGCTGGCCGACACGGCTTCTTTCGAACCTGGATCTATCATGACTTGGTCTACCCACTTATGGATTTTGAGCGGTGGGAGGCATCAGCTTATCGAGAGTTGGGCAGCCCGTGCCGGCGGGTCTTGTGCGCAGGCCCGACCCCTGGTACGGGGGTATCGATGCAACAGCCAGTGCAACTCGTGCATGAGGGGCGGAGTGGCGACCCCATCGACTGCTTCCACGCCCTAGCCAGGCGCTCTCAACCACCGTGAGCAGCTGTTTTGTCCAAAGAGGCCCTGGAAGCGTGGGGCCTATCGGAGGAGCGCTTCTCTAGCTCCTGGGGCGTTGGTGGGAGTTATCGGCTGCGGCACATCCCTCTGCTCATCCCTGGACACCAGGCAAAATAGGGGCACCCCTAGTGGAGGTGTTATTAGCGCGTATTATAAATCCTTTCTCTGCTCTAGCAGTATGAGACAAGTATGAGAATCTCCTACCATTATAGAGAGAATCTTAATTTAGGAGTATGTTCCATAATATGTAATATATATATATATAGATACATGTGTCAGAGAGAGAGAGAGAATATTACTTGGAATATATATTATGTAAATTCTTTGCTACGGAAACACAATTTCAATTCTTTAGTTAGGATGACTCTCGAAACTCATCTATAGTGGCCCGTACACCCCCTTGCTTGGCAGATGGGGCAGGGTATCAAGGGCTCCGGGGCTTTTACGTAGACGACGTGAAGTTGACCGATACGACGTGGAGATGCCACTCCTTACAGCAGCACAGGCCAGTCCGGAGCTTCAGGTCCTGGGTCGGAGGCCCGATGTTTCTGATGGTAGAAGGAAGAGGTTCGAAAGCATCTACTACTGCGGCCGGCGCGACTGTAGCATGTGAAATGGGGACTTGGCGGCTGCGATATGGCAGAGTACAACGTCAGGATGGCACATCGGGCAACCCGACCCGTGCCTGGCCAGAGACTGGCATCATACCACTGGCGTCTATGCCTCCCGTGACAGCGACTACGGATGCCGCCGCGTCTTCTTCTCCCCCTGTGCTCATGAACCGCAAGCTTGCCGAAAGCGAGATTACGGGCCGGGAAGTGACCATCCGCCGTTGCAGTATTGACAAACGGAAATGCATGGGGGGAAAGAAGCTTTGCCGGAATGGTTCATCTCGGGGTGCAGCATGCAGTGTGTATGTAGACGCAGGTAGGCTTGACGCATGACGAAATGGCACAGGCAAGCGAGCACGGGTTCTCTTGGCATTGAATGAATGGCAGATCTTGTCTTTGCCGGCCAACCGGGCCAGCAGCGGTTTATGGCTGCCATTCTTGCATCGTTGAATGGCCTGCCGACAACAGCATCGGCGGTCCGGATCGTGGGCGGATCGTCCCGGACGGGCCGTTGCTGCCGAAACGGGACGTGCTCCGGTCCGGGGAAGGCGGAGATTACCGATACGGGGCGCCGGAGATCATGCATGGAGAGTATCCGCCCGTACCTGGCAGGAACATCCCGAGTATGACGGCATTGGGTTCCTTCCCACGTTGTCGTGTTTACTCCGAGGCACTCGCTACCACCCCGATCCCCTTTTCTTATCACGTCCCTCGCCTAGTTTCAGCCTCAGCGGTGGTGACTCGGCCGCTGCGGTTTCTCCCTCGCCGGTGTGCTCACACCACTGCCGAACGTGTGAGGAGCGGTCCCTACTCTCTGCTCTCTGCGCTCATCTCCGCAGAGTCTGCCCACCTCGGCTGGCGAAGGCGAGCAGACGACTACAAGATCAGGAGACGGCGATATCCCTTGGACTTGCACGACGAAACTTCATGCCCAGTCGTACCTCGACGCAGCCATGCCCGCCCGCCCCGTGTGGAGATTCCGGGGCTCCGGACTTGATGATCCGCGTCGCCCTGCAGCCCGACCCGCCGCCAGTTCACGTACATATTTCCACGGAGCGAGCGGCCCTCGGCTTTCAGGCGGCAAAAGAACCGCCCTTGGCTTGATCTGGCAGTTGTCTTCGTGCCCGAGCCGGCTCATTTCACCTCTCCGGGGTGTCGATTGGACTCTGCCGTTCCTCCTCACTGTCACTCTGTTGCGTGCGGCTCGTGGCATGTCGCCGTGTTCGGCGTCTTTGTGTGTGTCGGCTTCGACGCGCCTGCAGGGGATACCTGCAAGGTCTGGATATTCATCACCTGTACGGTGCCGAGGAACATGGAATAGACGCATGGCGACTCAGAGAGGCAACCGCATGTTCGGCCGAGTGTCAGAGCCTCATGGTCCGATGAGGCTATATTAAGCCCCTACCCTCCCCTTCTCTCGGACTTTCTCTGTGCGCAGGGACTTCGTGACCAACTTGTTTCTCTCCTTTCACGACCGGAGCCTTCTGGGCTTCTTCCATTCCTTCTTTCGGGGCAGCTGCTCCCTGCTGGTCGGCAACGCGAGCTAGACACTGCTTGTTTGGCTGCCGCCACCCGGCCGCAGCAGTCACCAACCGCGGGCCACTCATTCTTCGTCCCTGAACTGTCTTTTCCACTACGGCCATCATGAAGCTCCTCAAGATCCAGTCGGCCTTGGCTGGCATTTTCATCTCCGGCACCCTGGCTGCCCCGGCTGCCCCAGCTGTCGAGCCGCAGCCGGCCCTCGAGCCGCAGCCGGGCCCTGATGCCGCTGCGCAAGTCCTCGAGGAGCGTTGGAAAACGGTCTCTGTCGACATACCTTCTGTAGGCTCCATCACTGGGCGCTCCCTTCTCAACACAGAATCCTTCAACGCCATCCCCTACGCCGACCCTCCCGTCGGCCCGTTGCGCCTGAAGCCGCCCAAGAGGTTCTCCGGAGATCTTGGCACCCACGACGGCACGGGCATTGCCCCGGCCTGTCCGCAGATGCTCATCTCGTCCAAGTCCGGGGACTTTGTCAGCAATATCGCTGGAAAGGTCCTCGACCTGCCCTTTCTCAAGGTGCTGCAGGGCCAGGAGGACTGCCTGACGCTCAACGTGCAGCGGCCTGCCGGCACAAAGGCCGGCGACAAGCTTCCCGTCCTCTTCTGGATCTTTGGCGGCGCCTTTCAGCTGGGAGGCAGCAACTTGTACGACGCCACCAGCCTGCTCGCCTCGGCCGCTTACCAGGACCAGCCCTTTGTCTTTGTCGCCATCAACCACCGCGTCGCCGGCTTCGGCTTCATGCCTGGCAAGGAGGTGCTAGCGGACGGCAGCGCCAACATCGGCCTGCTCGACCAGCGCATGGCTCTCGAGTGGGTTGCGGACAACATCGAGGCCTTTGGCGGAGACCCGGACAAGGTGACGCTCTGGGGCCTCTCGTCGGGCGGCATCTCCGTCTTTGACCAGATGCTCCTTTACGGAGGCAATGCCACTTACAAGGACAAGCCCCTGTTCCGCGGGGCCATCATCAACTCGGGCGGCGTCGCTCCCGCCGACCCCATGGACTGCCCCAAGGGACAGGCAGTGTACGACACGGTGGTGCGCGAGGCCGGCTGCGAAGGCTCCCCGGACAGCCTCGACTGCCTGCGCCAGCTCGACTACGCTACCTTTCACAAGGCCGCCAACTCGGTGCCCGCTTTCCTATCTTACACCTCGGTCGCGCTCTCGTACGTGCCGCGCCCCGACGGCGTGGTGCTCCCCGATAGCCCCGAGCGGCTCGTCGAGAGCGGCCGGATCCACGCGGTGCCCATGATCATCGGCAACCAAGAAGACGAGGGCACCCTGCTCGCCATCTTCCAGTGGAACGTGACGACGGCCGACGACATGGCCGACTACTTATCCGACCACCTCTTCCAGACCACGCCGCGGGACAAGCTCAAGGAATACGTGGACCTATACAATCCCGCCATCCTACAGGGCAGTCCGTTCCGCACGGGATTCCTCAACGAGCTGTACCCCGGCTTCAAGCGCGTGGCGGCCATCCTCGGCGACATGGTATTTACGCTCTCGCGCCGGGTGCTGCTAAAGCAACTGTCGCGGGTCAAGCCGCAGATGCCGGTTTGGTCGTACCTATCGTCGTACGACTTTGGGACCCCGTTCCTGGGCACCTTTCACGGCTCCGAAGTGCTGCAGGTCTTCTTCGGGGTGTGGCCCAACCACGCGATGCGAAGCACCCGGACGTACTACTTTAACTTTGTCTACAACCTGGACCCCAACATTGGCGTGGGCAGCTATGCCAAGTGGCCGCAGTGGAAGGAGAAGCAGGAGCTGTTGTGGTTCAAGTGGGCGTGGTCCAACGACTACATCAAGGACGACTTTCGGAGCGGCGCCGGGGCTTGGCTGGACAAGAATGCCCACCTGTTGCATATTTGAGCACGGCAAACTTGCAGTGGCATGATGAAACACGACTGATGGCTCGTTCTTCCTCGGGCTCTAGTCGGGGGCGGTGTCTGTGTAAGCCCTTTGAGCTCGTTTCTGACTATATAAATTGTAATTGACTAGAGCTGCCTCGTTCCACGTACCCGTTATCATAATCGTCCCGTTCCCCCGCCTCAGGCCACCCTTGTGCTCGTAATCTTTGATCGAATTGCTTCGTTACATTGTAATGTGCGTCATCATGTTCATTACTCCCTCTCACTCCCTTCGCGACGCCCCAGTCCCCAGCTCGCACGCCTACGCGCGTCAGACGAAGGAGCGCCGAGGCGGCGGGCGGACCATGGGGCATGTCGGCGTGGCCTGGTCGGCGGCTCCGGCACCGCGCAGGTCGTCGCGCGGCGCGAAGCCGTGGCGCGCGTAGAGGCCCATGGCGGCGGGCTGGGCGTCGAGGTACAGCGGGCAGCGGCGGCGGTCGGCGGCGGCGCAGGCGGCGCGGAGGAGGGCCGAGGCGTGGCCGCGGCGCCGGGCCGACGAGTGCGTCATGATGATTTCGAGGTCTTTGGTTACATCAATCCTTGTCGTCAGCCAGGGGCTCTCTCCCTCTCGGGCCGGGCTTGAAAGACAAGGAAACAGGGGGGGAACGTACAGACGTGCGGCTCGGACCCCATGGCCGCGTCGTGCTGTGCCGCCATGCCCCGCTGGAACGAGACCCACTCGGCGGCGGCCATGCCCGGCGCGGCGGGCGGCCAGCGCTGGCGCCACGGCCGGACGCCGCCGTCGCCGGGGCCGATGACCCACACCAGGGCGGCCGATTGCACGCCGCCTTGTCCTGCTGCGGCGCATTGTGCGTGTCAGTCAATGTTTCGGGGGCAGTGCACACGCGGAAAAGAAAGCGTACCGGCGTCGTCCCGGATCACAAAGACGTTGCACTCGTCTGCCTTGATGCTCCGGTCCCCGTGCTGCTGCAGCAGCTGCAGCTTCTCGTCCGACTCCAGCCCGTCCACGTTGACCACCCCATCGTCCGCTTCACACCCATCTTGGCTCCCGGCTGTGGTCCCTGCAGGGCGCGGCGGCTCCCCCCAGCGCACGAACCGCGCCCACGCCCGGCGCTGGTACTCGTCGCCGACGCCCGGGGGGAACATGCGCACCAGGGCGTCGTCGGTGGCGGCAAAGGCGTCCCTGAAGACGGACGCGAGGGCCGGTGCGTCGCCGGCGGTTGCGCGCTCGACCTCGGGCTGCTGCGTCTCCTCCGGGGAAGGTGTCGGCGCGAGGACGGCGTGTTTCTGTACCATGGCCATGGTGGCGCCCGCTTCTCTCGCTTCTCTGATGCGTGGGCGGGTGTGAGGCTTTGGTCCTGCGACGATTCCTGCGGGCTCGATGGCAGCCATGGTCGACATGGTCCTGGACTCCTGGTAAGTCGGGCCCAAGTAAAAGAGGAATCGAGATGCTGCTGTGCTGCAAGAAGGCTTCCCGACCAAACGAGGGACATGTAAAGATGGAAGTAGTAAACAGGAATGACACGAGACTGGGGTGTGAGGTGTATGGATTATATATCCATGCACAGCTTGCTCCCCAGTCGTCCCCGTCGTCGGCGTCGTGTAAGAGAAAGGCGAGGTGGGTATCTGCCCAAGCGAGAAATACTCCGCGACTCGATCCGCCCTCCCTAATAAGCCTGCGGGATCAGACCAACCATGATGAATCTCCCAGCGAAGAGCAGCAAGCCCCACGAGCAAACCCTACACACCGACGTGTTCAGAGAGCCACTGACTTTGGCGAGACGGACGCAAAACACGATATGCCAAAAAAAACTTGCCGCATCCACTTCCCCCTCCCTCGCTCCACTGCTCGGCTCTCCCTCTCTCCCGCACAGCGATCTTCTCGGTCGATTTCCAATCATCAGGCCTGGGACGTGGGGAACTGTTTGGATGTGGGATGCGCCCAGCTGGAGAAATCCGGGCGCGCCCTTGCCATGCGACGGCTCGCTCGTTTCAAAATAGGGGAGTTGTTCTCGACCCTCCCGGCTCTCGTTACCGGTCCCACTTGCGGTCCGGCATCTGCGCCCTGACTAATGGTTGTCAGCCAGTGATGCTCGGTAGTGCAAAGCATAGTCGAAAGGGATGACTTCTTCTACTGCGCGCACAGACGCACGCTTCGGTGGACCGTCTAGGCCACAGTCGCACGCTTCTATACAGCGTCTAGGGCCACGACGACGCGTCCACTGTAGGAAGGGGCCATGTCATCTTCTGTAGCTCCCTCGGCCTTTCCAGATGTCTTAGTCGACGAAGCGCCGGGATTTCAGATCCCTGGCACGGCAGCTAAACGGCGTCTTCTAGCCCTCGGCCATTGCCGTGCGCGTACGGCTCAAAGGAGCCTCCAGATAGGCTTTTGGCTCCAAAGCCCACATGGCTTGGCTCGTCAACAGCGAGAAGCTAAAGCGTAGGCGCTGCTCCGGGCGTCAGGGGACTCGATCCCAAGCCCCGTGTCGCCAGGCGTGGACTATCCAACTCTGTGTCAGCTCACCATGGACGCTACCCACTTCGTGTCAGTCTCTCCTGAGTAGGGTCTCGAAACCCGCATAGGCCCCGTCCATCAGCTAAACGTCGTGACGATTGATGCTACCTGATGCCGTGGCGCCCGCTAGCACTCCCACCTGGCGCACGTGGTGAGCTCATCTCTCCCGGCGCCATCGCCTTCTGACAATTGCCCTCTCTTTCGATAAACATTCCCCCCACATTGCTGGCTCAGAAGCCCTCACAAATAGCCGTTGGCCTTCAGCCACTCCTTGAGCGCCGCAGAGTCCCGCTTCTTGTAAGCCGCCCGGCCCCTGATCTTGTCCTTGACCGTGCCCAGGGTCCGGTTGAAGCTGCTCGTGTCCTTGTCCTGGAAGAACTGGTCAATGTCCTCAATGGCCCCCGCGTCCGTGAACCCGCCCAGCATCACCCGCACGAATTGGTCCATGACAATCGGGTTGCCCAGCTTGGCTCGGCACGTCTCCCAGTTCTTCTTCATGTACTCCCACAGCAGCGTCCGCCCCGCGGGGTTGTTGGCCAGCCCGATGCCCAGCACGTGCATGTCGGCCGCCGGCACCGAATCGCTCGGCGGCGACGTGTTGAAGTTGAAGGGGATGATGGACTTGCCCAGAATTTCCTTGTCCTCCGTGGCCGAGAGCGCCTGCAGGCAGAGGAGCTTCCCGTCAATCGACTTGGTGTTGAACCACTCCTTCTTGACTATGTCGACGGCCCGGGCCCCGTCCTTGCGCACCGCCGCCCGCCACACCGGTGCCCGCAGCGACGGGTGGATCGGGCTGCCTTCGGGGTCCTTGGCCCAAGCGTTGAAGCGCTTGAGGGCTTCGTCAGCAGCTCTGTACGGCGCGTCCACGTCAGCAAACACACGTCCTCGCACTTTCTCCGGATGAGAACTCTGCGACGTACTCGGTATGGCCGCTGGCGACGGCGACGCCAATGAGCTGCTTGCGCAAGAGCCCCGTGAGGTAGCCCTCGTCGTCGGCAAAGTTCCACCCCACCTCCTTGACCTTTTCGCTGATGAGCTTGAGGGCGAACCGATCCAGGCCCTTCTTCAACTCTGTGTCCTCAGCAAAGACCGACTTGACCGACGACATGGAGTCGAGCACCTGGGTCCAGACCAGCGGGTGCTGCTCCTTGCCAAAGCCCTCGAGGAAGGTGAGGAGCGCCGCCGTCGTCCCGTTGCCCGAGAAGGCGAGGTCGGCGGTGGAGCCGATGATGGCGATCTTGTCCTCGGTGCCGAGCCTGTCCAGCTGGGCACTCAGCTTGGCCAGCCGCGCCGGGGGGTAGTTGACGCGGTAGAAGCCGATGGCTCCGCTGTTGAGCTTGTAAAAGTCGTCGTCTATGTCGCGGATCGTCGCCGTCTTGGTCGTCAGGGACAGGTCGGCGACAGCACCCACCTGGCCCTTCTTGCCGTCGAGGCCGAGCGGCACCCACCAGACGGCGGTGTCGTCGTCGGCCTGGACGTCGCCCGTCGACAGGAAGCGCGACTGCTTGATGGAGATCTGCCCGGGTTCCTCGGCCACGGTCAGCACGGGATGGCCGACGCACGAGATCCAGGGGCCCATGAGGGCGTTGACGTCCTGGCCCGAGGCCTGGCTGAGCGCGTCCCACAGGGCCTGCGTCGTGGCGTTGCCGTAGGCGTGCGCCTTGAGGTAGTTGGATACGCCCTTGAGGAACGTCTTGACGCCGAGGTGGTTGGCCAGCATGCGGATGGCCGAGCAGCCCTTGAGGTAGCTGATGGAGTCGAAGATCTGGTTGACGTCGAGCGCGTCGCGCACGGGCACGTGGATGGGGTGGCTGGCGCGGATGCCGTCGAGCCGGAACGCCGCCTCCATGCCCTCGTTGACAAACTGCGCCCACACCTGCCACTCGGGGTGCAGGTGGTCGATGGCGAGCCAGCCGACATACGTTGCAAAGCCCTCGTTCAGCCAAAGCTCGTCCCACCAGTCCATGGTCACATAGTTGCCAAACCAGTGATGTCCGAGCTCGTGAGCGACAACGTAGGCGACGGCGTTGCGGAAGCGGGCGTCGGACGTCTTCTCGTCGAAGAGGACCTGCGTGGTGCGGTAGGTGACGAGGCCCCAGTTCTCCATGGCGCCGTGGGTGAACTCGTGGACGGCAAGCAGGTCCGCCTTGGGGAGCGGGTAGTCGATGTCGAAGATCTCGGAGAAGTAGTCGATGATCTTGGGCGCGTGCCAGAGGGCCAGGCGCCCCTGTTCCTTGAGGCCGCGGGTGGTGTAGACGCGGACGGGCAGCTGCTTGCCGTTGTAGCGGCGCTCCGTGTGGGCCTCGACGTATTCAAAGTCGCCGACGGCCCAGGCCAGCAGGTAGGTGCTCATGACGGGCGTTGTTTCGAAGGAGACGACGTTCCATCCGTCCTTGGTGGGCTTCTTGGCCTTGACGGGCATGTTGCTGAGGGCGACCTGGTCGGTGGGCACCTCGATGTCAAAGTCAAAGGTGGCCTTGAGGTTGGGCTCGTCGAAGCAGGGGAAGGCGCGGCGGGCGTCGCAGGACTCGAACTGGGTGCTGAACATGTAGTGCCACTCGTCGTCGCGCGGGACCGACTTTGCGGGGGTCCCGGTGGGCTTGTACTTGGAGCGGTAGAAGCCGGCCATTTCGTTGTTCATGATGCCCTCGAAGTCGATGGCGACGGATGCCCGCTTGGCCGCGGGGATCTCGCGGTCAAAGGCAATGGTGGCGCGCTGCGTCTTCTCGTCGTAGCTGAAGCTGGTCGACTCGAACGTCTCGGAAGACTTGGCCTGGTCGAGGGTGACCTTTGTCCGGAGCAGCTTGATGTGGAGGGTGTTGAGGACGACTTGCTTGGTGGGCTTGACGATTTCGGCGTCGATTCTGTTGCTTCATCAGCCAACCGACGTGTCCCAGGAGGGCGAAACGGGAGAGCTTACACGACGGTGCCCTTGTAGGTCCACTCTGTGAACTCGAGGTCCTTGAGGGAGACATGGTAGTGGGCTGGCTTGACGAGGTCGGGGAGGATGTCACGGTCGGCCATGTTGCGCGGGTTGCTTGCTCGGGCACGAGCTGAGCAGAATCGAGAGGGGATTCGCAAGAGGAGGCTGGAGTTGTGCCGTCAGCTCAGCAGGGGCTTTTGTTCTGAGAAGCAGGCAATGGACGGATGGAAGCTCAGGACATGGCGGGGACGCTGCCCCTCATGGTGGTGGACGAAGGCGGGGTCGCTGCACGAGGAGCAAACGGGCGTGGAGCAAACGGGACGCCGTAAAGTAGGTACGTACCGCGGCTTCTGCCAAAACACACCTTTCGGGTGAAGAAGCGTCGTCGTCGCCAAGTTCCGTCGCTGCGGCCAGCCATTGCAGCTGCTTCGCCCGTCGGCCGTCGCATTGCTTCGGCTTAGCAGGGACAGCCCACGGCGGTTCCACCGCGGCCTCACGAGCTCGCCGCGGCAACCCATCACCAGCTGCCGCATCAGGCAGCTCTCGGCCGCCGCCGCCGTTGCCGCCGCCGCCATAGCCGTTCTCCCGACCCGTTCCCTTTGGGAGGAAATAGAGAGGAAATAAGGGAGGGACAGGGGGCAAAGAGTAGGCGCGGCTTCGTCGGGTCAGAGACGGAGCTCAATGGTCCGCTGGCCGGCGCAAACGAGGAGATGGAAAGAAGCAGCAGACGAGAATCGCGCCGCCCATTGGACCGCGCTGCAGTGCTGTGTCTGAATGCAAATGATGAAATTTTAGCTGGCGCAAAGTGGGCCGTTCAGTGCAAGCGCCAGACTGAGACCCCTGTTCCCCCGTGCCGTTCAAAAGCGCCCGGCCCATCATTTCTTGCCCGGCATCGTCACCATTCATCCCGATGCACCTCTAGACGCGCTTCCCCTCTTGTTGCTCGGCTAGCCCCCCAGCTCTCCTGTGTAATTCGCAACGTGACAGCAAGGGTATCCACGACTCATCCTGGCCCACCGCCAAGGAGCAACGCCATAAACGCCATGTAGAACCACTCAAAGACTGGGAAACAACCCGGTATCAGTCTTCCTTCACGCCCGCCCCCACTCGTCCAAAACCGTCGGCCTTTGTACGGCAAGCCCCTTGTTGCTGCTCAGCCACGCCCGGCAGGCCTCGTGGCGCGCGTACTCGCGCGGATCCTCGGCTCTCGAGCTCATCATCTTGGCATCCGCCACGTCCAGCACGCTTCGGCCCTCGGCGTCACGGGCGTGGACGCTGGCGCCGTGCCTCACCAACGTCCTCATGGCCAGCTTCCGGCCGCAGCGCACCGCCACGTGCAGCGCCGTTTCGCCTGCACGGTTCCTCGCATGCACATTGGCTCCCTTCTCGACCAGCAAGTCGAGAATCTTGGGCCCCGTTTTGTAGTCACTGTCCTCGGGAAGCTCGGCAGAAAACGTCATGAGGGGCGTGTTCCCGCGGCAGTCGTAATGGTTTGGGTCGACGCCGGCGTCGAGCAGTCCCGCGGCAAGGGATCGGCGGAATTCCAGCCTCGCGCTGCTCGAGTCCAGGAGCTTTCCTTTGCCGACCGAACCATCTTGCGTGCCCGGGTCCAAGCAATACTTGTCCACGATACTGTCAGGGCTCAACGTCGCTATGGCGAGGCAGTGCAGGCCGTTGCCTCCGTCTACATCTTCCAGCAACGGGTTCTCAGACGCCAGCCGGATCTTCTCTAGCAGCCCAGCCTCTTTCGCAATCGCAGGATCTATGCTCGGTGCTGGGCTCGTCATCGAGAGGGCATCGGAAGGGCTCGAATCCAGGCACATCGGCTCGTCACGGTCACCGGGTAGTGTCTGCTGGGTCGGCACGAGGCCAAAAGCGTCGCGCTTGATGTACCGCCATCTCTCGGGGACGGGACATGTGCGCTGCACCGCGTCCAAAGTTAGGCCCGTCGAGCGTAGGATATGAAGCACGTTGCGCCCATAGACGTCTTGGGCGCACATGTCGAAGCCCCTGCGAATTGCCATGTGCAGAAGCCGAAGCAGCTGTTCGGGTTTCCGCCCCTCGATTCTCTTAGTGACATGCAAAAAGGTCTGACCACCTGTGTTCCTCCTGTTGATGATGGTGTCGCACAATTTTGTCTGAAGTACCTGCACGAGCATCTCGGCCGGGGCACGAGCGGCCAGAAAATGCAACACTGTGTTGCCGAAGCAATCGAGCTCAAACACGTTGGAAGGCGTAGGCCCTGTCGCCAGCAAGCACCGGCCGGCCGCGGTTATGCCGCCCGTGGTGACCCACGGCGAAGGGTAACTGCTGCCGTGGTCAAAGCACAAACACCGCCCATGCTGGTGGGCTTCTGGCAGAGCGCGGCAACCACGCTCCGTGGCGAACGCGTCGCAGCTCAGAAAGTCGCCCGGCAAGGGATGCGGTTCGTCGTGGAACGCCCGTGGCCCGTCCCGATTGTCCAGCCAGCCTCGCGGCAAGGGCGGTCCTTGGGGCATTGGGGACAGGCTGCAAGGAGTGTTGATTGGGACCGTGAACCTCTTGACTAGCCTCTTGACGGTCTGAATGTACGGCTCAGAGTAGCCGGGAAGCAACTGCCGAAACGACCCGGTCGTGCAGTCGGTGGACGTAGAGAGGCAAGTAGTCCGCCGAAGAAAGGGAGAGAAGACGTCGTCATCTCCTAGACCTTCGGATTGGACGGGGTTGCATCCATGTGCGGGGAACCTGTCGGCCGTAGGGTGGCTGCTCGAATGAAGTTGTGGCCCTCGGACGAGTCCCTGCAGGGGGGTGGCAGCTGAATCGGGGCCGAAGAAGGGAATCTCGGGCGGCAGCAGGCTTGCCGTGGTTTCCCTTTTAACGTCAAATGGGCTTGAGGAGACGGCTAAAGTTTCATCATGGGGAGGGCGTGGGCCGTCCCCCGCGGCGTTTTCTGCAAATGTCAACCTGGTTGGCGAGTAGGAGAGCTGGGCCACACGACGGCCCATGTCGGACTCGGTGCGCGGATGAAGCCATCGCGGCTCTTTGTCCAGCAGCGACCTGAGCTTCTTGTTCGCCGAGTCGAGACTACGTACATGAGCATTAGAGACTCGGGCTTCGCAAGAGGCGAGGGCTACTTACCCCGGAGTCGACTCGGGCAAACTGGAATGAATGACCTTGACGATTTTTTCCAAGGGAAGAGTGGTGTAGACATAGAGGCGGGCCATCTTGCGCTGCGCCGATGATGTCCACTTGGGAGGACGACCGATCAAGGTGACTAGGCTGTCGCCGGATACGGACGCGGACGAGGCGGGGATGGCTAGCCAGGGCGGCGACGGCTGCTTCATGGCGTTTCACTGGTGCTCGTGTTGAGCCTCGAGAGTTGGTGAGTCTATAGCTGGCCCGACGGAGCGAGGCGAGCACCTCGCAGGCGGCAATGGCTTGTAGACAGGTTGGGGCCAAGAGGTACTGCGAGCTTTTAAGGCACGCACGGGACCCAATTGAATACGCCTGGCCGGGGAAGCGGCCGCTGCAGTAGCGAAAAAGCGAAGCTGGCTTTGATCCTTCGATCCTCTCCACCCATCAAGGGATGGAAGATGTTCGGGACGTTGAGCATAGAAGAAGGTTGGCCCGCGAGCACGGCCAAGAGGGCGCGGTCGAGCGTGCGGCTGCGGTCGGTGCCGCCATGACGTGCTGTGGGCAAGTGTTCAAGCACTGGCCGTAGAGCTTTGCGGCCCAATGCACTGGGCGAGAAAAGGTCCCGATGACGGCGTGGAAGCGAGGGTTGGAGGTACCCTGGGCAAGGTTGGCGATGAGCGGGTCGTGGTGGTGTGGCGGTGCGGATGGCAGCCTAGAAAGGCCAAACTGCCTGGCTGCGCCCCAGAATCTCGACTCCCGCAGAGGGGGGCGGAGGGCCTGTGGCTGCTCTGTTGTCCAAATCACGTGCGTCCATTGTTAAAGTCTGAAGTTAAATTATTACTCAACATTTGCCTTCAATATGGAGCGACGGCTACTCGTCTCGCAACTCGCCCTGGAACTTCATCGACTGCAGCGCCAGCTCGTCAGTCTCCACTGGTGGAAGACGGGTCGCAACCGGCAAGATCCGATGCCATGTCATCATCGTGCGGCGCCGTCTGCAGCTGCAGTCGGCGGGCTGAAGGCTGTGCACACACCCATGCTGCTGTTGGGCTGCTCATCTTGATAGCGAACCTCCCGAGTAGCACAGATCACACACTTCAGTACATGAGCATGGCGCTGTTAATCTGTCCGAGACCCCGGCCGACGACCTTTGCATTGCGCCACGCTGGACGGATCGCACTCGAGAGCACAGCAGCTGACGGGTTCGTTTGCAGGCGCACCCCAAGCATCGATCGCCATACGCGAGCGGTATCGGGCTATTGGTGGTCGACCAACGACCTCGTTGCTGCAGTCTGCACATAGGCGCCCCATCCAGTCGAGGAAATTGCTGTCAATGGGTCTCGCTCCGTGTCCGCAGTTTCGTGCCGCCGGCCATCAAAGGCAGGACAGCGTCCGCGTTGGCCAGCGATTCGTCAAGGCCACGGATCAATCGACCCTCCATCTTCCCAATGGCAGGGCAACTGGATCGTTCCCCTCGGCCGCTTGCGTTGGTCTATTTCATTAGCTGTTCAAGCACGCCTCAGCCCAGCCCTGTGAATGACGGCATCCGGGTGGCTTCGCCTCTCTGGTAACACTGCACTTATGGCTTCGTCTCCTACAGAGAAATCTAGAGGTATGGTGAAACTCGCTGGATTTTAGCAACTTTGAAGTAGCTACATTCAAGTCTTCCAATCTGACAGTAAACGTTCACTCGGAATCCTGGCTCTCGGCAATTGAGGCTCAAATTTGACATTAAGAGATATCTGCCAACAATTGTCTTCTCGAGTTATATCCAAACCAATCTTTGATATCATCCCGAGCCGCCGCCAATAGGCAACCGGCTCCTCGGAGGGCAAGTTCATTCATTCTAAAAAATAAAAATAAAAAGGAAAACGGGGGAATATTTTATTTACATCCGGAAAGTTAAAAGTTACTTGCAAATATGCCTCGTTTGCGCGACAGCATTTAGAAAAGGGCAAGCAGACCGGCGACGGCGACAACCAAAGTGACGCTGCTGGAAGCGTGGCCGGCAGCGCCGGTGACCAGAACAGGGCCGGTCGTGGCCGACGGGGGAACGACCTCGGTAGGGGTAGGGGGCTGGACAGAGGGGTTCTGAGGAGCAGGCTTTCCAGCGGGAGGAGACTGGTAGGGAGGCTGCTCCGGAGTAGGCTGCTTGGAGGGCTGCTCAGCCGGGGGAGACTGGTAAGTGGGCTGCTTCGGAGTGGGCTGCTGAGTAGGCTGCTCGGCCGGAGGAGACTGGTAAGTGGGCTGCTCCGGAGTAGGCTGCTGAGTAGGCTGCTCGGCAGGAGGAGACTGATACGGGGGCTGCTCGGTAGGAGGCTTCTCAGTCGGGTGCTCCGGGAGAGGCAGAATGACCGTCGGCACCACAGAGGGAGCAGGGACGCTCTCCGTGGGGCACTCAGGAGCGCCGGGCGAACATGAAGGAACGGCGTAGGTCTGCGTGGTGTACTTGGTCGGGGCCTCGCTGCTGACAGGCTCGGGCTTGGTGGCCGGGGGCGCAACTGACGTGACAGGGCAGATAGTGGTGGAGACGGGGAGAGTCTCGGTAATGACCGTGGTGTGGCCACCGGGACAGTTGGGAACCTCAGGAGGGCAGTGGGTGATGGTGCGCGTCTTGGTCGTGTGGATGGTCGACGTGGTCCAGCTCGTGGTGTCGGGTTGGGGCTTGCTCGTGGGGCCGACGCCGGGCTGGGTAGACGACGAATCCGGGACCGAGTACGTAGGCTTCTCCGGGTAGGTAGGGTGCTCTGCGGGCTTGGTCGAGGTTACGGGGCACACAGTGGTGGAGACGGGGATGGTCTCGGTGACGACGGTCGTGTGGCCCTTGCCGGGGCAGCTGGTCACCTCAGGGGGGCACTGAGTGATGGTGTGCGTGTTGGTGGTGTAGATGGTCGAGGTGGTCCAGCTGGTCGTCTCAGCCTCGGTGGAGCTTGGGTGATCAGGCTTCACGGAGGTGGAGCTGTAGCCGGGGGGGTTCGGGTACGAGGGAGTCTTGGAAGGCTTCTCAGGAGTGTGCTCGGTGGAGGTGACGGGGCAGACGGTGGTGGAGATGGGAATGGTCTCGGTGACAATTGTGGTGTGGCCCTTCCCGGGGCAGCTGGTCACCTCAGGGGGACACTGAGTGATGGTGTGCGTCTTGGTCTCGCAGATGGTCGAGGTAGTCCAGCTGGTGGTGTCGGGCTGGCTCGAAGACTCGGTGCCAGGCTGGACAGAGGTGGAAGAGTAGCCGGGAGTAGAGTCAGGGGCCGAAGGCGTGGGGTAGGGAGAGGAGCCCGGGCCCGTTGGCGCTTCGGATGAGCCAGGTGCCGAAGGCGTGGGGTAGGGAGAAGAACCAGGTGCCGAAGGCGTGGGGTAGGGAGAAGAGCCCGGGCCCGTTGGCGCTTCGGAGGAGCCAGAGCTAGAGGGGATGGGATACTCAGGTGACTCGACGGGGGTAGATGGGGTGGGATACTCGGGAGTATCCGGGCCTGAGGGAGTGGGCTTCTCGGGCTTCTCGCCAGGGCCTGAAGGCACGGGGTACTCCGGGTTGTTTACCGGGCCAGACGGCACAGGATACTCGGGCTGCTCGCCCGGGCCCGTCGGCACGGGGTACTCTGGGTTGTTTACCGGGCCAGACGGCACAGGATACTCGGGCTGCTCGCCCGGGCCCGTCGGCACGGGGTACTCTGGGTTGTTTACCGGGCCAGACGGCACAGGATACTCGGGCTGCTCGCCCGGGCCCGTCGGCACGGGGTACTCTGGGTTGTTTACCGGGCCAGACGGCACAGGATACTCTGGCTCCTCACCCGGGCCTGACGGGGCCGGTTCCTCGGGCTTGGTCTCGGGACCAGATGGAACAGGATACCCGGGTTCCTCAACCGGACCTGATGGGGCCGGCTCCTCGGGCTTGGTCTCGGGACCAGATGGAACGGGGTAACCCGGCTCCTCGGGCTTGGTATCGGGACCAGATGGAACGGGGTAACCCGGCTCCTCGGGCTTGGTATCGGGACCAGACGGTACGGGGTAGCCGGGCTCATTTCCGGGGGCTGATGGCGTGGGATAGGCAGGTGAGTCGTTGGGCTTCGACGGGGCGGGATAACCAGGCACAGGGTATCCAGGATTCTCGACGGGGGGGGCGGGGGAAGATGACGGGCCACCAGGCTTATGCGTGGCCGTGTAGGCGATGCAGGAGCAGGCAGAACTGACCTCCCTGGCGGAGCGGCAGTTCCCAAACTTTGCCGGGATGGAACCGGCGTATTTTTTATTGCCGGCGAGATACTCGAGGCAGAACTTGGGGGCCACGTCCTTGAAGTGCTTGTCGACCAAGTTGCGGTAGCAGTTGTCCGCCTCGCAGTCGGGGAACTTGTTCGCGTGAACCACGCTGGCGGCCACGGCGCCGAAGACGTACACGCCTTTCATGGTGGGCGGCTCTTTGTGTGACTCTTATATTAACGAAGGAGGTTTCGATGACCCGAGGGGGAAAACAAGAGGTAGCGAGAGTCAGGGGCTCAGCAAACACCAGGAATAAAGACTGACAAGAGCGAGTTGACTGGACGAGGGATGGACAAGAGAGAGACCCAAGATGAAGGGGCGGGAGCGAGGCTCTCTTAAGGACCGGCCAGGACGACCAAGGGGGGGCATCTCTCCGTTCACGTCTCCTGTAGATCGAGTTGGCTGTTGACCTGCCGCCGCCACCCATCGTCGACCACAACAGGCCCGGCCAGCCAGCCATGCACAACAGCCCCCCTCGTACTGTACATGCATGGAGGAAGCCATGCCTGTGTCTGTACGGACCGTGTATCCGCGCTGTACATACACACATGTGCACGGAGCCCTTGCCTGGGGCTCGAGGGGTGCTTCTCCCTACCTGTTTGGCCCGTACTGTACATAACATCTCCCCCCAGCATGTACATGCGTGTACGGAGTGTACACGGGGGAAGAAGAAGGGCGAGGGGGCGCCATGGTGACCAAGGCTTCGGGGACTGGGAGGCGGATAATACGAGTTGCTGTTAATAGATGTGCATCGTGGCCGGCGCTGGCCGCCGGGCGGTTCCCGGAGCACTTGATTGGGGGATGCAGGGGTCGCGTGTTTGTCGTCCTGGCCAGAGCCGCCGGGGCACCGGGGGGTGGGTGGAGAGACCCATTGGCGATCATTGACGATGATCCCTCGTCTGTTTTCATGGTGACGCTGGCGAATGGGCAGGGGGGTTCTCTCGAGCCGACTGAGGCCATGCTTGCAGGCGAAGACCCCTCCAATCTTTTTGTTCTTTCCCCTAACTTACATGCTGCGTCCAGGAGGCGAACCGAAAAGCCCGGTTATTTGTTTTTCCCCCTCGTTTATTTTTTATATTTTTACATCTGACCGTTTGTTCTGCCGACTGGCGGACTTAGAAGCCATCCGACCAGTCGTTTCTGTCGGACCTTTTGTCGAGGTCCGAGGACCGGGGTTGGAGAAGCGATTTGATGCCCAGCCACCAGACCTCCTCTTCATGGCGAGAGAATACGAGTAACACTTGACGAGAAGGTCCACGTAGTGCCCGTCATGAGAGCGGCAACAACTCATCGGTGACATTTTCTTCCATCACTACACGAGGTATCGAGGGCTCGATTGGAGTTGGCGGTGCTGTTAGGTAGCATCGAGAGGCTTCCAGGCCAACACTGCCCCCCCAACACCACTACCCCTGACTATGAAGTACATGGGCCAGTTTCCACAGACGCACGCTCCAGGAGCTACGAGGGTGGAGAAGAGTTGGAAGAATGGGCAGGTCAATAACGGCGTGGGGGGGAAGAGGCGTGGTTAGTGGTAGAATGAACCAAGCTGGACGCGCGCGGCTTTTCCAGAGAGGCGGGGGCCCGGTCTCTCGATTCTAGGGCCGTGTTTCTTTTTGCGGGTTTCATCCGGTGCTGGCCGTTGGTTTTTCTTTTTACTCGTTTCAACCCATTGCAGACTGGCATCTGGGGCGGGAGCCTATTAAGCTAGCTTCGATGTCGGTGCCTGCCTGTTCTATGCCTTGTGTTTTCCTTGTTGTTTTTGTGTGGCTGGGACAAGACGGCTTGCTCGTGTGATTGGCTGCCTGCTCTAATCTCGTTTGCTTTTCTCTCAATTGACTTTCTTGGAGGGGACGAAGATGGTGGTGCCTGGCGGCGTTGTTGGTCTAGACTCAGGAAAGGGGGTGGGGGAGATCTCCAGTCCCGTCTGCCACGAGGATGCGGATATTTTGCGGGTGAGAAACAATAAAGACAATCAATGACGATAGATCAAGGGGGTGGTCCTCGCACAGCCCGCCTGCCCCGTTGGCTATCAGGGCCAACAAGCAAGCCAAGGAGGGATACGGTGGGAAATCACGGAACACACCCAGGCCAGGCAGGCAAGCAAGCGTTTTCTTCCTTCTCCTGAGGCGCCCAACCACGATTCTGGAATCGAGGGAACTTAGCCTGTGCTTGGCTCACGCAGATTACCCACGTTGGATGCCAAAGAGATACAAACTCTAAGCTGCTCGGATCAATATGTGTACGCCAAGTGTTCGACTGGGAACAGGCGTGTTCCTGGACTCTGGCCCGCACGTGGACGTGTGTGTTTGTAGGACCAACGACAGTCAACCCGCGGCCGACAGCATCGTCCAGACAAACATCAGGCCACTTGATCTCCCTGCAGGGGCTGTACGGTACAGTCTGTATTAGATGTAGGAACACCTGCCGTGAGATGGAGCCTGCATGGCTTCATGTCCGGCGGCCGGCGTAGATTAGACAGGATCGGGCGCCCGGCGCCAAGTTGCGAATAAAGAGCACAGCGTCGGTCTGAAAGGTGACGACGGGGGTTCAGGGGGGGGCGAACGGCGGCAGCCCGTGTCACTCGAGGATGCAGCATGGCCTGCATCCGGCAAACAGGCACCAGGGGTTCTTCCTGCTGGCATCGGCTCTACTCTTACACTGCACAGTACATATTACACATCCATGGTCAGCGACTAGAGGGCCACTGAGCATGCTTGTATCCGACAGTGCTGCGCGTGCAGATTGGCTGCAAGTGATAGGCACGGGATGATTATTCTGCTTGTTCGTGCAACATCGAGCTGTCTCCAAGCGCGCGGGAAAACATAATCCTCTCTCTGTACCTGCAGCGGCTATGTAAGGAGATGCTGTGCCACGCACCTGTCTAAGCCCAAGCCATCTGCACAATACATACAGTGAGATACTGCGCATTGAAGCTGACAGGACATATCAAAGTTGCTTCGTACAGTACCTCGCCGGAAACTGCCATTAGACGACCACCGTGTGGGTAAACGTTGCCACCGAGACGTGAAGGCCAATGTTGTACATACGCGCACGCACGCAGCAACCAGGGCCCTCGCTCCTCTCTTTTTCCTTTCCTTTTGCCTTGTCGATCTCTTGGCGGTGGCCTGTTGGACGAATGGCGGCGAGGCGATGCTGCGCAACACTCATCCGTGGGCCTGCCTGCAAGGCCGGCAGGGGCGGGACGGGCAGACGGATCGAGGACGAACGGACTCCGGAGTGCGTATACTGTATTCAGACTGTACCATACGGCATGGTCCGGTGCAGGTGCGCATGGCGAGACGGTCTCACGGCCGTTGGCAACGAACGGGATCGCGATGTGGTCGGCGCTGATATCATGGCTCCATCTCGTATCGGCCGAGTATGGACGTGGACCGAGGCGCCCACGGCGTCATGCACGCGTCTCACTAAAGCAGCAGTTTGTTCACGTAATAAACTAGGCTACCTCGGACTCTCGAGATAACAAAACATTGTCGGACAACAACAGCCACGACATCATCTGCTGACAGTTGTTCTCTGGTCCGGTGGCTCGGAAGCCATCAGGGCATCTCCGGTATCTGCTCACGCGGACCAGAGAAAAGGAAATACGGGAATAGTCTGTCTGATCCAGAGGTCTGATCCTTGAGCCGCGGCAAGCGAGCAGCAAAGCAACTTACCCTGTTCGGAGAGCCACGTCGAGAAGCTAGCAAAGGTGCTTGAGCCTGTGGAGTGGCGCCGAGAAGCAACAAGACACAGCGCACAGCATCCGAAGGTAGGGAGATCAACAAACTGGTGGCTACGTGGGCTGCAGCCATCGCTCGGCCGGCCTGCCACATCACCGCTTCACCACCCGACGGATGCCTCGCGAGCAGGGGTCAGGCCCGAGGAGACGTCATCGGGGAACCGGATTCCTCGTACGCACAGGCCGTGACACGGTCGACGGCCTTTCGGGCGAGAAGCGTGGGACGGAAAGGGTTCAGTCATCCGAAAAGAAAAGAGGGGGGAGAAGCAAAAACAGCAGGGCTGGATCACGATGCCGGCTTCGTTGGTGCCTTTCTGTGGCAGCGTGGGACAAGGACGCCCCTGTTTTTTCTGTTTGGGGTTGCTTTTTCGCCACTCGGCGTGCACCGATATTGTCGTCAACTGCTTGTTTCTTGAGTCCCCCGTCCTGTCTGCTTCCTTCTTCCTCGCCGTCGTCCTGGCGCCGCCCCCCTTGCCGCCGCCGCCGCCGCAACGCCTCCTCCCCACTCTCGGCGGGCGACACGATGCTCGGCCCGAACGGAGGCTGATGCGTGCTCAGAGGTCCGCCCGGTCCGGGGCTTCCCCTCCTGTCACCGATCGTGTGTTCTCTTCACTCCATGGAGGTACTCCGTAAGCCATCCATCCCAACAGTTGCCGCCGTACGAGTGCGTTTTGCGTCATCCGACTTGGGTACAGGTGGACAACACGGGCCAAAAAGAGCCATGCATGGTGCTTGGCAACCTCGCGAGGCCCTTTTTTTAGACGCTCGGAAAAATTCCCGCGAAATATGTGTATACTGTACAGTATTATGTGTGTGCTCTCCTGGGTGGAGAGAGCCGCCGTCATCGCACAGGGCACAAGCTGTCCGGGAGGTGCGGAGCTATTTTCATTTTTGTGCAAGCTCTGCATAAGGGGGAGGCCGGCAACACACAGTCCACGCATCACTGGAACTGTTTGCACCATGATTGTTCTTCTTCCTTTCCAAAAGCAAAAGGTTAGGGTCCGAGAGGTGAAGGTGAGGTTGCACAACGTCTCTCCGTCCCTTGCGTCAAGGCTCAAGGTCCACGTTGCGCCCCAGCAGCAGCAGCAGGTGGACATGATTGAAGAAAAAAGAAAGCAAAAGTAACCCATCCTCAAACCTGCTACTGCAGTTCCCCTTTAATTTGGGGGCAAGGAAAAGGAATAACAGCTTTGGCGAGGTTGAGGTTGGACATGCGCTGTCGTGTTCCTCCTCCTTTCTCTTCTTCTTCCTTCTCATTCCAGTCCATATCCTGTTCAAAGCCCTCCCATTTTCTTCCACCGTCACTCGGCCACCCACCTGTTCATCCCATCCCCTCGCTGGCTTCGTACATATACGAGGGGACCCTCTGGCAAAGCCGACACCACCTCACCGCTTGGCATGGGCCGGTTCAGCGGCAGCCATTGGTGGACGCGGTAATGAGGCTACTGTATGTCATCACAAGTTGTTCCTTTGCCATGGAACCCAGCTGCTGCACGATCCCTCCACGCAGCAGGGCCTTGACTTGGCAACGAACAAGTGGAAAAGGGGGTCGGGCAAATGGGTTGGTGACGGGAGGATTCAAGCGGTCAGTCCGGCCGCAGTGGTCCTTGATCCATCTCGTCGCTATTCCATATCAATTCACGAAAGCAACACCGGCCCCCCATCATCCCACCTGCATGCAAGGAAACTCCTCGTATCCAGCGCCAGGTTCGGGGCATCGGCGCATCTATCGAGTCGGGCCCGCATCATGACCCAACCTCGTGACGAAGTGCCTTTCGGGTAGTAAGAAATGACTTGTGAAGAAGAGGAAATTGATATCGCTTATTATTCCAGTTTTACAACAATGCCCTCATTTTTCACCCGTGTTTGCCCGTCTCGTCCAGTGCCTCAGTTGTTGACCAGCACGTACCGGAAGCGAGGCTTGCCAGCATCCATGTCGACGATGGCCTGGTTGGCGTCCTGCATGGGCCGCTTCTCGATCCACGGCTGGACGTTCTTCTCGGCCGCCAGCTTGAACATTTCGTAAATCTCCCTGGGGCTGCCTATGGCCGAGCCGGTCAGCGTGCGGCGGCCGCCCATGACGGACCCCAGGGCCAGGCTGACGGGACCCTCGGGAAGGCCGACTTGGACGAAGGTGCCCTCGAACTTGAGGAGGCGGATATAGTCTCCAAGGGGCATCTGATGCGGAAACCTGTTAGCAAGTTGAATCTTTCTTCTGTTTTCTCAACGTACCTTGGTTGACGACACGGTGCTAAGGATGAGGTCGAAGCGGTTCTTGTGCTTGGTGGCCCAGCCCTCTTCGTCGTCCAGGGCAATATAGTCGTCGCAGCCAAGGTCAATCGCGTCCTTCCTCTTGTTCTGTTTGCGCGAGATGCCCACAACCTCATCCGCGCCGAGCGCCTTTGCAAAGAGCACGGCAAAGTGTCCCAAGCCGCCGATGCCGATGACGGCGATGCGCTTGCCCGGCCCGACGCCAAAGTGCTTGAGGGGCGAGTAGACGGTGACGCCGGCGCACAGCATCGGGGCCGCGTGCTCGGGGGCCACGCCGTCGGGGATCTTGATGACGAAGTGCGATGGGCAGCGATGGTAGCGGCCGTAGCCGCCGAGCGTGGGCGCGCCGTTGCGGTGCTTGGACGCGTACGTCATGACGACCTGCGAGCAGTAGTTTTCGCACTCGTTGCCGCACGCTTCGCATGGGCCGTCGCGGCCCAGGCACGAGTCTGACTGGGCGCCGACGCCGACCATGTCGCCGACCTTGATGCCGCCCTCGGCCTTGGAGCCCACGCGCACGGCCACGCCGACGATTTCATGGCCAACAACGACGGGGTAGGGGGCCTCGCGCTGCAAGAGCCCCTGTTAGCTGTGTGTGTCGTGCCTGACGAGACGAGGTTGCCCCACGTACCCAGCCGGATCGCAGCGTCGAGAGGTCGGAGCCGCAGATGCCCGAGTGAGTGATCTTGATATCCACGTCCGTCTCCTCCCACGGCTTGGGCTCGAACTCCCTCCAGACCATGTTGCCCTCGACCGAGGACGGGTCGAGGCCCATCCATCCCTCGAACTTGTATTCGGTAGTCACCATTGTGTCTGGCTGGTGTGTGTGTGTGTGGATGAGCGTTGTCTATGCTCTCTCTGTTGGCTTCACTCTCACGCTGGCCGTCGTGTGTTGGCGCGCAGGCCGGCTGCTTGTATAAGGCGGACACTCTCTCAACAATTGACTTTAGGAATGTGACGCATGCGAATAGGCAAGAAGCGATATCGAGATGGGACTACTTTGTCGACTAGTAGACTAGGTGTTGTCTAGTCTGTGTCCGTGTGTGTATGGCATCAGCGTCCGGACCAACGAGTTCCTATCCAACATTGCGTTGGCATCGAGATATATATACCAGTTGTATTCAGATGTTGGGCGTCCATTGTTTGAATGGAGTAGAGGGCTTGCCAGACAACATTGTCTGTTGCGTCGGCAAAGCCCATGGCCATTAACACCGTAAACTCCAGCCACGCAACCTCTCCACTTCCCGGCCATGCCAGGCACGCGCCTGATGAAACCTTGCCAGGGCCGGTGTGAATGCCAAGGATCCGCAGTTCTCCGTTGATGGCGTGGTTTTTCTCCATGCGTCTTGTCAGCTTCGTGGCCGAGGCCGTACTGCCCTGTCGGCGTCAGTGCGCACTCCGGGACTGCACATGGCTCGAATGTGATGAAAAGTCCAAGGGAGGCATGCATATGCAATAAAGGCTCCCGGAACCCCGGACATGAGGGCTCACGTCGTGAGTTCTCTTGGGTAAATGTCGTCGGCAAGGGTGCCGACAGTAACATCGGGCAATATTGCTTGGGCACTATGACGATGGGGGAGACGGCATGCCCGGCGACGACGGCTGCATGCCTCGGTTTATTCTAGACCCATTCTTTCGTCGTCTTCCTGCTTGTAAAGCTTTCAGCATGTGCATGAGCCGGCGACGATGGACCGGCACTCACGGAGCCGGCCCCGCTGCGGAGCCTCGGCATCCAATCGTTGGCCGGGGCCTCTGTGGATACAGCCTCGGCAGTCCTGCCATCCATCCCGGCCACATTTAGCGGTAGACGGATAATGGCCATGGTCAGGATGCTGCGCTTCTAGCTTCGGAGTTTGCGGACATGGGCAGCAGTCGAGTGACCATGCGAGTGCAAGATGGCCGATATAGAGCCGGAGCCGGCCGCCAACCGCGTCGCCGGGGCCAGCGGGACGCTCGGCGGCGTCGTTCGGGTTGCCGGAACTTGGCCTTGGCTGTATTATGAACCCGAGGCCTGTTCCTCCTACTGCATGGCGTGATTCGCGGCAGATTCGGGCTATTTCGTCACCATCACCGCACAAGGGCAGTGCCACGAGCGGCCTGATACTCCCGACGGCACACACACCTTTGCCTCCCCTATCGGTGTCGACAAGGCTGCCGTGGAACTTGAACAGGCATTTCCTTCTTTCCCTCTTCCACACACACCCACACACACGGGCCGTCATTCACTCACCGCAACAGGCAGCAGCTTCGTCCGCTGGCCTGCGTGCAAGACAATCATCTATTGCTGGGTGCGACAGCCCGAAGGTGACCCATGACGCTGCCCTTGACAGTCCACGACCCAGCCCGTGATGCGCTCGACGCCGTCTGATGTGGGCGGCTGCCCAACGTCGGCCATGTTTGCTCGCGGGACTCGCTGGTTGGGCTTATCAATCGCATCACCGTCCCTTTGCTCTTTTTTTTCTCCGACGTTCTGATTATGAGGGCTGGCGGCAACGAGGAATCAGAACGGGATGCGGAAGAGAGGGTAGCAAACGCCCTGCTCGTGCTGCCAGCAGGAGGGTTAGATAAACGCGGCGGCTCGCTCAACACGGGCTTGGGACTCGCGGCGTTCCAACTAGATTCGTCAGGCACAGAGCAGCAACAGGTCTTTCTCGACCCTCTCTCTACACAGAGAAAGAAAACGTGCCGCCATGCCTCTTCCTGGTTGGGCCTTGCTCGCGGTTCTCGATCTCGCCGCCGCCGCCGCCGCCCAGCTGAGGGTGCAATGCAGCTTTGTCGGCTTCGCGGACGCCTCCGAGTCGCATCCCATGGCGTACACGGCCAAGTGTTCTCGCAGCTCGGGGGATCCCGTCGAGGTATGCTCGCAGCTAAACCTGGAGCATTGCCTGTCCAACCACGACGGGGAGCTGCGGCCTCCAACTGAGTACGTCGAGCGCGGGAAGCAGACGCCCATCACCCCTTTCTCCGAGGATTCGTCCATCTAACGACGGCGCAACAGTGGCAACAAGTCGCCAGGCTTCAAGGGGACGTGTGCCAGCTGCCACGTCGACGGCGAGGGGTGGAAGCTGTACTGCCAGTGCAAGCGGCTGAACCTGTCGATCAACTACACGTCTGTCGAACTAGGTAAGGCTTACTGGGTGCAGACGAGTTTGATTGTGAGAGCTGACAAGATCCGGCCGGACACGACCTATACAGAGAACATCATCGTCGTCCAAGATGGCCTGTTGACCTGCTCGGGCACGGTTGGCGAGGAGCTGTCGGAATGCCCCGTGACGCGCCTCGGGCGCCCGACGGACCGAGCCCGGTTTGAGGCGTGAAGCTGTCGACGTTGCGGATCGGCACTGCTCGGGGTGCGGGTGTGATGGTTGGGATGCTGACATTGCTTGGATATCCCGTGGGGAAAATTGTTCGACTCGGGTGGGTGCAGGGTAGCCGCGAGCAGAAGGAGGCTGGTGGTTCCCAGCTTCGACCCGAGGATTGTTGAGGTTATTTGTACACGCTCATGTCTGTTTGAGTCGATTGAGAACCGGCTTTGATGAAGATGGTTTCCATCAAACTACTTGATGATGCTGGTTGCCGTGGTGAGATGCTGCGTAGGGCTGTGTCGTGGGGTGCAAGGCATGTGTGTGGGTGTACTGCACGACTGACTACCAGCGAACACAGGTACGGGCATCGCTTGTGCGAGCGAGACATTGGACGGCAGTGGTGCTCGAGATCCAATGGCCGACGAGGACGGAAGAGAGGCTCGATCAAGGTGTACTGTACCGGGGTCGGTTACCGCTCGGCTTGCTGTCTTTATTTGGGAGACGAGAAGTCGAGGGGACGAGAAAGACAACAAGCAGGGACGTGGCCTTCAGTGCATGCTCGGGACGCCCGGAGTTAGCGGGTACGGGCACCTCCTGTACTCTGTACTGTACCTGTACTGTACCTACCTACACTTGATGACTTGCTTGCTACAGGCAGCTTCAGGTACCCGTGCCTCAGAGGCTCGTGCACGCACAGGGGGAAGGATGGCCCGAATAATCCCGATCACCGGCAGGGGAAAAAGTTCTCTCCCTTTGCGCCAGCCAGAGAGAAAAAAAAACACCTCCCATCTCCTCCACGTCGCATCGTCGAGCCTCATCGCACACTCCCCACTCCCCACTCTCCAGCCTCATTCCTCCATCGCACGCAACATGGCCAGCGGCGCCCAAAGCACCGGCTCGACAAAGGTCGATGCCGTCGTCCAGAATGTCAAGGCCGCCGAGCCCGCAAAGCTCTCGGGCGCTGCCCTCTACTCGCGCTTCGCCCTTGCCGGTGCCATCTGCTGCTCCGTCACCCACGGCGCCCTGACGCCCGTTGATGTGTGCGTCTCTCTGCCTTGACGCTCAATTCTCCACCAAGCCCGGCTGACACCCTGCTCCAGCGTCAAGACTCGTATCCAGCTCGACCCCAAGACGTACAACCGCGGCTTGATCGGCGGCTTCCGCCAGGTCATCCAGAACGAGGGCGCCGGCGCTCTCCTCACCGGCGTCGGCCCCACCTTTGCCGGCTACTTCCTGCAGGGCGCCTTCAAGTTTGGCGGCTACGAGTTCTTCAAGCAGCAGTGCATCAACACCTTTGGCTACGAGAACGCCTCCAACAACCGCACCGCCGTCTACCTCGCCTCGTCCGCCGCCGCCGAGTTCTTCGCCGACATTGCCCTCTGCCCCCTCGAGGCCACCCGCATCCGTCTTGTCTCCGAGCCCACCTACGCCAATGGCCTCATCGGCGGCTTCGGCAAGATGCTCAAGAACGAGGGCGTCGGCGCCTTCTACGCCGGCTTCGGCCCCATTCTCTTCAAGCAGTGAGTCCCCCTCGACACCGAGACGCACACCCGGCTCACCCGCGCCACCCAGGATCCCCTACACCATGGCCAAGTTTGTCGTCTACGAAAAGGTGGCCGAGGCCGTCTACCGCCAGATGCCCAAGAAGGACATGTCCGACGGCATGCAAACCGCCGTCAACCTGGGCTCTGGTCTGATTGCCGGTTTCGCCGCCGCCATCGTCTCCCAGCCCGCCGACACCATGCTCTCCGTCATCAACAAGACCAAGGGTCTCCCCGGTGAAGGCACCGCTTCGCGCCTCGTCAAGATTGCCAAGGACCTCGGCTTCCGCGGCTCCTACAGCGGCATCGGTGCTCGTCTCTTCATGGTCGGCACTCTGACCGCCGGCCAGTTCGCCATCTACGGTGAGTATTACTCCACCGGTTGTGGAATTGCACATGGCTAACTCAAAGTCTACAGGCGATGTCAAGAAGGCGCTGGGCGCCACGGGCGGAGTCGAGATTGCCAAATAAGTCGGTGCCTCGAAGTCTGCGAGGGTGAGACGGAGAGATGGGGGGGATGAACCAGGAAACGGGTCAAGGGCCGAGGTGTTGTCCGAGCCAAGCGCCGCGGCACTGCCCAAGAGCTGGGCTTGCCCGGTTGGCTGGGTGATGCGTCGTTCAGCCCTTTTGGCCAGAGACTCGGACTGCACGGCATGTTTGTTAGAGACGATGGGGAAAAGGAGGGATGCCGCACTAATCGTGGGTGCCGAGGGGGGCATCTTTGGGGGGCTTGAGCTGTGATTTCGTCTCCTGTTTGCCTAGACTAGAGAGCATGGGGTGGGCAGGCCAGCGATTCCACCAAGAGGGCTGTATAATAGACGACGTCCATGTTTCGAATAGACGGGATTCTAGGATGGAAGAGGGACTGGCGCATGCCTGGACCAGGTCACTGTCGTGCGCCGTCATGGCACGCTTGTAACGTGTTTATCAGTAAATCCTACTCAATGGCAATCCAACATTGTCGACTTGCGGTCCAGGAAAAGTACGTGTGGCATGTGATTTTCCGGCCGGCAAAGCAAGCTTATCTTATCGGTGCTCAGGGTCCCAAAATTTCTTCGGCCAAGGCCCGCGGGCAGACTTCGCTTGGTCAACCACGCCCACGCTCGGAACCTTGCAGAACCTCGCCCACCATGGGGAAGAGAAAGGTCGCAGCGCTTGAGAAGATCGATGCAGACTTGTAGGTTGCGGTGCGCTCCCTCGCCTTGGCCGACCCAAGCTCACCCGTCGCAGCGCAAGCCTGCAGTACAAGATCCGGCGCGATCCAAAGTAAGAGACGCACGAGGCAGAAAATGCAGAGCGGCGCTGACCCTGTGCGACCAGATCGTACAAGGACGACTTCTTGAAGCAGTGGGAGCAGTATGAGTCCCAGCGCGAGATCTTTCTCATGTCCCCGACGACGGCCGCCGCCGACTCGGTCGAGTCCTTCCACAACATGATCGATCTCATCGCCCACGTCGCCGACTGCTACCCCCAAGAAACGCGCTCGTTCCCCGACGACTTAAAGGCCATCCTGACGCAACACCATGCCACAATCCATCCAGAGCTGCGGGAAAAGGTCGTCGGCAGCCTCGTGCTGCTGCGGCGCAAGGAAGTCATTGACTCGGCTAGCGTCCTGACGACCCTCTTCCCCATCCTCGTGTCGTCGCCAAGCAAGTCCCTGCGCGAGCTACTCTTCAGCAAGATCCTGAGCGACATGCGAAACTCAAACTCAAAGGCCATCAATCACCCGCTCAACCGCACCATCCAGACGGTCCTCTACAACCTCGTCACGGCCGACCGGTCCTCGCCCCGGGCCATCTGGGCCATCAAGCTAACGCGCGAGTTGTGGAAGCGTCAGATGTGGACCGATTCCAAGCCCGTCGATGTCATGAAGGAGGCCTGCCTGGCCGACAACGAAAAGGTGGCGATTGGGGCGGTGCGCTTCTTCCTCGGCGGCGACAAGGAGCGCGAGGAGCTCGAGGACGAGAGCAGCGACGACGAGGTGGACCTGGGCAAGGTCCGGCACCAGATCGGCATCAACAAAAAGTCCAAGAAGCAAAAGGAGGCGTACAAAAAGGCCGTCAGCAAGGTCAAGAGGGGCGAGCGCAAGAAGAGCAAGCCCCATCCACTCAATTTTTCCGCGCTGCACCTGCTGCACGACCCGCAGGACTTTGCCGAGCAGCTCTTCTCCAAGCACCTGCAGAACACAAAGGCCAAGCTCTCGCTCGACAGCAAGATCCTCGTGTTGCAGCTCGTCACGCGCCTGATCGGCTTGCACAAGCTGACCGTCGTCCCCCTCTACTCCTGGTTCATCAAGTTCCTCACGCCCCGGCAGCAATCCGTCACGTCCTTTTTGGCCTCGCTGGCGCAGGGCACCCACAATCTCGTGCCGCCGGACGTGCTGGAGCCGCTGATTCAAAAGATTGCAAACGAGTTCGTTTCAGAGGCGTCGGCCTCGGAGGTTGCCGCCGCCGGCCTCAACGCCATCCGCGAGATTTGCGCCAGGCAACCGCTCGCCATGACGGATACCCTGTTGCAGGACCTGGTCCAGTACCGCAAGAGCAAGGACAAGGGGGTCATGATGGCTGCCAAGGGACTGCTGTCGCTGTACAGAGAGGTCGGTGCCGAGCTACTGAAGAAGAGGGACCGCGGCAAAGAGGCCACCATGGGGCTCAAGGCAAGCCTGCAGCAGCAGCGAAAGTTTGGCGAGGAGGAGGCTGGCGGCATCGAAGGCCTCGATCTCCTGGCCAAGTGGAAGGAGGAGGAGAGGAGGAGGAAACGGCTGGAAAAGGGTCTCTCGGCAACTGCTGGAAGCGACGAAGAGGACGAAAAGGACGACGGCTTCCAGTCGAGCGACTGGGAGGTCGACTCGGATGGCAGCAGCAGCTCGGGCGAGTGGATCAACGTCAGCGACTCGGAAGACGAGGAGCCGGCGCCCAAGAAGCATAAGAAGAAGGAACAGAGCGGGGACAAGGAGGAGGAAGACGAGGAGGGCCGGGAGGAACGAGAAGCAGAGCTGGAGCGCATGTCGAAGCTGGCGACGACGACAATCCTCACGCCGGCGGACCTGGCCAAGCTCCAGGAACTGCGCACGGCGGCGTCGGTTGAGCGGGCCATGGGCGTGCGCAAGAAGGCGCAGGGCAGCGGGGCCCTGCACGCCGACGACGGGCTGACGGCGGAGAACATCGAGGCGCCGGCCAGGCTGCGCAAGCTGACCAAGGAGGAAAAGGTGGCGTTGGCCAAGGAGGGCAAGCCGGAGCGGGAGGAGCACAAGAGCACGCAGGCGATCCGCAGGTCGAAGAAGGCGGCGGAGGGCAAGAGCACGAGCAACCGCGAGAAGCAGCGCAACAAGAACTTTTTGATGACGCTGGGCAAGGCGAAGAGCAAGCAGAAGAGGAGCCTGGTGGAGGCGAGGAAGGTCTTGAGGGGCCATGTGGAGAGGAGCTCGCGCGGTGGGCGGCGGGGGAATTGGGGGTGATGATGGGAATGGAAATGCAGCTGCTGCGGCTGCTACGAGAGACGTTGGTTGGGGTCGTTGCCTTTGACTGAAATATATCCGCCCAAGCTATGATTCCCCGAAGCCATGTAAGCCGGTGAGAAGGGCTTCCCGTCTTCTGTCCCACTCACTCGCCCGCTGAGTGGCATTTCCGTCTTGTACAATACATGAAATCAGTCCCCTGATCCAAGGTCATGTTCCCTTTCCTCCACCTGTGTTTCTTTTTCTTCCCCTTCCCCTCTCCGGTACCCCTTCGCTCCAGCATTGCACTCGCTGTTTGTGGCTGGAGGCGAGCCGTCTCGGGAGGGTGTTTGAGCCCGGGCGTGCTCATGGTATATATCAGCGGGCACGAACTGGACGCAAGGCTCTGCGTGCCGGCGCCGGGCATGCGCTATGGTGAATTGCAGATATTTGCAGGTTCGTGTCTGCATACACAGTTCTTCCCCCTTTTCTCTTTCGGAGCGGAAAGGAGGCGTATCGTAACGAAGCAATATACAGAAAGAAGAAGGCCTTCCACGTGAGATCGCAGCGCCGTGTAAATCGTCCCCTCGTCTCATCGCGGAGAGGCCTCGGTCGGCCCGACCTTTTCGGTAGACGCGGAGCCGGGACCCTCGATGTCGTCGACCGGACTGGAGCGCAGGCCGACGTTGGCATCGGCGTAGGAGTCGAGGACGGTGTAGTACGACGGGACGACGTTGACGCAGACGGCGTAGGACCACGCGGCGACGAAGAAGACCAGAGGCACGACCATGGCGATGCCGTCGCCGTGTCGGTCGCCGACATAGCCGGTGAGCGGCGGCACGCAGGCGCCGCCGACGACGCCGCCGATGATGTATCCGCTGCCGCGCTTGGTGTGACGCCCCAGGCCGCGCATGCCCAGGGCGACAATGGTCGGGAAGCAGATGGACTCGAAGAAGAGCACGAGGTAGAGCATGGAGACGCCGACGTTGCCGCGCTGGGTGACGGCCGGGCCGATGAAGACGATGCAGCAGGAGAGAAAGGCCAGCAGGACGTAGCGCGGGCGGACGACGCGCATCAGGCCGACGCCGGCGAAGCGGCCGATGGCAAAGGCGGCCTGGGCGCCGGCGAAGAACTTGGCCGCCAGCGCCGAGTCGGTGTCGGGCCGCGTGGCGCTGGCGTAGTTGATGAAGAAGCTGGCGATGCCGACCTGGGCGCCCGTGTAGCAGAACTGCGCAAAGGCGGCGTGGAAGAGGCGGTACTGCTTGTGGAAGGGCGTGTCGACGGCGGCGCTGTCGGTGGCCGACGCGTGCGTCTCTTGGACTTGAAAGGCCATGTCTGCGAGGACACATGTCCGTCAGTCCCCTCGTCTCTCCTCTCCATTGACCCGTTTCAGCGTATTAGAGGCGGGCGAAGCTTACCTGCATCGGTGATTTCAGGGATGCGCGCAAAGAAAAAGGCAGCGGCGAGGAGGAGCACAAAGATGGCGATGGCGAGGTAGACCCATTGGACGTGGTCGAGGGCGTCGTCATCGCTGAAGTTGAAGAAGACGTAGGAGCCGAGGACCGGGGCGATGACGGTGCCGATGCCATTGAAGGCCTGTGAGATGTTGAGCCGGATCTCCGCGTATCGGGGCGGGCCGCAGACTGTCCGGAGAGAAGAAGTGAGCATGGAGCAGGCAGAAAGGGGACAGAGAAAAGGGGGGGGGACAAGGGCCTACCGGTTATAAAGGGGTTGGCGGCCGTCTCGAGGGAGCCGAGGCCGTTGCCGATGATGAAGATGCACGCGCAGAAGCCGCCGAAGCTGCGGGCCTTGAGGGCGGGGATGGCGAGCAGGGCGCCGAGGGCGTAGAGGCACAGGCCCCAGATGAAGACGGCGCGGTAGCCATAATGGCGGAGGATCCAGGCGGCGTGGCCGATGGAGGCGAGGGGGTATGCGCTGGGCGGCCCGAGGGTCAGTCGAGGGAAAAGACGAAGAATATGGACGAGGTCAAGCCGAAGAGGGGGAAAAAAGGGGGGAGGGGGGAGGAGAGGCGCACCCAAAGTACGCGGCCTGCAGCCCCGAGGAGCGGGCGCGGTCGACGTCGAGGACCGTCTGGAAGTGCTTGTTGAGGGTGTCGAGCAGGCCGTAGCTGAAGCCCCAGAGGAAGAAGAGGACGGTGACGAGGGCGATGGGCAGCAGGGACTGGCGCAGCGTCAGCTCGGCGGCGGCGGTGCGGCGGACGTCGTCGGCCTTGAGGGAGCGGCTGCGGAAGAAGGCTCGGGCGCCCATGGCTCCGTCTGCGCCGCTGATTTGTCTCTCTCTTGTCTGGCCCTCTGTCTGGCCCTCTCCTGTCTCTCCCCTATCTGCCAGTCTCCCGCTCACTCGCGCCCTCTCCAGCGCGTACCGTCGCCGGCTTCGCTCCCTTGTTCTTGTTTAACAAGTATCGGTCTCCTCGAAGGCGCCTGGGCGTATCGAACAGCGCCGGGAGCCAAATAAAAAAAAAATCAGATTTGATCCCTCGCTGGTGCGTCGGCGCGCGTGTATATCAGCCCTGTGGAGGAGGCGAATGTCCGAGATCTGAGACAAGCAGAGACAGCATGTGCCGAACACGACAGCGGAACCAGTGGCTGAGACACCGGGGAAAAAAAAAGACGAGTGAGGCAAGGAAAGACGACGGCGGCGGCGACCCGGGCTAATAAAATGGGCCCGAGGATGCGCGCGGCCGGGTGAAGCACGACGACGAGAAGCGGGATGGACGACGAAAGAAGCGCAGCGAGATTGCGATGACGGGGGGGAGGGAAAAGGCGGTTAAGGTTTCGGCTTTGGAGAGGGACGATGAGGAGGAGGAGGACTGAGTGAAGCTTGGCAGCGGTTCTCTCCCCCTGATCGTGTCATCGGCGACAGGACGGACGGACAGAGGGAACAAAGGTGACGCTAGACTGGGTGGAGAGAGGGAGCAGCATGGAAGCCCGCGTGTAATAGTCCATCGTTCATCTCTGGCGACTGGGTCTCGATGATGCGGCCGCCCAAAACGGCCATCCCCGACCGGCAGACGGCATCCTCGGGGGCCGCCCGAACAACAAACACCCCCGCCCCTGGTGCATGTATGGCAGTATGCATATATCCTGGGGTCGGCGTTGAAGGAATGAGGCGGGAGAGAGCGACGTCTTGTTCTGGTTGGAGTCGAGAGTACATGGAAAGCATCTTCCTCTCCTCCCTTGATCCCCGGTATATATTTAGATGCTTACTTCCCCCCCGAGAGCTTCTTTTTCTTCTGCTCCTCTGCTCATGTCGTGTAAATCCTAACGGAGACATCCTGCACCCCAACGTCCCGTCTCCTCACAAGCTGCAACGGTTACAACGCCGCCTGTGCCGGGGAAAACTCTACTCAAGCCCGACAGAACGATGGACCCCTTCCCTCCCCCCCTCCCCCAATCTCGGTGAACACGCTGTAGCTGCAACATGCCGTAGCTGCCCGGTAAAAACAAACCCCTGCGGCTGGATCACGGGGGATGGAGGGATGACGGCCGATCCAACGGCACAGCATCGGGGGCCGCTGCTCGGTGCATTTCCCTCCTGGTAACTCCATGGCCGTATCTACATCCCGGTTCACGGCCGTGCATGGCGGTGGGACAGCAGCACGGAGCGGGCCGCGAGGGTTGCCCTCGGCGGGCCAGAGTTTGCTGTGTCCGGGTGGACTGACGAGGCAAAGTGGCCGCCCAGCCATCTTGTCCAGCTGGATCGGCTCTTGGCTAGATTCACGTACGATAATACTCCGTTCATCTATGGGTGCTACGTGTGGCCGTGGACGCACATACATATATATCCCGTAGAAACCACACGGCACCTCACAGCACCTCGGAACGCCAACAACGCCTGTATGGACGGACAAGACGCACGCACGTCTTCGTGTATGCGCATCCCCGGGCTGCAACTCGTCCAGCCGAGGCCCCCAGCTCCAAGCCCTTCCTCGCCCGGGCTGTCTCCCGCATGTCTTCGTTGGCGACCGGCCTTGGCAGGCTCAGCCCGCATCGAGCCTCGACTGTTCTTGCGCCCCGGCATCCATCGCTGTATGCGCCAGCGCGTGTCAGTCGCATGCGGCTCCCACTCCCGCGCGCAGCCAGCCCTCGACGGGGGCTCTTTGGTGGCGGCCCCCCTGTCGCACTGCTCACCAACAAGTGCTGCATCAAGCCGGCCACCCTCGTCCTGCAGCCGGGCAGAAGAATGGAAAGACACAAAGATGATTATAAATAAATTGCATCGCGACCCTTTCCCTCATGGGATGATGAGCTCCATTCAGAGTGCGACGTATGCAGCACTCGACCAGTCGTCTGCGTTCTATCCATATTGATGCCCGGCCTCTCGGCCAATTCTTCTCAAAACCGCCGGCAGCCGGTGCAACCTGTTGGTCGAACCTTGGTCAAGGAGAAATAACGAAAATAGGCTTCCATGGAGAGCGCAAGACAGCGGCGGATGCGACTGTCAAAGTTTGCACACACGTTCCATTGCATCAACCGAGGCCGATTCCTCGTCGCTGCTTGCTGCCTGTCGTCTGGGGAGGAATGCAGCGACGCGGGTTCTGGTTAGCATCTCTCTCAAACACCAGAGGATCAGAGGCGAAAAGACGTAAGCGGCGAGAGGATTATTCCACTCAACATGTTATGGATGCACCGGGATGGCGCATATAGCAGGTGCCCATAGAATCTCGCGCCACTTCCCCCCCCTTTTCCCTGGATCCCTCTCCGCCGCCGGAAAACCTTGAATTATTGGCTCCATCCTCGTTCGTACGCGGGCGGCCTCGAAGGGGAAACAGGTCGAGTTCCGAATGCGGCAGCCCCAGTTCCTCGAAGCACTTTGCATTCTTGGCTGCTCCGGCTCATGCTAAAGATACAATCTTTTTCGACTCCGGGGACATGCATCCTTCTTCGATCAAGGGACCATCGGTTGAGAGAGCTGTGTTCTCCCCATCCTTCTACAAGAAAGGAGGCTCGGCGCACATTCCGAGCGAGACATTCCTAGCCAGACTGGTTCCTCACACTCAGGGTCTCATAACGCATCCTCGGCGCCACCCCTCCGGTTGGCCGTCAGAGACGCCCATCTGCGGGATGCTTGAGGTTGATCATGACCCGCAAGAGAGAGGGCGAGATGCCGACATAAAAGGCCATGTTCCGCCGGCCATGGGGAAGGCGTCGATGGCGAGAAAGGCCGACCGCGGAGCTGTTGTGTCCCATGTTCGCAGTATGGAGCATGTAAGAGGGGGCCCGGACATGGCATCAATGCCCTCGTGTTGGGAAGAGACGGGCACGAGGGGACGCAATTGGATGCCCGCCCACCCCCGTTTGTAATTACAGCTAGATTAGCATGATCGACCGCAAAGCTGAGAAAGAAGCGGCGTCGTGTGTGTGTGTCAAAGGAAAAGAATAGCGCATCTTCGTGTCGAGACAAGCGAAGGCTTGGCAGAACAACAACAGGCTTGGCCCACCAACGTGCCTCGACCGCTGGCTCTGGCTGGCGGCACCAGGAGAAGGCGGAGAAGCAGATAAGGCTCTGTCGGGGTCTTGGCGAGGGCTGTGGAGTTTGAAGGCGGAGAACGGTGTCGTGGAGGATAAGGGTTGCGAGTCAGGCCGCCGCCCTTTTCGTCCAGTTCTGTTCTTTTGCCGACTGATGGCGCCGCGAAGAGGGCGAAGTTTTATTGCTCTTAGTTTCCGCGTGATGACATGGCGACGGATGAGATGTCCTCGGCCTCGTCCCGAATGCTGACGACTTGAAGTGCCATGTCGTTCATTCTCGACGCCATCAGTCGAGGAGCAGGACCGAACGGGTCCGAGGACGTATAGCCAAGGACAGATGGACAAGCAGAAACGCGTCCAGCTACAGCCGCTCTGAAAGCACACGGCTCCAACCACCCCACATAAGTCCAACACGGTCAAGAAGAGCAAATCCGCAAACCCCCATGGGTGGAGCGCCAAGATCTGATATTCTGCACGTGGAGGCGGACCCTGCCTTGATTGGTCCCTTTCCAGGCAACTGGTAATAAGAAAACATCTACCGTCTATAATCCGAACCCCGAGATCACGCCGTGGGCGGCTAACTGGGCCTCTTCATGCTCTCTTTAGTCTCCGAGACTGACGACATTCTCCAAGTGTTCTTATGCCGCGTCCAGATCTGGACAAGTCGTCTTGACAGAACTGTGTGTGTGCTTTCCCTCGAGGTCCAGCTAGTCCATGCTTTCTTGTTTTATTCCCTTTTGCTCTCCCCGGCTGATTCCGGGGCCTGCGTCTGGAGCTGGCCCAGGCGGGAGTGGCGCGCTGGATGGGGAAAAAGCAAGCAATATATGCAACGACCAACCCAACTACAAACACATTCCGTAGAGCAGGCAGGCCTGGTTCCGTGACGGGCTCTGTACTGTGCAGCTTCCGAGGTTGGCCTAAACGGAGCCATGTCACACGTGTAGATGGCTTGAAACCTCCCACGAGGCTCGCTCGACATAAAGGTAGGATTCTGGCCAAGAACCACGTGCTGTATGCGGTATGCATGCGCTTCCAGGTTCACCGGAGCCAAGCAGCCGAACATCCAGAATGACGGGCCCCCGTGCGTCCTCGCTACCGGACGAGACAGCTTCCTCCCCTGTCACCGTCCCCACGTCGCCGCAATGCACTCCATCACTCGCTAGAGACCCGGGTCCATGCCGGCAGGCTGGAGAAGAGGAGAAGAAAAAACACAAAACGGGGGCAAGCGAACGTCTGTGTTGGGCCGCGCCGGTCCAATGAGCTTCCCGCCTCGCGGCACGGCTTGCCAATCTCTCTCGTCATACGCACATCCCGTCCGCTCCCCATCCACACAAAACCGTCGACCGAGATATCACACACGCAGAGATGGACGCCGGTAGATGGGAACTTGAAGGGCAGGGGTGGAAGACGGGCGCCACTCGAGTCCAGCCCATGTGGCCCCCCGACGGACACGCACGCTTCGTGCCTCGTTCAAACAGCCACCTAGGAACTTGATACCGCCAGATACACCACGCTCCTGGGCCCCGGCGTAGCCCTCACCGCGTGCTCTGACTCTCTCTCTCTCTCTCTCTCGCTCCGCTCGACGCTGTTCTCCCGTGGTGCCTATATATCCCAACGGGCTGCCTCCTCCCCCCCTTGGCGCTGCCTCTCTCCTTTCCCCCAGCAAGCCTCCATCATCAAACCCTTCTTCTCCCTGCCGCCGACCTCCGGGCTTCGCTCGGGTGCTCTACCGCCCTCCCGCTCCCACGGCGCGCGCGCACGCAGGCCCAGACACCCCCTTTCCCCTTCCCCTCGCGCCGCGCCTCTCACTCCGTCGCCATGGCCACCCTCCACCAGTACGACTTCCTCTTCGCCGTCGGCACCATCTTTGCCTTCCTCGACGCCTGGAACATCGGCGCCAACGATGTCGCAAACTCGTGGGCCAGCTCCGTCTCCTCGCGCTCCGTCTCCTACCTGCAGGCCATGCTGGGCGCCTCCGTCATGGAGTTCAGCGGCGCCCTCGGCGTCGGCGGCCGCGTCGCCGACACCATCCGCACAAAGGTCGTCGACATCCACGCCTTCGACGGCCAGCCCGCCCTCCTGATGCTCGGCATGGTCTGCGCCGTCATCGCCTCCAGCTGCTACCTCACCATGGCCACCCGCCTCGGCATGCCCGTCTCCACAACCCACTCCATCCTCGGCGGCGTCCTCGGCATGGGCGTCGGCGCTCTCGGACCCAACGCCGTCACCTGGGTCGGCTACCACCCGGACGGCTCCGTCGACATCAGGGGGGGCGTAGTGCAGGTGAGCCGTTTCCCCTCTCCAGCCTGTCGAGCCCCTGAGCCGGCTGCTCCTAACGAGCTTGTCGCTAACGCCAGCATAGGTCTTTCTCGCGTGGATCATCGCCCCCGTGTTGTCGGGCGCCTTTGGCGCCATCATCTTCCTCGCCACAAAGTACGGCGTCCTGCTGCGCTCCAACCCGACGGCCAGGGGCCTCGTCCTCGTCCCCATCTACTTCTGGGTCACGGCCTCGCTCATCGTCATGCTCCTCATCTGGAAGGGCGGCGACTACTCGGTCAACCTGCGCGACGGCCAGATCCCCGGCGTCATCATCGCCGCTGGCGCCGGCTGGGGCCTCCTCATGGCCCTCTTCCTCGTTCCCTGGCTCTACCGCGTCGTCGTCAAGGAGGACTGGCAGCTCCGCGCCTGGCACATCTTCCAGGGGCCCTTTTTGCTCCGTCGCGGCCCCGTCCCGCCGCCCCCGGCCGACTTCCAGGGCATCGTCCGCAACTTTTACGAGGGCCACTTGACCCGCGACGAGCTCGACGCTCGCCGAGCCCGGTATGCCGCCGCCGACGACCTCGAGGGCCAGGGCCAGGGCCACGCCGCCGCCACCAAGGAGGACAAGGTCGCTGCCGGCTCCGGTGCTTCGGCCCGGAGCGTCGACCCCGCCGACACGGCCGCCGCCACCGACGCCCCGCGGCCGCACAAGTCGCTCATCGGCCCCAAGCCCGACGGCCCCTGGTACTCGGGCGCTCATGTCTGGTGGTTCCTAAAGTGGCTCGTCCTCCGCGGCGTCGACCAGGACGTCGTCAGCTCCCAGAGCGAAAAGTCGGTGCTGGCCGGCGACGTCGAGGAGATCCACGCGCACGCCAGCCACTTCGACAACCGCGCCGAGTTCCTGTACACTTTCCTTCAGGTCATGACGGCCGCCGCCGCCTCCTTCACCCACGGCGCCAACGACGTCGCCAACGCCGTCGGCCCCTATGCCTCCATCTACCAGATCTGGCGCACCGCCGAGATCCCCGGCAAACAGTCCAACGTGCCCCTTTGGATCCTTGCCTTTGGCGGCACCGGCATCGTCCTCGGCCTCTGGACGTATGGCTACCACATCATGCGCAACCTCGGCAACCGCGTCACCCTCATGTCCCCTGCCCGAGGCTTCTCCATGGAGCTGGGCTCCGTCATCACCGTCATCATGGCCACCCGACTTGGTAAGCACATCCCTTCTTTCTCGCCGTGACCCGTCCGCCAGCTCGGGCTAATCTCACTCGCACGCACAGAGCTCCCCGTCTCCACCACCCAATGCATCACGGGCTCCATTGTCGGCGTCGGCCTCTGCAACGGCGACTGGCGTGCCATCAACTGGCGCATGGTGGCGTGGATCTACCTCGGCTGGTTCATCACCGTCCCTGCTGCCGGGCTGATATCGGGCATCCTCATGGGCTTCATCACCTACTCTCCTCACTGGTGAGGAGCAAGCCGCAACGTTTGATGATATTTCCTTTTAATTGCGGGACCGCTGCGCAAAGCGAGACATGGCTGGACATTCGCTGCCTGCGTTGATGATTCATTCCAGTAAATACCTTTAGATGGGCACTCGGTGCCGACGGCAGCAATAACCATGGGTTGTGCTGATGACGGGGGCAGACGGGACGGAGCATACAGGACGAGGGATCGAGACCTTTTGTTTCCCAACGATGATCAGCGAGAGAATTCCCACCAAGTCAAGATGAATATGAGAGTGACGTGCGTCGCATCGGCGTTGCGCAACTGATCAGTGACACCGGCCGCTCGCACATGGCCGACCTTTGCTGAGGCTGGTATCGCAAGCCTCGTGCTCTGATCTGTGCCTTGGCGCCGGGTTGCGGAAGATGCCCTTCGCCGAGCCCGCATATATCTCGGCATGCATAGTACCTTGCAGCCTGCGCGTATTTGGTGATGCAGCACATGGACGCAACGTTGCTCCGTCATTACGAGCGGGTGCCCTCGCGGCCCAAGCCATGAGAAGCTCGCACTTTCTCAGCAACGATCTCGACCCAACCTCAGCTCTCGGGCTTTGTCCTCGCTTGTCGACATTCATTACGTATGCCACGAGCGATCGACAACCCTATATATAAGCCACGCAGGGGGCATCCCTCGCTACCGAGTAAGGTCAGGGGAATGTTGGTCGAGTGCATCCACGTCAGTAAGCTCGCTCTCCGCCGAGCCGACGACCCACCTGCCACATGCCCCTTGGCAACTAGAGGGCAACACCGCGTTGAATGTATGCACGTCGTTGCTTTTGTCGTCTGAACGTCCAGTAAGTGACGTGGGCAAGGTTGGATGGAGGTGGGTGAGGAAGGGAGTCGATCGCAAAGCCTTGTAGATGCTTGTTCAGCCGCCTAGGCCCGGGGTCTAAAGCGAACCAACCATCAGGGTATACATGTCGTCGTCTTGTTGTCGAAAACCCCGTTGCCAAGGCCATTCGTGGTTTGCGTGTTGCATGCTGCCGCCACCGCACAGCAGTCAAGCGACGTCCCTGTTCTGTCATCCCAGGCTGATGGCACTGACTCTCCGTCCCCGAACAAAGGGGGGCACGGACCGGATGTGCTGCGTGTCGAAGGACGGGCCAGTAACTTTAAGGTGTCTGCAGCAGAGTAGCGGCTCCAGGGTTTTCCTTTGTTCTGTCAGATTTGCCGTTCGGGGGTCCACGGTCAAAGTCTTGGCAATGACCAAGACTTGGAGCTGGCAGGTCGGTACAGTATAGCTGTTCAGTAGCCTAGAATCCTTTCGAATCTTTCGAATCTTTGGTCTCTAAAAGATGCCATTGACTTCCAGTTGCTGCGCTCTGACCAGCCCTCTCAAACGAGAACCGGACGCTGCACATCCGATTCAGTCAGAGAGGCAGGCATGGGCAAATCTCCAGCTTCCAAGACAGAAGTAAGGGTCTCCCGCGATCCCCCGCACCGCCGGATGACCGCAACGGCTGCGGCAGTGGGGTGCCATGTCCGTCTCAGGTGTGGGAATATTCACCACCACAAGACGTCCTGGGTAGTGCGGGCGCATGTGCGAAGCGAGACCGATCATATTGGAGGGCGCCTGGCTTCGGCTGCAAGTGCTCCCCAGGCGCAAGAGGTGGTGCCCAAGATCTTCCCAGTTCCCGGGATTTTCCATGAACGGCGGCGGCGTCTTGGCCCGGCCTTTCCAGAACATGCAGAATTCTTTCAGCACCTCTCGTTGCGCCGACTTACGTTCCACGGCCTGGCAGGCAGACAGCGACGGTGGCAGCAGCATCTCGCCGCCGTGGCATGTGAAACACCGAGCTGCCATTGTAACATGGCCGCCGCGAGTCTGTGTCACGCATGTGCGTCACATTGCGGGCCTTGGCTCTGTCATGGCCTCTCCTCCCCCTCCGCACCCTCGTCCCGGCTTCCCCGTCCGTGAGAGCGTAGAAGGGCCGCAGTGAGGAGCAAACACGGGGCGTCGAACGCGTTTTGCAAACCAATCGCCGTGGTGCTATTCGTGCTTGGTCGTTGGTCGACGGTCCATCAAGATGTCTGTCCCACGGTATCCCCGTTCTACAAGCCTTCCGCCTCGGCAAATGTCGATTCTCTGGCACCACAGTTTGCCGATGCGGCATGGAAGCCGGACGTCCGCAAAGGGTACCCTGGCTAGCTGTGTCGAGTCGACGGCAGTTCCGTGGCGGGCCGGCTCATGCCGTCGTCTGTGGGTGCTTGACAGACTTTGACGAGTCCATGTGTGGTCTTCCGGCCCCACAGACATGGTGCCGCACAGATGGCCATGAACTCATGGTCGTATCATCGTATCGAGGGCATATCTGTTTGCTGTGTAGCGTTGGGTCCCAACTGCAGATTTGTCTCAGAGCACATCGCCCCCATCCCCCCTACTCTCTCTCTCTCTCTCTCTCTCTCTCTCTCTCTCTCTCTCTGGTCGCGGATGCAAAGCACCATATCGTTTTCTTTTTTCCCCCACGCTGTATGAGAGAGAACAAGCACGTGGAACTGTCCTGGCCAGATAGTTTCATGTGCGGCTCACTGGTCTCCGGGGGTGTGTCTGTGAAAGCACCGCGGCGTGCGATGCCCGGTTTGCACGGAGCGCCGTCTCCCATGTAGGATTCAGTGCCGGCCAACGCTTCACGTGGCCAGCAACAAGTAGCATCTATGAATTCCGGTCAGCAGTCCGACACGGGAAGGGGGGCGTCCCCCACTCGGTTCCGCCTCTGTGGGAGGGAAGCACGCGAGCCTTCTCTGTGGCCGGCCCAGGCTGTGTCCAATGCTCTGTTGCGTCTCCGGCAGATCGGTGCACCAGAGCCCAAGGGGGGTTGGTAGCCGGATATCCCTGAGCCCAATTGCGCGCGCGATATTCACAAGACAAGGCCGGTCGGTGTCTTCGGTTTGTGCTCGAGTAGTCGTTCAGCCGCGACTAAGACCGAGAGCCGTGAATATCGCGCACACCCTCTTCACCTCTGGGCTCGGACGGAAGCTGTGGGGCCTCCTAGGTCTCGGTATTTCACTGCAACAAGAACGATGCTTGGGATTTCTTTAAATCCCATCTTTCATCGCCCCCGTCCATGACCCCAGTCCTCGACTCCTGCATCACTCACATCGACCTCCCACTTGGCATCCCTCTTCCCCTTGCCACCACTCCCCTCATCGCCATCTTCCCCATCTCACCCTCATCGGCATCATCCCCGTCATCAACATCGTCGTCCTCACACAGCCATGAAGGTTGCCGTCATCGGCGGCGGCCCAGGTGGCCTCGCCACGCTCAAGTTCCTATCCACGGCACATCAGTTCTTTCCCATAGCAGCCATTGAGGCTCGTTTGTTCGAGGCAGAGGATCAGATCGGTGGCACTTTTGTCCACCGAGTCTATGAAGATGCCGAGGTGCGCAACCCTTGCCTCGAGGTCGTGCCCTTTTGGAAAGGCCATGCTGACGTGCTCGGTGGACCTGGCACAGCTCGTGTCGTCCAAATATCTGACGGCCTTCTCCGACTTTCGCCTGCCACAAGACGCTCCTGACTTTGTGACACCGCAGGCGTATGTCAGGTATCTCCATGCATATGTCGAGGCGTTCAAGATTGGCGGCTCCATCGAGTGCCAGGCCAAAGTCGAGCGTGTGAGTCGAGGCCCGCGAGGCCTCGGCCACGTCCTGCTCATCAGCAAACCGGACGGCCGTCAATTCAGCTGGGCATGCGACGCCGTGGCCGTTTGCTCTGGGCTCCATGTCGTGCCCAATATCCCGGCGATTCCGGGCATTGAGAGGGTTCCGACGGTGCTTCATTCATCGCAACTCAAGCGCCGGGAGCAGTTCGGCACGGGCACGAACGTCGTCGTGTGCGGTGCGGGAGAAACCGGCATGGATCTTGCGCATCTTGCAGTGACTTCTCCAACGGCGTCCGTCACCCTCTGCCATCGAGACGGCTTCTTTTGTGCGCCCAAGGTATGCGGAACCGTCGGCGAGTTCTTGTTAGTCAGGGAACTCATGTCGGCGACAGATTATCCCGAGCCCACGAGGCCCCAACCAAAAGGCCCCGACTCGGCCCAACAAGCCCGTCGACACATCCGTGGCAAGCTTGTTCGACACGGCCTATGCCCATCCCGTACTGCAGCATAGCCAGCTGCTGTGGTTTGCCTATGACCAATGGGTCAAGAAGATGCACTGGCTCATTTCGGGCACCGAAGAGGGCCCCGACCAGTGGAAGGGACAGGTCGGCGAGGACCGCAAGAATCTGGCTTCACGTGAGTCCTTGACCAACCGTCTGGACAGGTCTTTTGCTCACAGCCACAGTCTTCCTCTGCAAATCGGATCGTGCCTTGCCGTACATCTCCGAAGGCCACCGCTCCGAATCGTGGTGGAACCGCCTGCGTAGCGGGATCCTCAACGTACCCATCAAGGACACCAATGGAAGGCGGATCGACGTGCTCAGATGGCCGTCCGGAGTCGACCAAGACGGCTTCATGAGCATGGCGGAAGACGAAAATGACGGCTCGGGACCAATCAGGCGCATGAAGCCAGACGTTGTGGTCTTGGCCACCGGCTACTCGACCGATTTTGGCTTCCTGGACGCCGACTACCCTCGTCTGGGTCATACCGACGTCCGCGGGGTGTACAAGAGCGGAGAGGTGTCGGTGGGCTTCATCGGCTTTGTGCGCCCGTCCATCGGCGCGATTCCCCCGCTTGCGGAGCTGCAGGCGCAGCTCTGGGTCTTCCGTCTCCTCCAGGACCAGTTCCCCAGCCAAGTCCCCCAAGGGCCCGGCCCAGGTGCCCTCGCGCCCTATGAGATGGACTATAAGCTCCAGCCTCTGTGCGGATACGACTTCTTCACGACCAAGCGGGGGGTCGACCATGAAGCGTACGCGTACCAGCTCGCCCTCGACATGGGATCCGCGCCCACCGCCTCGTACGTGGCGAGCAAGGGCTGGAGGCTCTTCTTCACGTGGGCCATGGGGTCCAACTTCAACCCCAAGTTCCGGCTCGTGGGCCCGTGGAAGTGGGAGGCTGGCGCCGAGCAAATCATGCGGGGAGAGCTGTACGGCGTCGTCAAGCGGTCTGGCGGCTGCATCTGTAAGTGTGACATGGGACGAGTGGCTGGTGAGACATATTAACTGCTCTTGACAGACCTTTTGACCTACACAATCCTTCCCTTCATCGTCTTCGGCACGATGAGCCTGGCACTGTATGTGTGGTACGGCATCTTGGGCCTGCTTGCGTCGGCCTTGGAGATGCCGGTCGCCCAGAAGCGCAAGTCGAGATTCGAGTAGGTTTATGTTGCAGGACAAAGCGGTGTACAGGAGGGCGGTCGCGATAGATTCAGCCGTAGGCTAGTAGTTCAAGCATCAAGAAACGTCGTTGTGCATTGTCCTGAAACGGGATGGGTCATTGCTTCTCCTGAGTGCCTCCTTTGGTCCTTGCTCCGCATCGGGTAATGGTCTCGGTGAGCTCGGTCAGCGAAAGTGGGGTCTCCACCCGGGGAGGTGGGGCTTACCGCGGTGAATAGGGCGGCTGGCTCAACTGTAGTTTTTTGCTACTCCACGATTCTCACTTTTTGTTTTCTTCACCAACGGTATTTCTTCGGTTTTCTCGCTGGGACGCCGGGACGGTCATGTTGTCCAGGGATACCGTCCAGCCGAATGGCTGGGTGGCAGTGAAGCTCCCAAACGAACTCCTGCGACTCCTCCAGGTGACACCAAACACGTCGGTGGCCTCTCCTCTGACACCTGCGCCGACTCGCTGCGCCTCGCCCGCCCGCTCGACTGACACCGCGCAGGACGATATCGCTGGGCAAATATGGCTCCTTTCCCAGCAACCTCTTGCTCGAGCGGCCCTTTCACCTGACGTACGAGGTCCAGGAGAAGCGCGAGGGGGAAAACTTTTCGCGGCTTCGCGTCGTCTCAGGCACGGAGCTCAACGCCGACCAGCTGGCCGAGACGAGCGTCGACGCGGCCGACGGCGATGATGTGATTGCCCCGGCCGACGGCGAGGAGCTGGCGCTGGTGGACGAGAGCGGCAAGGTGGTGGCGCGCTCCAACCGCGAAATCATTGACGACTCGGCGCGGCAGACGCTCACGACGGCCGAGATCGAGGAGCTCAAGCACAAAGGCGCTTCCGCGGGCAAGGAGCTCATCGCCAAGCTCATGCTCTCGCACACGGGCATCGACCAGAAGACGGCCTTTTCGCTGGCCAAGTACAAGCTGCTCAAGGAGAAAAAGTACCTCCGCCGATTCACCGTCCTGCCCGTTGACGTGACGCTGCTGGCGCAATGGATTCTCGAGGACCGCGACGCCGGACGGATCCTCGACATGCGGCAGGAGATGATTGGGCTGCTGGGCTGCTGGGCTGACGTGCATTTTGGAGGCCTGCCCGCTCCAGGCGCTTCAGAGCCGCACGGCGGCAGGTGGCTGGCCGTCGACGACACGGGCGGCCTGCTGGTTGCCGTCATGGCGGAGCGGATGGGCATTCTCTACCGAGATGCGGAGGAGGAAAATTACCCAAAACTCGACGGTCTCGATTCAAGGAATGGCGAGGGCACGGGCGAGGCTACCGAGGACAAGCAAACATCGTCCCCCAAGACACAGCGGAACTCTCGCAAGAGACCTCGTAGGGACGACTTTGACGACCACTATGCCCTCACCAACACCATCACCGTCATCCACTCCAACACGCAGCCCAATCTGTCCCTGCTGCGCTACTTTGACTACGACGCCAGCGACCCGAACCCGCCGTTCCCCTACCACCCGCTCTTCACCAACCTGCTGCCCATCTCGTGGCTCCAGCTCGTCAGCCCGGCAGAGGACCCCGTCTACGCCGACAAGCCGGCCGACGCGTCTCCCGAGGAGCTGGCGGCGTGGAAGACGAACCGCCGGGGCAACTACCACCGCAAGCGCCGGCGGTGGGCGCGCACCCGCCAGATCGTCGACAGTACCCGTGCGGGAGGATTTTCTGGCCTCGCCGTGGCCAGCGCCATGGACCCCGTCTCGGTCCTCCGCCATGCCCTCCCTCTCCTCGCGGGCGGCAGCCCCATCGCCATCTACTCCCCCAACATCGAGCCCCTCGCGCAGCTGGCCGACTGCTTCGCCATTGCTCGCCGCACGGCCTGGGTGTCGTCCCCGCCCCCCGAGGCCGAGGGCAAGACGGTGGCGGAGCTGGACAGGTGGGAGGGTACCCCCGAGTTTCCAATCAACCCGACGTTAGTTCTAGGCGCAACGATCCACACAAGCAGGGCCACGAGGTGGCAGGTTTTGCCGGGGAGGACGCACCCGTTCATGACGGCACGGGGCGGTCCGGAGGGCTACGTGTTTACGGGTTGGAGGGCGATACCCGCCGAGGGGAGGATATCTGCGAGGGGCAGATTCCAAAAGAGGAGAGCATGAGACCAGCTGCTGCATCTTGGCTTGCAGGCAAAGGGCGTTTGAAAGAAGGCGTGAACATGTCAAGGTCTAGGATGAAGATATGAAGCATTGTGAATCGCCGAATATACCCCTGTACAGACAAAACCGCGCCAGCTCCCTGATTTGCGCACAAATGCAGACGCGTTGACGTTTCATGGGTCGGTCGGTCTCTTTTTCTGAAGGTTGCTTAAAGATGCCACGGAGGCATGCATTTCGCTCGTCAAGGCCGACTGTGTCTACAGTGCCTTGCCCATGAACTTTCTCTTGGTGAAGCTCAGCCACCACTTGCTCGGCTTAGTCTCGTCGTCTGCGTACACCCTCGCTAGTAGACGGGTCGCGAGCTCTTGGCGGACTTGCGCCATGTATTGCCTCAATTGCTCCGCATCCTGCCGGTCCCGGGCCGGCTCGTACATCTGGGACGTCAAGCGTTAGCTTGACAACGCTGCCAAGGCGACACGGAGTCGAACGTCGACGGCAACTCACCTGGTTCAAGGGGAAGCCGGGGTCGCCGGGAATGGCAAAGTTGAGGTCGAGGGCGAGGTTCGTGACATCCTTTTGGGCGTCGCGGGCGGTAGCGTGAGGTTTGATCTTTTGCAGGCAGTCACTAAGGAACCAGATGCCGTAGACGAGGAGGCGGTCGGCGGGGCCCTGGATCTCGAAGTTGCGGAAAAAGGTGTTGGCGCGGAAGAGGGCAAGAACCTCGTCGAGAATGTCGTAGCTCTCGCTGTCTGGGTCGGGGGAGTCGTTGAGCGGTAGCGGCGGCGAGGGGAACGGCAGGGTGTAGGCCGGGCCGCGCGTCTTTGTCCGGAGGGGGAGGAGGGGGAAGTTTCCGATGAGGCGTGGAGGATTCGGGTCGTCGTTGAAGACGGAGTTGTAGGCCTGTGGGCAGAAGTCAGCGCATGATGCTCGTGATGAGGGGCAGTGAGGGGTCGACGTGTTCGGGGAGCAAGCGCCGAGGGGAGCTGGGCACAAGACGAGGGCATGCCATCTGGAGGCTGGATCGGATCCGGGACACATACCGGCATGTTGAGCGGCGGATGGCGAGCCGCGCGACGGAGCTGCTATGGTCGGCGAGATGCTGGAAGCTGCGTCAATGGGGTGGGGCAGCAAGGCGTCGTCGTCACGTCGCGAGCTTGTCGCGGAGAATCGGAGCTCCTGCGCCGACGGGCGGAGGCTGCAGCATGGACTGGCACCGTGCACCGCCACCGCCACCAGTGGCAAAAAGCCTCGGTGGCAAAAGCCTCGGTGGCAAAAGCCTCGGAGGCTCACTTTGCTGCCTAAGTCACGTGAGTTCGCTCAACAAACGCGCCTGCCGAAAGCGGGCTTTGCCAACACACAAGACGCGAGCGCGACCCGCGTGACAGGCGGCGGCCAACCAGGCGGCGGCCCAACCAGGCCCCTGCGCGCCTCCTCCCTGTGGCGCTAATTAATTTACCTACTGAGTACGACCTCGGATAATACCTTATGTGCGCCAAGTTACAGCACAGCGCCTGGACAGGGAGGACGGCGCAGTCTCGTGAAAAGGGGACACACCACCACCCGTCTTCCGTCTTTGTGAGCAAACCGCACGCGTCTCATGGCAATTTCTTTCACGCCCATCCTCGCCCTTGTTCTGTCCTTGTTCTCCCTTTTTTCACGTTGCCCTTTGTTCTGGAGTCGTCTGTTCGCGGCAAAGCTTGGTCGCGATCCGTGCGCGTCATCGTGGGGTCGTCGACGACGATTCACACAAAGACGACCGCTATCGTTCAGTCCGTCCCAGCAGGGCTCGGTGCCTGTTCTCTCTCAATGCTAGCGCTACAGTTGGTCCATCTTATTTTTGTCCTCTTTAGCCATCTCCCTCGCGCCCTTTTTGCCCTTTTTCTCTTCACTTTTCTATCTCGTTCTGCTTCGGCTTCCCCACCAACTCTTCAGCTAAGCACCATCGTGGCCAGAGGCATCATTCCCTGCAGCGACCTGAACCAACGCCGTCGCGCCATGGTTAGCCAAAGCTTCTCTTCGGGGCCGCCGCCTCGCCGAAATGAGTTTCCCATCGACGACATCCCCCCCACCCAGATTCCGGAAGAAATCTCAACGCAGCTTTTCCCTAAAACGAGCATCTCTCCGCCGCTCTGTCGCAGGCGTCGCTCGGTGGCGCCCATCATACGTCCCTCCAAGGACTCCATCTACGACATTCTTCATCAGCACCCCGGCACCTCGCTCTTTGTGCGGCCTTTTCTCTGGACTGACCAACACACCACGCTCCTCGGCGCACGGTTCTGCGAGCTGCCTCGTTGCGACACCCCCCTCCCGAATAACGTGCCTGGATCACCGCCTTCAAGAGGACACGTGCGGCCGTCACCCGCCATCAAAACGTTGAGCCATTCTCTTAGTGAGATGCTGCTTCCGGTTTCCATGTTTCCCGTGAACGCGGAGGCAGTCACGGACCTCATGTCGACCTTGTGGCCCGCCGCCTTCTCCGGCAAGTCCTACAGGTCACCCGAGCTGCCCATGTTCTTCGGAGATCGAGTGTATCGCGACGCCGCCCGAGCGCACGTCATGTGGAGCTATCCAGCGAGCAACTCTCCATCAATTCACAGCTCTGTTGGCTCGGTATCAACTGGCTCCTCGACCCCCGCTGGCCACAACCCCGCCAATCTGCCCATGATGTGCTACATCAACCGGGATTCGCTCCTCCACATGCGGCAAAACATCTTCCGAGTCGTGCCGGGTCCTGGCCAGACTAGCAACGAATCTGTTCGCCGCCTACAGCAAGCCAGATCAAAGGCTCTCTTGCCAGCGAATTCGGACCACGATGCTCAATTCATGGCCATATTCCTCGCCATGGCGCAGCGGCACTTTTACAAGCCACCCGGGCCCGCAGTTCAGAGAGACACCCGATGGTGGACTGCAGAGGGTCCTCCGCCGCGCCCCGACTTTCACGACATGAAATTGAGGATACTGACACACGAAACCGACACTGCCGACTTTATACTGTACACGGGGCACGTGACGGCCAAGTTCCTCGAAAGGTTCCACGACCCATTCAAGGCTCCCCTCGACGACGACGGCAGCGTTCCCGGCCTCAAGATAGAGTACACGAGGATACCAATATGGCCCATTCTGGGCCTGCGAGAGCGGCTAGGCAAGGCGCTCGGCGAGGACATTGTCGGCCCCTTTGACCCGACCATTATGGAAACCTGGTACGACGACGAAGCGGAAAAGGAGGCTCACAAGAACGGCAAACGGAAGCGCGGGGCCCTATCCGAGGTTTTTAACGGAAGCTTCGAGGAGGGGACCGACGACGAGTCGGGGCTTCTCAGCGTCAAGCGGAAGAGGCTCGCACCGGCGTTGTTGTGTAGGCGGGATTGATCAACGTGCCATGAAGCAGATACGAATTTCTTACGACAGCGCAGCGTTTGCGCAACAGAGGCCACGGATTGGGCGCAGCGGACGGCTGGGCGGCCAGTGGCTTGCACGAGAAACGCGCCCCGGAGCGGTGCCGTATGACCCGACATTGAGCGGATGGTTGAAGGGAATGGCCAGTGGCGGGCTCCGGCGAGGGGCCGTCAACTGTAATCGACAGCTGCACCGATACCCATGTTTTCTGTTTCGATTTAGCCGGAACGCGTCCTTTCGAGGGAGGGAGGATCAAAAAGTAGTGGAAAATGAAATGACGAAATTCAAGACTACAGTTGGGACAGTCCAGGGCCGAGCCATGATCCACGACCTACCCTATACCCAGGGAGTTTGTAGCGAGTTTTCCCAGTGACCTGAACTCTCCCCTGTAAAAATTCTTCACCCCGCGGAGCTGTTAGTGGCTCGTTAGCCGGGACAGGATCTACAGGCCACCCGACCGCGCTTTTGCTGCGGGGTCCATCGTGACCCTAACAGCACAGAGGAAGACCTTAGGAGAGTTCATATTCCTCTGCGAAGCCGGTCTCGACAACATGTCCACTCGGACCTCATGGCTCTCTTCGGAACCAAGGAGCTATGGGTATTGGAAGGCCCGCCCTTCTAAACAACGGTGGCCGGTTGCGGAGGTTTTTCTCCCTGAGGGCAAGCTGCAAAGCCAGCCTCTGATCCCCTCCAAGAGTTTTTCCCTGCCGCCGCTCCCCAGTCATTTCCACGGCTTGGTTACTGGAGCGTGGACTGCGGCAGCAGTTTTGGCTGCGAGCGAGAGAATTCTGACCGGACAAAACCAAGGGTTGACCAATTCTTTGTGGCTGCGACCACCCGACACTTTGCCTTGACATCCCGCTGACGGGTACGAGGCTTGACACGAGCGCCATCGAGCCGATGAAATGCTGGATAGGGACAGAAGGGGTTGTTCACGGGTAGCGAACTACGAGCGCTGGGTGCATTTAGATGGACAGTGGTTTTTTCGAGGGAACTCATTCGGGACACTTCTCTGTAACTAGCTCAGCACGTCCTGTGCTCCCTCGCGGAGACCTGAGCGGCCTGAGCCGCTGGACGCAAAATACACAACAACAACAACAACAAGTTTTCCCAGTGACCTTGTTTTGCCTTAGACTGCCTAATATTTCAATGGCGCCTTTTGATCGTAGAGACGTAGTATGTGATTCTTTGTTTCGAGGGACATGGTAGCAAGAAATTTGACTGGAGTAAACAGTCCCGCCTCCGTCATCTTCAAGCCCACAAACTTCTTGCCCATCTGACTCGAAGATGGGCTCCATCGTCCGCTGCGACTGCAAAGCAGAGTAAGCATGGCGGCGCGCAAACACATGACAAGCAGAAAGGTCAAAGAAATAATCGAACCTATGTTTACCATAGCGTCGGCCTAAGGGTATCTCGTACACCGCTTCATTATTCCTCCCACTCCCATCTGCTAGTCCAACTTACAAAAAGCAATTCTCATCGACGCTGGATACCTCGGTAGGGATTCTTCATGACAATTTCGTTACTCGTGAGCCGCCCCGGCGCTATTCCTCTCTCTGGGCCGCCGCCCGGCTCGCCTCCTTGTCCTCGGCCGCAGCCTTCTCGCCGGGCACCTCTCTAGGGCTGGCCAGGGGGCTCATGGCTACCGCGTTGCTCCCGCTGACGCTGTCGGGCCTCCCCTGGCCCAGCAGGCCGCTCCGGACGCTTGCCCCGTCGCCCTGCTTAGCATAGAGGCTGTTACGCTCGCTAGCCAGGGTCGGCGCCACGCCTGCCGTCGAGTAGATGCTGTTGCGCTCAGCACCGAGGCGCGAGCCGGCGCCGTGGATCCCGGGCGTCGCGGGGTTGCCCGGTGACTCGATGTTGCCACTCAGGACGCTGAGAGGGAGGCTTTCGCGGCTACCGCCCCATAGAGACGACGGCGCCAGTGCGCGGACCGAAGCGTCCGTGTCCATGGAACGGCGACGACGCCGCTTGCTCGACGAGGCGAGCGTCAGGATGGAGGCATTGTCCGTCAGGATGTTGTTGGCGGTCGCCGCGGTATACGTCGTCGGGTGGCCCGTGGGCGCAAGGTGAGCCGGGATCGCAGACGCGGGAGACGTCGTCGGGAACGGTTGGCTAAAGTGAATCGACTGCGTGTTAGCTTGCGACGGCGCAGGCATGTGGTTTGCGTGCGGAGCCATTGACTGAATTGTCGTCAGCGTCGTCGTCAGCGACCGGACCGACGGCGCCGGGCTCGAAAATGTGCTGTCGCCGCCTCTCCTCGATTCCATGCCTCCGCCAACAGTACGGCTCGTGCCCGCGAGAGAGCTGGCCCCGTGGCTGGGCGCAATAATGGACCGCTGCCCCTCATTCTCCGTCGACACGGTGCCGGCCATGCTCCTCCCCCCGGCCGTCGGTGGCGCACGCCCGTCGGCTGAGTACCGCGTGGCGTCTGTCGAGACGTTGCTGGCGGATGGCGCCGTAGCGAAGGAGGCGGAGCTTGCGCCGTCGACATTGCTGCGGCCGTTGCCGTTTGTCGTGTTGCCATGATTGGCATGATTGGCGCTGACGTGGCCTGACTGGGGATACGGGTTGTTCAGCTTGGACCCCCTCCTCATCTTGATGTGTCGTTTCGGGCGCTCCCCGTCTGAAGAAGATTTAAAGTTGGTGAGCCTCTTGACCCATGTCGAAAATGGCCTTCGTCGATGCGCCTGCCGGTCTGGACGGGAGTTAGCTTCCATGCCGTCATGTGCGGAAGTGCTCGCAGCAAGGGCTGCGTAGTGCTCAGGCACCGCGTGCAGCAAGGTTTTGGAGGAACGTGGAACTCACCAAGCGGCGGCTCCTGGACGGTGTCTGTTGTCGTCATGAGGACAGCTATCGCAGCTTGGAATGATGGAGGACGGGCGTGCTGGCAGAGTAGGTGCTTCGCCGCGAGGATGGCTGAAAAAGAAAGAGTGCAATGGAGACTGGGGAAGCGGGGTCGGGAAAGGAGCGGACAAGGCAGCCAGGCGTTCAGGCTCTCGGATGGCACAGGTTGGTGGTGGTGGTGGTTTGGCAGTTGGATTGGCGGCAACGGACGGGCTGATGCTGATCTGGACTCCCTGAACAGTATCACGTGATGCACCTACAACACCCGCGCCTCACCCGGTCGCCGACGCGGCAGGAAAGAGTCGGAAGCTGCGGAGGAGAAGTGCCATGGTCGACGGAACGAGTTTGCCTGGGATGCGGACGGGATTTGGTTTTGGCACGCCGTGATCCGATTCGACTGCATGGTATCAAAGGCCCAACTAGCCCGCCTGTTGGATGGCGGGCACCCATTGGCTCCAGCACCTGCCCACTGTGGGTGCCGCCCCAACAGCCCTGCGGGCCTCCTCGGGTCGGCGCTTGCTAGACCCCGAAGGGTACGTCATCACCGCCAACGTCGTCCCCGCCGCCAGCCACGCCCAACAATTGCCGCACACGATGAGCCGGCGCTTGTCATGTCCATCAGGCAGCTCCCAGAGGACGTGGCCGCGAAGATCAGGTCCTCGGCCGCCATCACCTCGCTGAACCACGTTGTCTCGGGCTTGCTGAAGAATTCGCTCGACGCCGGCGCCAACAAGATCCACGTCCGCCTCGACTACGCCCGGGGCAACTGCATCGTTGAAGACGATGGGCTGGGGATAGAGCCACGCGAGTTCAGACCCGATGGGGGCCTGGGGAAATGTCACCGTTAGCAGGCTCCAGCATCTGAACTCGAGGGCGTCGAGCTGACTAGAGCCTCAGATACGTCCAGGTGTCCCCCAAGCCCGCGTTTCCATGGCTGCCGCGGTGACTTTCTCGTGTCCGTAGCAAACCTGTCGTTGCTCTCGGTCACTTCTCACCACCACCGCCACCTGTCTCAGAGCTTCCTCTCGATACACAACTCCAAAGTACTCACCAGACAGCTGCCTGCATCTCCTGAGCAGAGGCTGGAGACCTTTAGCCATGGCACCCGCGTATCTGTCCATGCCTTGTTCGGCTCCATGCCCGTCAGAGTCAAGCATCAAGCTACTGTCTTCTCTGGACGCTCCGGCGTCGACAAGCAATGGGGACTTCTTGCCCGGGAGATGGTCGCCTTGCTTCTCGCTTGGCCATCAGAGGTGTCCGTCTCCCTGACCGAAACCGCGGCTCGCCTAGAACTGCGCCTAAAGTCCACGGCAAACATCGACATTCTCCTACGCACCTCGAGACTCTTTACCCAGGCGTCTTTGGCCGACTCGGACGATGCCAACTCCTGGAGATCAGTTTCGGCTTCAGCCCGCCACATTCGCATCAAGGGCTGTATTTCAACGACCCCGGCAGCGACACGCCGCTCGCAGACGATGAGTCTCGGGATCCAACCCATCTTGAACAACCAAGACAACAATGCCCTCTACGAAGCAGTCAACGACGTCTTTAGAACCTCGAGTTTCGGCGTCGTCGAGGATGACGGGGTGGATGCTCCAAGACACTCAGGGTTCAGTGCCAAGCCACGGAAAGGCCTCGAGCGGTGGCCCATGTTCTACCTGCAGATTACACTGCCCAGCGCCGACATGATTGCCGTCGACGACATTCTCAACGACTCTCACAAAACCTTGGGAAATATCTTAGACCTGCTAAGAGCAGTGAGCTACGAGTTCCTGAAGAAACAAAGTCTGCGCCCCCGCGCGATCGTCAGGTCGACAGAAGTGGCGGGACTCTCGGCATCAAGGCCGCCGGTAGGCCACGCGGAATCGTCCATGAGGCGCTCTCACTTCTCAACGGAGCCCAAGGTAGTCAGGCCCACTGCGCAAAGTCCGCTCACCAATTCGGAAACTCGATCTGGGAGTCCCTTTAACGATTGGAATCGCGTAAAGGTTGGATGGGCAGCGCCGCGATCAAAGGAGCGAGGCGTCGCAGGGGGCCAGAAGCGCCGACTGGTGGAGCTTCAGACGGACAAACGCCGCCTGATTGGCGAGGGCGGAAAACTGCTTAGCATGCCTTTCCAGGATACCGCGACGCTCGAAAGAGAGGCAAAGCAGAATGACGTACCCCGGCCTGGTCCTATGAGCGAGGCAGAGGAGGAGAGCTCCCAACTCTTCTCAAACACGAACGGCCAGCTTCCGGACGACTCCACCACAAGGCGGCAGCGCAAAAAAGTTCGGGCCCTTGAAAACAGGACCAAACCCCAGCCCAGCAAGTGGCTCCAGGGAGTTCTACAATCCTGGGAGAACCCCGTGTTTGAGGCGGCACAGAAGGCCATTCCCAGTCTTTACGAAACCGGACCCACCGCGGATGCTGCTCATGCATGCCGCGGAAAGGGACATGTCAGATTCGATACGGGGTCGATGAGCCTTGCCGGACGCCTATCTAGATCGGCGCTGGGTGATGCCCAAGTCATCGCACAGGTCGATCGCAAATTCATTCTCGTCAGGCTGCCATTGGAGTCTGCCTTGAAGACGGACCAGGGCCTCTCGTCTGCGGGCCTGGTCATGATAGACCAGCATGCCGCCGACGAGCGATGCCGGTTAGAGGAATTGCTGGAAGACTACTTTGAAGATCAGCATAACACGGGTCGTGTCCAACCCGTCGTCGAGGCTCTGGACCGGCCCGTGGTGTTTGAGGCGTCTGGACGAGAGGGGGAGCTGCTCCAACAATACGGAGAGCACTTTGAGGCCTGGGGGGTCATGTACAAGGTCCAAAGAGGACCGCGGATAGGCTCGGCCTGTCAAGTCCAGGTCACTGGCCTCCCGCCCAGCATCCTCGAGAGGTGCCGCAGTGAGCCCCGTGTGCTCATCGACCTTGTGCGCAAGGAGGCGTGGGCGCTCGCCGATGACAAGGTCGTCTCTCGGCCGCGAGGTGTGTGCCACGGCACGGACAAGTCGTGGACGTCGAGGTTCCGCGGCTGCCCGTCTGGCATCCTCAAGCTCCTCTACTCCCGATCATGTCGCAGTAAGCATGCCGTTTCGAGGATGGCCTCATCTATGCTGAATCCGCTGACGACTATTCTCCCCTCGCACAGGCGCCATCATGTTCAACGACGAGCTATCGCGGGACGAGTGCGCACGACTGGTGCTAAGACTGTCCCGCTGCGCGTTCCCGTTTCAGTGCGCGCACGGGCGGCCCAGCATGGTGCCACTTGCCGATTTGGGGTCGGGAGCCGGGCGCATCTGGCGCGACGGGCCGTCGGTTGGAGTACAGGGGTGGAAGAGATGGATGGAGGACGATGGCTGAGAGGCGAGTTCCTGTCACTGCATGCGCTTGGCGACTCGGCCGGCCGGCCCATGATGGGTAGGTAATGAGATATCACGCGAGTGATGCCTAGTTTGATACATTTTGCACACAGGCTGATGAGATCTGCAGCTCATCCAAGCCGAGATGATGTTGTCACTTGTTAAGTCTACCCGTCATGCCGTGCCATATGTACACCAAGAGAGGTAAACCAGAAGACTCAAGACATGAAGCGACTGCAGAAGGGCATGGGTACGTCGTCGCTCCACGAGGAATTGGATGAATTATTCCGATTCCAGCTTGCCAACTCGACCCAAGCAAGGGTGATGGCATGGGCTGGGAATCAGCTGATAGGCCGCGAGGCCCTGTTTCTGCGACTGAGGCCGAAAATGCAACCTTATATATAAAAACACGCCTCGGGAGACGGGAGGGTCTCGAGAGACGGAAAACAACGCCAGGCTATGCTGTTTGGTACTCGATGCTGAGGATTCCGAGAGATGTGGTCGTGAGGGCGTTAGGAGATGGAGCATGGCGACAAGAGTGGATCGTCAGGGAGCGGGCAGGCGGCCGTCGCGAACCATCTGCAGCCTTTTGCGCTCCCTCGCCTCGCTCTGGCGCTTCTCCTTCTCCTCGGGGGTCATGATGACCCATTCCTTGGTGGCGCGGTCCCAGCGGTGGCTGCAACAGACGCGTCAGCATCCCGCGACTCAGTTTCATGTCTCGACGGCGACTCACCCGGCGTGCTCCTCGGTGACGAGGCTCTTTGGCCCGTACTCGACCGACAGGATCTTCTCGAAGCTGTAGGGGATGCGGGCGCGGGCGCCCTCGAAGTCGGTGAGGCGCATGGGCCACAGGTCCTGGCTGGCATAGCGGTGGGCGTTCTTGCAGCTCCAGTAGCCGGGGAGGGCGGGGTCGCGCTCGCGGAGGCCGGTGATGTCGATGAACATGCCGTTTGCCATGTCGATCCAGCGGGCGTCGATGATGTTCATGCCGTCGCCGCGGGTGACGTCGACGTGGTGCGGGTTGACGTCGAGCAGATACGTCTTGGCCGGGGCGTGGGCGTCGGCGCGATAGGGGTGCTCGGTGCGGTTGAGGTGGTCGGCCAGCCACTGCAGGGTGTCGTTGGAGACCTGGACGTCGAGGTCGTAGTCCCACGGCATGACGCGGCCGTTCCACCACCAGCCGAGCAGGGTGCCGTGGGCGAGCCACGTCTCGACGCCGTGGGCGTGCATGGTGGCGAGGTAGCTGCGGACGAGGTCGCGCAGGACGACGCGGTGCTCGGCATACTCGACCTCGCGCTGGAAGTAGCGCTGGTCGTAGTGGCCGCGCGACAGGCTGCCGCCGGGCTCGTGGAAGTACTTTGGCGTCAGGGGCGTGTGCCCGGGCTCGTCTCTGGCGACGACGGTGCTGCCGCTGCCGCTGCCGCTGCCGCTTGCGTCGGCGTCGTACGGGCTTCGCGGGGCCAGCGACGGCTTGTCGTCGAGGGCGGCGGCGGCGGCTCGGCCGGGTGCGGCGGCGGCGGTCATGGCGGCCAGCCCGGCCACGAGCAGGGTTCTGAGAGAAGGCATCGCGAGCTGCCGAAGGGCCGCCGGGGACCCGAGCAGGGGGCGGGCGAGCAGCAGGTGTCAAGGGGTGTAGGCGTTGAGCGTGGCGAGAGGAACAATGGCAGGCGTTACCAAGACCGGGCGAGAGAGAGCAGAGGCCCGTTGTTGGTGCAAGGAGGAAGCTATGACATGCAAAAGGAATGCACAGATGGAAAGTGTGTGTGTGTGAATCAAGGCGGCGGCGGCTCAATGGCCCGGCAACGGCACATACATGGAGGAGGAGGAAGAAGAGGCACGAGCAGAGCAGTATAGCAGGAGGAGACACGAGAGAGAGAGAGAGGGGGAGAGGCCGAGGTCAAGCACGATGTTGGAGGAGGAGCAGGAGGAGCAGGAGGAGCAAACAAAAGCACGGGCGCGGCATCTTTGAATGGAGCAGCCAAGTTAACTAACAAGTCGGGGGGGGGGGGGGTAAAAGGAAAGGGGGAGAGCGAGAGCTGAGACTGTCGTCATGCCAAGCAAGCAAGCAAGCAAGCAAGCAAGCCGCAAGAAGTAGCGCTGGGGTGGAGGAGGAGAGGGGGGAGGCGTGGCTCGTGCGTTTTCTTTTCCCTCTTTTAGCCTCCTCTACGCGTCCTTGCCCCTTAATTGGCTTTTCTGGCTTCCTGACGCCAGTGCCGAGAGGATATCGAGGCGCGTTGGGGGGGTGAATCATGGACCGCAAGGGGCCGGGTGGTGAGGAATGCCGGGCCCTCGTCGTCGTGTTATTTTCTTCTGCGTCTTCTTCACAAAGTCTCATGCACAGAGGTAGCGTGGGCGACAAACAGGGGAAATCAGCCAGGGAGGGAGGAGGAAAAAAAAAACTACTTGCACGCCCAATCTTCCAAGACGTGGGCAGTCTGCGGCACGAACCCTGGCCCTCTTCTCTGTGTGACGGCCCCCCCCCCTCCCTTTCCCTATGGTACAGTACTGTAGGTGAATGAGCCGATTGCCACAGAACCAAGGGGAAAGGAAGCTAAAAAAAGAGGGCAAGGGGGAAAAAGAAAGCCGAGCAAAGGAGATGGAGCCCACGAGGTATGCATGCATGCATGCACGAACGCACACATGCAGGCCGGAAAAGAAAACGGAGCGCGGCGGTAGTGCGCACGCCTGAGAAAAGAAAGGGCTTGACTGAGGGGGCAGGAGGAGGAGGTTAAGCCAGGTAGGTATTAGGTATGCACCGTATGCTCCTTTTTTTTGGGGGGGCGATTGTTGGTGCGAAATGGGACTTGTGCGTTGCGTGCGTGCGTATAATAAATAATACCCAGGCTACGGAATACCCAGGCTACGGATGCGGATTCCTGAGTGCGGCTCCGGCCGGGCTGGTCGGTGTCGTTCGCGGGTGTCAAGCAAGATCGGCGGCCGGGGAAGACAAGCTGGGCAGCGGAGTCGTTTCTTGGCTTGTCTTGGGAGTTAGTGCCCGATGCGCCAGCTGTTGCTTGCCAAGACGCCGGGGGGGGACAATAGTGCGGGACGGCGCCCTGTTGCCACCCGGCTGTGGCGGCCAATGGCGCGCCGGACATGCGCGCTGGACATGCGACCTCTCGCCTATCCCGGCACCTCGTGTCGTCATCGAGGCGGCAGGTGCCTATCCGATGATACCTGGAAGCAATCTTGCATCTGTATTGTCATGATGGGGTGCAGATGCGGCCACAGTGCGGCCTGTGCACTGTACGGCCGTGGTACAGTCCGGTACAGTACAGAGTAGTTGGTGCAGAGCCGAATTGAAACCCAACACGCCTGCCAAGCCGGCCGGTCCGTTTTCGCTGCATCCTCCTCCCTCCATTCATTTCATCCATTCATCCATTCGCCTTCTTCCATTCCCTGATTCACACGTCCACACCGCCGTGGTCTACCGTGCCAAGCAACATGCACTAGGTACTGTAAAAAGCACCACACTCCGCTCCCACCGAGTACTTGTGTACTGCACTGTACTGCATATACATTGCACTGTAGAGACTGACTAAGATACAGTACCTCCTACCTACCAAGGTAGGTACGTTCTAGTAGAGAGAGACAGCTCTTCCCCCCCCCCAAACCCCCGCGGCCACTACCAACACAGCTGGCGATACGCGCGCGCTTCTCCTCTTGTCCGCGCACATGCAAGTCTCTCCTCGGCCCTACTCACCCGCCACTCACCGCCGCCGGCCAGCCACCCTCTGCTCTGCTCCGGCTGCCTCGCACCTTATTAGCACCAGCCACCTCATGGTCGAGTTTGCCGATACGGGAGGAGGGCGGCCCTATGCGCTTTCCACCTACTGTACTACTTACTCACACATGGTCATGGAGGAGCCTGTTACCCGCAACCTGACTGTATCGACTCGCCTCCCTCCCCCCTTGGAACAATCGTCACTCTACATACCCCGTGCAACATGGAAACTCCGCAGTGGTGCGAACCCGCGGCCCCTCGTGGCACAATGAGCATCGACAATAACCCCCAGCTGTCAACGGCTATGGAACGGAAATGGTTCCCGCGCCGCCCCCTTTGGGCACCTGATCGCCAAGAGTCAAACCCGCAGTCGCGTCTCGCACAATGCCGCCGCGCAACGCGCATACGCAGCTCCTCTCCTCTTCCGGCATAGCTCCCCCGTCGCTCGAGGTATTGTGCAGTACCGTACTGTACATAATTAGAGCATGTACTGTAGATAGGTAGATAGATACCGGGACCAGGGACAATGATTGACACACGTCAGCTTCCGCGCTCCCGTACTGTGTGTGGGAAAGGGGGAGGAGGCGGGGGGGCGGGTCCAGTAGTCTATGCGCACCTTTTTATAAAACAAAAAGAGTGCCGGTTCACCTCATCTGTTCGGATGAGACGGCACCCGCGGCGCCGGACTGCCGGTGTGGCTTGCAAGCACGGCAACACGGCGCCCCAGCACCTTCGGCCCTGCTCGTGGGCCAACAGGCGGCCGCAAAGCTTGATCCGACGAAGCTGCGAATGTGCATCTGAGCACAATACTAATGGTTCCATCCGTTATTGGCTACGTGTCGCGTGTCTATCTACGCACATCACCGAGGGTCCAAGACACCATCTTCGCCGGTCCTCCGTACAAAGGGAGCTTGAGCCACCAAGGGGCGGCAAAGAGTATTCTGAACGGACACATCAATGAGCACCGGAGCACGTTCATAAATAAGGGCAAATGGCAAAAATGTATCCGGGTGGCGGATCTCTCCCGCCGGGAATTGAACCCGGGTCTCAAGCGTGACAAGCTTGCATACTGACCACTATACTACGGAAGATGTATGACTGTTAACAGTCATCGTAGCTCAACTTACAGAAGCGGTGCCCTATTCATGTATATATACCCTTGAGTGAAGTGCCGCCGGTTCTTCCATGGTCGTATCCTAACCAACTCGTTGAAACCCGGCGACCCATACTTGGTTGAGGGTCCGCCCCATGGCCCGGAAACCTCAGTCCTCCAGTCGCACTGCACCGTCGTACAACAACAGACACATCTAGAGTCGCGTCACAGCACACGTCCGTCAAGTCAACAACATTTGCGCCGGGTATCGACGTAGCAGCGCGGCAGACCGGCCTCGACACATACTATCACACAGCTGCTGGTCATACAGCCCGGATCATTACCTCGCCAAGCAACCAGCAAGCCCCTTCCCCTCATCCCTTCCCGCCATCGGTGCGTCATCGTGCAAACACCTTGACCAACCCGTCCCCCCCGCCGCTCACCACCCACTTGCCGTCCTGGCTCCAGACGCACGAGCACACGCCCTCGCCCCGCATGACCCGATGGCTGGTAATCTCCTGCGTGCAAGAACGCTTCTCCAGGCTCCAGAACCGGAGCGACGCGTCGTGGCCCGCGCTCAAGAGCTCGCGCCCGTCCGGGCTGAGCGACAGGCTCGAGATGGCGTCGGGGTGGGCCAGCATGTTGTACGTACATTGCCCTGCCACGCGCCTTCCGAGTTAGATGACGGCCAACCAAGGGGAAAAGACTCAGGCCCTCGACTTACCGCTGTTGGCGTCGAAGAATCGCACAAACCGATCCTCGTGCCCCGAGATGATGGTCCCTTCGACGCCCGACCCTGCCATCGACCGGCCCCCGGTCGGTCCCCCGCCGCTCGCCTCGTCCTCCCCGCCCATGCTGCTGTTGCCGTGATGCTGCCCGCCCTGGTCCAGGCCACTCGTCGTGGCCACGACGGCGTTGACGCTCGTCTTCATGGACCCGTCGTACGTCTCCATGCTGTCCATCTGCCCGACCGGCTCTCCGCTTCTCGTGTCGTAGACGACCACGGCCGCGTCCGAGTAAGCGACCACGTAGGACTCGCCTAGCCCCCCCAGGGACGTGATGCACGTCGGGCTAGCCTTGGAGCCGTCCGCGCGCGAAATGACGTGCACCAGCGTGTGGTGGAAGGGAGAGCTAGACGCAATGGTCGGCTGAGGGGAGTTGGAGAAGCCGCTTCCGGAGCTCATCGAGTTGCCGCGAACCCGCCCGCCGCGGCCCGTCATGTTCCGGTTGGTCCCGGGCTGCGGCGAGCTCATCTGAGGCGGGGCGCTGACGGACCAGAGCCGCACGGTGCCGTCGGCAGCGCCCGACACCAGCAGGATCCGATCCGTGCTGCCGTAGGGGCTGGAGCTGCCAAACACGGCCCCCAGAGTCGTGGGGAGGACGCAGAGAGCCCAGACAGCGTCCGTGTGGCCCTCTAGCGTGGCCTTGGGGTCAACCCGCCCGCGTTCCCACACCTGTATTGTCGCGTCCTGGCCGCCCGAGAAGATCCAGCCATCGCCCTGCGCCCGCCCGCCCGTGGAAAAGCTGGGAGACGGCGACCACGATGTCAGCGACAGGACGGAGCCCGAGTGGCCGCGATGAGTAAAGTTGGCAATGACGTCGAGGTCCGAGGCCGCATTGCCCAGAGACCCTGCATGGCTGTCGAGCCGGGGAATGTGGAAGCGCTTGATCATGCCGTCGTCGCCCGCCGTGCAAATCTCGGGCTCTCCCGGGCTGCCGCCTCCGGAGAAGATGACTGTGCGCACCGTGTCGAGATGGCCCCGCAGACCGAACCGAAGCTTAAAGTGGCCGCCCTCGACCCTCTGGTTGGCACTCATCGCTAGCTCATGTTCCCCGCTACGCCGCCTCGACATGGAGCTCTTCCTCCGGTGGCCGCTGGGCACCCGACTATTCGGCGACTTGGGCAGGTACTCGGCGTTTGGAAACACGTCCGTGTCCGGCCGGTTGGGTGCCGAGGCCAGCGGGTGCTGTTGAGACGGCCCGTGGTCGGCGAATGCGCCTTCTGGGAACTCCCAGCCGTCGGGCTCCGGGCCTGCAGGCGGCCGGTCCCGCATCTCAGCCGTCTGTTCCACGCCCGCCAGGGACTCGGCCGCGTGGTTGGGCCCCGGCATGCCCTCATCGACGGCGCGCGTCGTGACCGCCACCGGCCCCGACCAGTCGTTGGAGCTTGCATAGACGGGAGGCTGGGGCTCGCCGGCCGAGCGGACCATGGGCTGTGAGTGAAAGTCAGGCGGGGCTTGGGAAAAGGCCGAAGGCGGTGGCTGCATCGGCGGGCCGGCGTTGGAGGCCTGGTGTTGCCTGGCGTTGATGGACTTGATGTCGGCGGCGTGGGTGGGCGCCGCTCGCTGGTGTTGATACTGCCGATCCATGTGCTGCGGGCCGGGCATGCCAAAGGCCTCGACGTCGCGCAGGTCCTCCATCATGGGTAGCGGCGGAGAGTCGCGCGGCGGCTGCGGGTTGGCGGGCGTCACCATGAGATAGGTGAACTCGGCCTGGCACTGGTCGAGAAAAGACTTGAGCTCGTTGCGCTGGGCGTCGTCGTCGGCGGGCTTGCCTGGCTTGTCCGAGGACACTGGGGACGCCAAGTCAGCATCTCGGCGGCGGGCATGGTGATGGAGGGCCAGCTGACTTTGGAGCCTCTCGTGAATCCTGGCGGCGCGGTCATCCTTGGCGCCGTCTGGTGTCGGGGCGCCCTTGAGGTGGGCGGCCTGGTCCTTGACCTTGCGCTCCAGGATGGAGACGTATTTCTTGAGGGCCTTTTGGGTGGCGTCGGCCCTTCGGGCCTGGCCCTCGAGGCTTGCTATCCTCCCCCTCATCTCCTGGCGCTCAATCTCCCAGGCGTTTCGGTCGCGCTCGTGGCGGTGCCATTCCGTCTGCAGAAAGCGCATGACGCCCTGGAGGGTGTACTCGGTGGCCTGGGGCTGGTTGGTGCCGTTACCGTGGACGCCCATGCCCATGCCCATGTCCATGCCCCCCATGCCGCTGGCAGCATTTGGGCCCATCGCGGCGCGCCTCGATCGCTGGGGACGAGGTCATGGAGAGGCCACGCCGGCGAGGAGGGAGCTCCCGAGGGGCGGCGACGCGGGCCTCGGCTGATGGACAAGGTGCGAGATGCTGAAAGGGGGGGCTCTGTGAGCGACGCGACGGGTATTCGTAGAGGGCCTCGGTGTCCGACTCGGCGGGAGCTTGTGTGTTGAGATGTTGTGTGCTGTGTGCACTGCGGCTGCGGGTGCCGTTGCAGCAATTGTGGGCCAATCAGGACGCGGGCCGTTTCCCTGAGGCTGTCAGGCATCAAACACCCCCCTGGGCAATGTTTACAGGTGTCAAGAACGCTAGCAGCCTCGGCGCTACAGTGGGCTACGGTGGGCTACAGTGGGCTACGGTGGGCTACAGTGGGCTACAGTGGGCTGTCCCGCCGCCTCAGGCTTGCTTGTTTGGCCCGCAGAAATCCATCACGACCGCCATTGCATGAAGAGTGAAGCTTATGGCGATGCATTGCCAGAGGCCAATCGCTATGCCAGGCACAGGCGGCTCCGTCATCTGCACCGAATCACGCGAGCCCGCTGATCTGGATCGCCGCCTTTGCCTTATGTACCTGGCCACGACTATGCATCTGATGCACTGCTGCTTGCGCCCCGGTTCCAATGTTTGCAGCTTCACCAGAAGAAGCCCATCTGTCCTCTTCTGCGCCACCAGCAGAGCAGACGCGGGGCTCCCGCAGCGTTTCGGTAGTCTGGTTTTGGCTCTGCGCCCGCCGACGCGCACAATGCCGGTGACGTGATGACGAGATGAACCCGACAGATCTAATGCGCGGTGGTCACGGGAAGGATCACGTGCTGGAGGCGTTAATCACCCGTGTTTGATCACCCATGATTTTACCCCATTTCAGCGCCACTTGAGAGTAAATCCCGGCATGTTGAAGACATATGCCATCAACAACCCATCCATGGAAGACGAGGATTCTGTCACGTATCTGGCGTCATCCGCTTTGGTCGTTGGTGGACTCATGATGGAATTCGCCGTGGGTGCTACAGGTGCAGCCGAGGTTGGGCGCTGATCCGGTATGGACATCAGGACGAGGCTTTGCCTGATGCCAACATGCCTCGATTCCAACCCAGACGCCATATTTGACTCTGATATTCAGCAGCAGTCGCGAGATCTCCTCATCGACTCGGAGAGGATTTGTACGGAAGGCGTTACCTCTAGCCGTGCTCACAGATAACGAAGCTCAGAACGTATAACGTCCAGTGGTCAGCCAGCTTCAATTTACTAAGGCGGAAGTCAGAACATCAAGCCAGACAAAGTCTACATACTCTGCTATGGCGGAAGAGGGACGTCGCACGCCGAGGCCTCGTGGCGTATTTGAAGGAGCCTGACTTCGTTACCGCATCCTTGAGTGGAAAATGTGAAAAACTTCTGAGCAAGCTTCAGAGTGGCGACTCTGAGAGTCATGCCCTGACTGTGGGCCAAGACGATTCCCCGGAACATCTTAACAAGAAACTTTTCCCGGCACTTCGACGACATGCTACTTGTTTGTTGTGTCCTGATGAGACAAGAGCCAATGGACGGAGCTCTTGGCACCCAACGAGGCTGTATCTGAAGAGCACATTGGAGACTCGGGATAATCTTGCGGTCTTTGACGTCATCGTTTCTTCCACACCGGGCTATTTTTGGCAGGATTTAGGTCTCGGTGTTCCCTTGTATGAGTCGGCCGTCCCAATCTCACACAAAACTAACACATCTCCAGACAATCCGGTGGCCGGCAAGTAACATTCGCGGACGAGAACGCAATTGACGATAATCCATCTCACCAGAGATCGGAGCTGCCTTACTTCTGCAATATCTTGAGCGAGAGGAGCTTTGCTCGCATATCCCTGGCTGGAGTTGGACGATGGACGGATTTTCCGGCTCCCTGACGGTAAAGAATTAAAACACCGCACCTCACCCGGACGTGGGATAGCACTTGCACACGTCCTGCTGGATTACAATCTCAGTGTGAAAGAGAAAATCACGCTCTCGCAGAGGATTGCTCGAGCATGTTGGCAGTTTTACGACTCGGAGCTGATGCTTGCGAAGTGGACTAGCAACAATATCTGGTTCATGCCCGAAGACACCGATGACGGAGACGAGCGGCTGCCTTGCAAGGCTTATATTTCATTTCACCTCGAGAGGACGGATTATGAGCTCGAAGAGCACTCTACCGCGTTGTCCCTTATCTATCGATACCCTCGAATTCTCTCTTTGGCAATATTACTTCTCGAGATTGGTCTCGGCAAACCAGTCCAGCCAAAGACTCGCCCTAATTTTGGGGTCCATCTCGCTGGTGAGTGGGGTTGGTCGAGGCGAAGTTTCCTATACAATCAGTTGCCCGGATGGAGATGACTCCCCTGTGGCGTGCAGGAAAAGTCTCGTCCTGATAGGTGCCGAAGTTGCCAGCGCTAGCGAGGAAGATGACCCAGCCTTTTCGCTGCAGTTAGACTGCCTGAATTGCTTGAGATATGCCCTCGTCGTCCTTTGGAAATCCGAATGACATGGAGATTACATCGGCTTCGCATTCGATGCCTGCCCAGCGGATAGCGTGGCCGAAATCAGTGTTCGAACAAGCCCATAGTCGGGGGGGAGGCAGCGTACCTCCGCGACATTGCTTTGGCTCTGCATAAGGTGGTGGTTGTCCTCTGCAACTCTTGCTACATGCACCTCGGCGACAGGCGTGGCTTCTATGACAAGGATCGTCATAAAGGTACCGTGACCGTAAGAATCGACTTCAGATTCTGGGTGGTCGGTGAAGTCTTTCCAAAGCGTTACGCGGCTGAGCTTTTCAGAGTCCTGGAAGTACGACATGGCGCGGTTGTACCCCGTATCCAGGATTGCTACCCGGATCGGTTTAGTAACTTTCCAACGTTTCCGCTGCGTTCGACAGACATGAGCATTGATGGCCTTCAGGTCGTCGAGCCAGACATGGGGGTTAACTGTCCTGCCTCCGTGGAATGAGGCGAATTGAATCTGCTCATCGAGGGCTGAGGGAAATTCCTCATATAATGATTATGCTCTTCCTTTCTCGAAATGAATGTGACTTCGTCGCTATTTTCTCGAAACGACCTTGCCAGCCATTCGAGGGGCGAATCTACCTGTTTATAAAGGCCTATGTTAACCAGCAATCATATTTGGCTAACTAGCAATCAAAAAGTAGTGGGCTAGTAATCCTAGTTAAGGCGCAGCGCTAATACCGTATAATTAGGTGCGTATATTCCCCGCACCTACCTAGCAGACTCTTTATCGCATATCGCATATATCGTAAAGTAAAGCTATTCGCACCTACGAGCACCGAGGCAAGCGTAGGCTACTTACGTAATTTCTATACATTTAGGCTCGAGGCTTAAATATACGGTATTTCGTCGAATTAAACCCTGCTTACCTTACCTACTATTATAACCTAATAAGGGTCTTAAAGACCTAATAAGGGTCCTAGTAAGCTATAGACTAATATATAGCTATTAAAGGTTAAGCTTACGCCTATATATATTAATAGGCGCGCCCCTTATCCTTATAAGCGGAGACGATATTATTATTATATCTAGAGGCATTAAATATATAGTTAACCTTAAGGATACTAAGGAATTTACTTAATAGATCTAGATATAAGCTATTAGATTAGTTCTCGCGAAGAGAGATACGAGAAGTATATATAAAATATATAAAGGTAAAATTAAAAGTAAGGGGTTAAATAAGCTAGGCAAAGATATTTAATTCTTACGGGGGCAGTAATTATAGTAAGGGAGTAATTATTATATTGCCTTAATTATCCTTCTTTCCTCTATCTAACTATTACGACTACGGTCTAGCAAACCGCGGGGACTAATATATATCACGAGGTCACGTAACGTAGGGAGCAAGGAATATTAGACAGACCGATAGGCTAATTAAGTTTAGAGCAACGGGTTACTCTAGCGCTCTAACGCTCTATAGCTAGGATCGTAGGATCGCTCTAGCGCTCTAGCGCTCCTAGATAACGGGATTACCTAGCGCTCTCGGCGATCTAGGGAAGCTCTCGAGATATATAAGGAAGGAACGGAATACTCCTTTAAATAGATAGCTCGATAGCTTTTAATATTATAATTATTATAATCTTTATTATAATCTTATTTTTAATTCCGATTACTTAATTACTTAGTTATAGTTTATAGTCTATAACCTTTAACTTATTACTAATATAATATATATATTATTACTTAGACTACGCCCTATTATATCTATTAATATAAACCCCTTAATAGGTTTATCCCTTAAGAATAATATTAGTCGTTATACGTTAAAAGCTTTTATTTAGTATAATACCGCGTTACTTTAAGTAATATTATAACTATTAATATACCTATATAGTAAACTAAATTAATTAACTTTAAAGCTATTATATCGCCTTAGGATATAATACGCGAGATTATTACCCTTTAATATAAGGTATAGTTACTTAGGAATAAAGTAGGTAATAGATAAGCTAGGGACTTTAGAGAAGTAGTTAAACTAAAATAGCTAAGACTATTTAACGGTACTTATAGTATACTTTAAGACTTTCTTACTTAACTTAAGGCCTATTATTAGTTTTACTTTATTAAACTCTTAGACCTAGTTAAAAAGGTATTCTATATAGGAAATTATTTATCTAAAACGGTACTCGCTTAGTTTAGACCTATTATAAGGGACTTTCTCGATAACTAACTAGCGCGATAAGATAATAAGATAGATAAAGTCTTTATTAGTTTCTAAGGATTTAAAGAAGCTATTATAAAGGTATTTAGAATAACTAATAAGGAACGAGAAGCTAAATAAAAACTCTAAGAACTTTAATAAAAGATCTTAGTATTAAATTATACTATAAAGTTCTATTAAATTACCTTAAAGCTTAAGTAAGACAACGAACCCCTTATATTACGATTTTATAATAGGCTTAGAAAAGAAATTAAGGACGAGCTCTATAAGGAAAATCGACTTAATAACCTCTCGG